CTCCAGGGAGGGGCTGTGGAGCCCCAAGGACCGCAGAGGAAAGCTGCGTGAGGGGTGCAGAGGCAGAACAGGCCGGGGCGCGTCCAGGGCAGTCAGGGCTGAGGGGCAGCCGCAGGGCAGCGCAGCAGGGGCCTTGGGGAGCCGGGCAGGCCCCCAGGTGAGGGCTGGGGGGCTCTGCGAGGCAGTAAGTTTTGAGGCTGGAATGTGAGGCTAATGGGGACAGTGGATCTTGGGAGCCCTCGGCCAGGGGAGCTGGGGCGCATCTGCCGGAGGGGTCGGCCCCGGGGAGGAAGAGCCAGTCACAAAAGGACACGAAAGCCAGGGCGTCGGTGGAAGAGCCTCCCCGAGACCGGTGACCAGTGGCGGCAGACGCGCCTCGTCTGGAGTTGGCGAGTTTTCTGTCGACGACGGGACATCCTGCCTGCTCTGCTCTCGCGGCCAGTGCCAGTCGGAGCGCAGCTCCCTCCCGGGGGCTCAGGGCCGCCCTCTGCTCTCCCGCCCTGGCTCGCGCCTGTGCTCAAAGCCCCCCTCAAAGCTTTCATTTTTAGATCTAATTTTAAGTTAACAAATGACACTTGAAACCGCAGCTTCCTCCTCACTGTGACCCGGACTCTGGCTCCAAAGCCGGCCCCTGCGTCGGCCACCAAGCCGGGCACAAGGCGCTTGTTAAGTCACTTCTCACCATGGCAGAGAAATGCGACCCGGGGATGGAGTGCAGGCCCAGGAGGAGGCAGGGGGCAGGTGCGAGGGATGGCAGAGGGGCGGGGAGAGGAGGGGGACCCTCATGCTCAGCCCCGACAGAGGAAGGGGGGAGGCAGCTCTTGGGGGGACGGTGGGTTACGTGGTCACGCTGACGAGGAAGCGCTGCCCCTGCTGACCAGTTTCTAGAGGTTGCGCTTCCTTGGCTCCCCGGTGGTGGTGGGGGACACCCTGAGGAGCTGAGATTCCCTCTGAGAGGAAAGAAAATGCAAAGGACGTGGGGGCAGGACGTGGGGGCAGGAAGCGAGCAGCAGCCAGGCCACTGTAAGGGCCCCCAGGCCTGCCACTGCCCGGCCCATGAAGGTGCCTTATGACAAACCCTTTCTGCCCCGAGCCCTTTTCTGCCAGAGCCTGGGCTTATAGGCAGGGCGGCTGCCAGAGACCCTAGTCACCTGCATGATGCCTCCTGACGCCTCCAGGGGCTCCTGTCCTAAGGCCAGTCCCACCCCTACCCGGACCAGACCCGGAGGGAGCCGCAGCCTCTCCTGGGTGGGCTGCCCGCCGGGTCTCCCTCCCCAGCCGCCTGCCAGCCCAGCAGCCTCAGACGCTGTCTCCTGCCCAAGGGCCACTTCTGACAGGCACTCAAGCTCCCTGTGTCTGCAGTCTCAAAAATAACCAGCTTAAGATAATCCTTAGGCCAAAGGCCTATTTGGGGTTCACATTCTGTTCCCCTTCTATGCGTGCGTGTGGTGGTTGGCTGAACCCCCAGTGCTCAGCAGCCTCCCTGTGTCCAGATCCCCGGCCCCACGCAGGGCGGGGGAACATGTGGACTCAGAGCTTCTGAGGGTGCCCAGGCCACAGTGCTGGAGAGCCCGGGCTCTCGTGAGGGCACAGGGCAGCGAGGGCAGGGATGGTCCAGGGTGGCCCCACGCACCCGCCCACTGAGGGACGAGCCTGCAGAGGCAGCGTGTCTTGCACCTCGCGGCTGCCGGTGCAACCTTGAGTCCGTGGGGAGAAAGGGAGACCAGCAGCCACAGCCAGCGCCGGGCAGTGTCAGGACAGCAGGCGTGGGCTGGGAGAACCCCAGGGATGCTCCAGAGGGGCCTCCAGGGCGGGTTGGAGCCGAGGGTGCTCAGATGGGCCACAGCCCAGGATGAGGGTCAGGTGACAGGGGACCTGTCCTGCAGAGCAGGCAGGGGACAGGCAAGGGGACTGGAGTGGCCCGGCCTGCACGCGGGCGCCTGGGAGTGCAGCCCTGCCCCAGGATTCGGCACTGTAGGCCCCAGAGCTGGCCTCTGGGCTCTGGTGTCCTCTACCCCGGGAGCCGGCCCCTGGGCGTGCAGGGCTGTGGGCGGGCGGGCAGCCAGGGCTGGGAGGAGCAGCCGTGGCCGGGCCAGAGGGGCCAGAGTGAGGGTGGGGGGTGGACAGGGGGCTCCTGCTCAGGCCTGTTGCCCTGCCCCCGGCCCACTGCTCTCACCCGCTGGGCTCCTGCCTGTGTCCAGAGGCCTGTCATGTGGCCCCGGGCGCTCTAGCCCCATCCCGGCAGTCTGGCCAGTGTCCTTCCGGGGTCCAGAGTCCTCAGGGTGCAGGCTCACCTGGGAGTGGAGGGCGGGGACCTGAGGAGAGGCTTACTCAGGGGCCTGGCCCCTGTCACCACCTTATCACAGTCTCCACCCCCACCTGCTGCGAGCCTGGCCCAGGGTGTGGAGCCCAAGGCCGTGGGACATGAGCTCCCCCGGCATGGATGGGGGTCCAGGGGACGCCCCTCCCAGGGCAGAGTGGACGGGCAGCTTAGGGAGGCTGCGCTCGCAGATGCCCTCCTGGCGGGGCCCGCGTGGGGCCTGGGAGGGCAGAACCGGGCCCGCAGGGCGATTCCTGAGGGTGTCCACCCTGGCTGCTGGCTCATCCCACCCACGTGACGTCGCCGGGGCTGTGACTCTCCATGCAGAGTGCAGGCCCCGGAGTGACTAATGTGGCTGAGGTGGCGCGTAAGGCCCGCTGACCTCCCAGGCCAGGTGCCGGGGCCTGAAGGCAGGGCCACCATCACTCCACACGTCTGCACCGCGCCCACCCACCCCCCCCCCGCCATCGCCACAATGTCACCCCCACCGTCATGCCCCTAGCGCTGCCGCCCCAGGAACAGGAGCCCTGGCCAGCGTGCCTCCAGGCCGAACAGGTTTCCCTTACGTGGGGTTCATCGTCCTCCCCTACTCCTCCCCACACCCTAAATTCCACGGTCCTTTCAGGCTTAAAACCCTGTTGTTCCTCCATGAGGCTCCCCAGTGCTCGAGGCCCAGAACCCCAGGCCCGAGGGGTCCAGCCCCGCAGGCACTGCTGAGGGGCAGCGCCAGCCTGGGCAGTGAGTACGGTGGGCACTTGGGGTCAGCAGCCGCAGGGCCACCGCCACCCACCACTCCGTGACGGCGGATGGGGTCCGCCCTCCCCAAGGCCTGCTGCGAGGGGCTTGCGGGTGGCCAGGGTCTGCACTGAGCCAGCCGGGCGGCAGGGCAGGCGCTGCCCACTCCATGGGGCTCCCCATTGCCCTCCTGTCCCAGCCCCAGCCTGTAGCCACTGCACTTGGGGTCCCCTGCGCGGAACCCGGGGCCGCCTGTGTCCCGCTGGGCGCGCTTGGCAGATATGGGGCCACGTCTGGTCCCGGCTGCTGCCACGGGGCCCCAGCACAGGCGCTGCCCTCGTCCCAAGCCCGCGCGGTCTCTGGCTGCTGCCCAGTGTCCATAGGGCCGGGCCCAGGAGAGCTTGCTTCCTGACCCTTTGCCTTCCAGAGGCTTCTGTGGGGTGTGACGCCACACAGCGTCCCCCCGCCCCAGCCCTCCTCCCTCCTCTGACCAGGCTGTGCCTGGCTCCTGCCGCTGCTCGCCGGCCGGCCCTCATGCTGCTGCCCACGCCTGTCGCTGCCCGCCCCTCGGCTTGTCCCCCAGACAAGAGTCTGGTGAGAACTCGCTTGCCGGCCGCCGCGGGCGGCTTCCTCACTCTGCCGCGGGCGTGCGGCTCCAGGTCGCTGACCGCGCTCTGCCCGTCGCGGGGCGGACGGTGGCTGTGACTCACGGGGCGGGCGGCCGTGGCTGTGGGGAGTCCAGCACAGCCGGCCTGCTTTCCTGTCCACTGGACCTGCCTGGGGGTCGAGAACAGGCTTGGAGGAGCCTGCTGGGGGGGCTGCCAGTGGGGGGCTGGGCCTGTCCCGGCCTGGGGCCTCAAGTTGGGAGGCAAAGCCCCTCAGGGACAGTGGGACTCTGGGGGCAGCTGGGACTCCGTGACCTGCCCATGGCCTCCCCTGGCTTTGGCTCCCCTGCCCACGGGTCAGGTCAGGCTCACACCCGGAGGCAGCCAGCACAGCTCCCCAGCCCCTCCCGCCGGGCCCGTGACCCCGCATTGCGCTCTCGGGCCTCTGGGGGTGGAGGCACGAGCCAGGGCCCCAGCTCTGCCACGTCCATGGCCTCAGGGAGAGCCGTGCTGGGCTCCTCAGCCCTGTCGGAGGAGCAGAGGGCCAGGCGGGCTCTGGAGAAGTCGTGTGTCCCCTGCTTGTGACCTGGGCAGGGATGCGACCTCTGGCCTCTGCTTTGGGCCAGGCCGTGGCACTCAGGAGGGGCCCTGGGCTCTGGGCCCCAGCCCGGATGGTGGGGCTCAAGGCAGGTCCAGGGGCAGCCCTGGGCGGCCTTCAGCCTAGCCAGGGGTGGGACGTGGACCCCGTCTCTGGTGTCCAGGCCCCCTCCAGGCTTTGGGTCCAGTCTTGGCCCCTGGGGCTGCCCTCTGGGCTGGGCTGGGCCACTCCCTCTCCCGGCCACTGCCCCCCCCGCCTGCTCTCTGGGGACCGGGGCTCCCGTCTGCTTACTCCTGCCTGGGGTTACTGCCTGGTGCCGGCGAGTGGGTCCGGGGACCTGGGCCGCCCCACGCCCGGGGCTGTCTCCGAGGCCGAGGCTGTCCTAGGGGGTGACCGACCAAGGGGAGACGCGGCGCACAGGTAAGACGCACCGCAGAGCGGCTCGGGCACGGCTGATGCTGGCCCCAGGCCCCCTGATCTTAGGAGGCGGCACCACTTCCATAAAAGGAAGGCCGCGACTTGGGGCTCTGGGCCTTCCTTTCTGGGGCTGCCTGCGGGGACAGCCCTCCACACCCGTGACGCAGACTCCCTGCTGGCCCCTGCCAGAGCTAGCGGACCCACAGGTGCTCACCGCCGACTCACCGCGCCCGCTGAGGTGAGTAAGCGGCTGTCTGGCCCCGCCCGCCCTGCTATAAGGCCCGCGGCCCTCTGCCCAGCAGGTACCCTCCTCGGCCCGCCACCCATGGGGACCCGACTGCTGCTGCTGCTGCTGCTGCTGCTGCCGCCTCGGCCAGGTGAGCCTGGCGTCCCCCGCCCACACCCTGCCTGCCTCCCCGAGGGCGGCCCAGGTCCCGCTGCCTGGGGCTGGGGCACAGAGGGTCCCACACACGTCTGCCCCGGCCCTGAGCCGCTCTGGGGCAGCCCTGGCGGAGCACCCTCGGGGCTGGGCTGCTGTTGCTGAGCTGTCACCAGGGCTGGTCTGGCTGGTCTGGGTGGGGGCAGGTAGGAGCAGGGAGGTCTCAGGGCTCCGGGGTGGAGGTCGGGGCAGCTCCTGCTTCTTAAAGAGCTGACAGGGAGGCCCCCAGCAGCCCCGCCACACCATGCACCCACGGTTCGGGAGACAGCACCCCGGCTTGGCCTCTGACCCCCACTGTGCCCCCAGCCCAGGCATTGAGTTGCCACCAGTGCACCTCTGCCCAGGGGACCTGCCTCCGGCCCACATCTTGTGACACCGGTGCCCGCTACTGCCTGACCACGTGGAACAGTGAGTGTGGGCTGGGGGGCGGGGGGCCTTGGGAGCCGGAGGGGCCTGGGGGGCGGGAGGTCTGGGGGGGTCAGGGGGCCGCGGGCTGCTGCCTGACCACATGGGACAGTGAGTGCGGGCTGGGGGGCGGGGGCGAGACTGGGCCTAGCAGCTCTAAGGGACTGGGCAGTGTCCTCCCTCCAAGCGAGAATGAGGCTGTGGCCTCCACCGAAGGCCCGTGGAGTGGCGAGCAGGTGGCCGAGCGGACGGGCCTCCCCAGGCACACATTGCGCCTGCTGCGTTGTGGTTACTGGACACGGCTGCGGGGGAGGGGGAGGAGGAGTTCAGGGCAGGGCCGTGAGGCTGGACCTGGCCACAGGTGCTGACCCCGGGTGCCCTGAGACCCGGCCCCACTTACCTCCCGCTGTGCGCCCCATTGCTGGGCGGGTGCCGCGGGACGGCTGGACATGCTGCTCACCGGGCGGGGCGGCTCTCAGCTCCCACCTTGTGTTTTCCAGCCCCCCCCGGTCAGGGAACGAAGGTCATCAAGTCCTGTGCTTACAGATGCCCAGGAATCCAGGAGAGCCTGCCCTTCTCCTGGGCCTCCTGCTGCAATGCCGACCTCTGCAACCGCGCCGGGACCCGGGGCCCGGCCACGCGCTGCCGCTGCTGCTCAGCCTAGGCGCCGCCTACCTCAACCGGTAGGGTAGGCCCGGGCCGCCTGTGGACACCCGCCTCTGCCCCACCTCCAGGGGATGGATTCCAGGACACGGCGGCTCAGCCCTCGCCTCTGTCCAGGGTGATGGCCCTGACTGCCCCAGGGGGCCTCGCAGGCTGAGCCCCTGGTGGCTGCTGGTCTGTCTCCCCAGAGGCCGCTGCCCCTGTCCTGCACACCATCCTATTAAAGCGTCACTGGACCGCCGGCCCTGTCAGAGCCTGTGGTCCGCACTGCCCCGGGGCCCGAAGCAGCAGCCCAGGCGCCCCTGCAGGGCACAGGCTGGTCCTGGCAGACAAAGGTCTCCTGGGGGCCGCCTGCAGGACCTGGCCGCCCCGGCCATCGAGACCAGCCCCAGAGGACACCAGAAGGGGAGCTGTGCCAGGACAGAGGGTTCCTGACCCGGCCCGTGCACACCCACAGGCAGGGCAGGGCTTTGTGGCTGACAGGGCCAGCGCTGCTGGTTGCTGGCGTGAAGCATGGCCAGGTGCTCCGCTCGCCACACCTCAAATTGTTAGGGGGATGCAGCATGGGTTGGGGGCAGGGTCCACCCCAGGGGACCCCGTTATTAAAGTGTCACTGGTCCCCCTGCGTGGTGTCCTGTGTGAATGTGACTCGGGAACACATGTCAGGTGGGCCTTGTATAGTGGCCTCGTCCGGCGTACCCTTCCCTGCAGGGTCCTCGACCCCCGCCTGTGGCCACTGGTGCCCCCACTTCTCCTGGGTGGACCGCACGGCTGGCGCGCTGTGGCCTGGGACCCCGGGCGGGTTGGGCAGGGTCGACAGCCTTGTGCACCCCCGCCCACCACCTTCTAGAAGAATCTGCAGCCTCAGTCCCTTCCTTGTTCCCAGCTCCAGACCGCGGCTCCGGGATGGAACGGGAAGCGGGGCGGCCAGAGTGCCGCCTGGGGGTGCCAGCCCGCCTGGGGCACCGCTTGCTCAGGGCTGTCCCCCCGCTGGGCCCTGACTGCAGTGGGGCTCGGAAACGCCTGGCCTGGCTCCGGGGCTCCTGGGGCCCAGGTCTCCTGGCAGCTCCCTGACTTGCCGGGTCCAGCAGCTTTTGGTGGCAGGGCTGGGCCTGGGGCTCCCTCCTGTGCCCCCTGCTGGGCCGGGGCGGGGTGCTGGGCACTGGGCAGATGCCCCCCACCGCCCTGCCTGCGCACGAGGAAGCGGGAAGAGGCCCTTACAGGGAAGGTCCAGGGAAGCTGCGCGATGCCCAGCGCGGACCCCACCTCACCTGCCCGCAGCCCGCGGGTTTCCTTCGGGGACCTTGACCGCCAGCGCCCCCTGCCGGTGGACGGAGGCAGAGGCCGGCTGTCCGGCCCCCCCGCCCCCCCCCCCCCCCCCCCCCCCCGCCGGCCCACGCCCCCGCGATGGTCCCCTCGGCCCCCTCCTGGCCAGGACGCCGCAGACCCCACGGCCTGTCTCAGCCAGGCCCAAGGGCGCCCTAGGGAGCCCAGGGAGGCAGGCAGGGAGGGGCTCCAGGGCAGCCTGGGTCCGTGGGTTCCCCCCTCCGCAAAGGCCCCCCGGCACCCGGTCCCCGCCCCTGAGTCTCCCGAGCCTGCTCTGCCGGAGGCTCGGGGCCCAGCAAGGCTCGGGGCCCAGCAAACGGGGCACTCACTGCCGAGGGCGGGGCGCCCTCCTCTAGGTGCCCGAGAAGCCCCGCCCCAGCGGGGGGACAAAGGAGAAAAGTCAAACTGGGATGCTGGTGCGGGGGTCACACGGCTGCGCCCTTTGCCTTGGCCACGTGACCTCAAGGACAGCAAACCGCTGACACGGACCGCAGCCCCACAAAGTCACAGCCTTGATCTGAGCAGGGCAGGTGCCCTGGGGTGAAGCCGCGGCAGCCCCGCTGGAGGAGCACCTACTGCCTCCCACAAGGCCCGTCAGAGCCTGGGGGTGCCTCACCCGGCTGCTGCAGGCGAGACCGGGTGCCCCTGGACCACAGAGCCCGCTCCACCCCGCCCCTGCCCCCCAGTGAGAGGAAGGAGCCATTCCATGCCTTCTGCCTGGGGTGGGCCTCGCTGCAGTCAGGGCCCGTGGGGGCCCAGGGCCAACCCCAAAGTCCACGTCTCCTCCGGGCAGACGCCTGGCCAGGCTGGCGGGGCTGAGGCGGGGGCGCCCACTAGCCACGGTCTGGGGTGTCCTAGAGCCGGCACGGGAGGCCGCCAGCCAGGAAGTCTGGGAGCAACAGAGCAGGGTCCAGGCAGAGCCCGGTCACAGGCAGGCCAGCCACCCTTTCCCCTCTCCTCCCCGTGGGGCCTTCCTCCCAGCAGCCCTGGGTGCGGTCAAAGGTCCAAGCCAGGGAGGCAGAGCCCCTGCTGACCAGCCTGGCCCAGCCTGGCTGCATGGTCTAGGTGCCCCGTGGGGAGGGGGCTGGGCCTGGGGTGCGGGGACCCTCAGCTGCTTCTACCCTCGAAGAATTCCTGGGGGTCCTCCCTGGCAGCGCAAGGGGTTAAGCACCACACTATGAAGCCATCCGCAGCCTCTGCAGCACAAGTTCGATCCCCAGCTGGCCAGGGAGAAACCCACATGGTGAGGCAGACCTCTCCTGTCGTGCCCGCTGCTCCCCTCAGCAGTGGGTTTCAGTCAGTCTGCCTGTTCTGCTCCCCACTCTGTCTCTGGTGAATCCTCTCCCTGCACCCCCGCATCTCTGGCCTGTACCTCAGCTCTTGTATGCATAAATAAATAAAAATTTTAAAAAACCCTATCAAATCTTCAAAAAAAAAAAAGAATTCCTGGGGCGTGCACAGGTGTCAGATGACGCTCCTGCACAGGTGAGGACACCCTGAGGGCAGGTGGGCAGGTGCAGGGCAGAGGCCCCTGGGGCCTGAGGCTGCTCGTGGAGACACTTACGCACTGTGAGGGAACTGGCTGGGCTTCCGCCGCTTCTGTTGAGCAGCAGGGCAGGTGCTCAATAGTCCTGGCGGGGAGGCCAGCAGCCGGGTTTCCCAGAGCGTGGGGCCCTGAGGCAGCAAAGATGGCCACTCATGCTGGGCGAGGAGGCAGGCTGGGCCCTGCACTGGAGAAGCTGGCAAGGATGTAGAGACAAGGGGCCTCCACTGCTGGGGGTGCAAGCTGGCCCCCCTCTGAGGAGGGCTGTGTGGGGCTCCTCAGACTACTAGAAATAGAGCTTCCCTGCAATCCAGCAATTCCGCTCCTAGGGGTCTACCCAGAGACACAAAAACAGATTCAAAAGACACCTGTGCCCTGCGTTTGCTGCAGCAGCACTGTCCACAACAGGGGAGAGGTGGAGACGGCCCAAGTGCACAAAAGAGATGAGTGGGCAGACACGAAGTGGCTTCCATGCCCAAGGGCATGCGACTCAGCCGCCAGAAAGACAAACTCATGCCGTTCTGAAGCGTGGATGCAGCTGGAAGGGATCATGCTCAGTGACATAAGCCACAAGGAAAAAGGGAAATCCTGGATGGTCTCACCCACAGGAGGAATGTAGGAGAAGCAGATAAGGGGCCAGGAAAAAAAGAATTACAATAAATTAAAAAACAAAATTAACAGGCAACTATTAATCAGAGACACTCTGCAGGGGTGGCGGGGAGAGGGAACCCAACAGGGGAGGGGTGTGTTCTTACACAGGGAACTAGGGTGCCGGTGCCGGGGAATTGGGGGTGCACTACCCTGAGAGGAGACAGCACGCTCTGTACAGAAAGGAAGAACTATGTAAAATATATATAAAATTAAATAATAAAAAAAACCCCGGCCATTAAGGAAATGTGAAAATCCGTTTTAAAACGGGCCAAGTTCTGAGGCCATCAAAGATGGGCCAGGTGGGGTGTCGCCCACCAGGCAGGGGGGCGCGGCGCTGCGGGACCGGCCATAGGCGCGTGGGGGCCAGCGCGGCCGTCCCTGACACCACTTGGCAGGCTCTGCCACCCCACCCTCGCTGTCCCCCAAGGAGCTGGAACCCCGTGTGCTCCCAGCGCTGCGCCCCTAATTGCGGGGCAACCAAGATGTCCTTCCGTGGGCGGGGGAGCGCCAGGGGGGCCTCGCGTGTGGACCGGTGTGCGCGGCGCCCCTGGCCGAGGGGGCGGCCCTGGGGCCGAGGGTCCAGGCGCCCCTTCCGGGGAGGCCTCTGAGAAGGTCACGCTCCGGGGGCAGAGCCGAGGCCAGGGGAGACGCCGGGGCGCCCAGAGGAGGTGCCGGGCGAGCCCACGGCATCTGCGGTGCTGACCGTGGGGCGGAGCTGCGGCCGCGGGACACCAGGACGCTGAACCTTGGCTCGATTCTGCCGTGAACAGGCGCGGGGCCCAGAGCCGGGCGGGGCGGGGCCCCAGGGCCAACCCCGCCTCCCCCACAAAACAGTCAGAGGAGCCGGCAGCCCTGCCGGTCGGGGCCTCCAGGAGCCGGGGCCGGCCCAGGCGCTCCAGGCCGGTGTTCGGGATTGCGAGGTGGCTCAGGCCCGGGAGGGCGGGAGGGGCAGGGGAGAGCTGAGGCCAGCAGTGGGGTCGGGAAGGAGAGGGACAGCCTCACCCCGCGAGAGGGGCCCTTCTTGCTGCCCGGGGCGGCGCCCAGAGGCCGGGCGGGCCGGGCCTGGCAGGGAGCGGCTCAGGGGCTGTGCGCCCGCAGACCCAGGGGCCCGGCCCGGTCTCCCTCTCTCCCTGGGTCTTTCGACTCCCCTTCCCGCAGCAGCCAGCTTGGAAGGCCGCGGGCAGCGCAGAAGGGGCCCGAGACAACCCGCGGAGGCGGCTGACAGCAGCGCAGCCAGGCCTGCCCCCAGGGCTCTGACCTCTGCTCACCAGCCCGTGGGGACAGCAAAATTCTTACAGAACTTTTGTCCTTGAGTCCCGTCCCGTCCCGTCCCGGGACACTTCCTGCGTCATACTCAATAAATAACATCTATTTCTTAATCTTAACATCGATTTCTTAAGCTCCAAGGCCCCTCTGATCTCTGATAAGACACAGGACACATCTGTCCTGCTCTTTTTGCCCACTGGCAAGAGGGAGAGGCCTCCCGGCCCGCCCCGGGGTCCTGGCCGGACCCTCCCGCTGGCCTTGGCACCCATCGGCAGGCGGGCGAGCGGGCGGAACTTGGGCCACGCGTCTCTGCTGTCCCCTCCGCCGGGGGCTCTGGCCCTGACCCGGCGGGCTTCCTGGCCTAGTTTCTCCTGACGTGACGGAGCCGCCGGGGGTGATAAAAGGGCGGCGAGCAGGGCGGGGGCAGCGGGATGGCGCTCAGGGCAAAGGCGCGGGTGCGGCTGGCGGGGCTGGCGGGGCTGGCGCGGCCCCGGTGGCCCCTGGGCGTTACACGCGTGCTTGGCAGCCAGGCCGCTCCCAGGGCGGTGCTGCCCTTCCAAGCCATCCCTCGGCACCCGGGCAGCAAGTGGACGAGGATGCTGCAGGTGTGGAGAGAGCGGGGCTCGGAGGACCTCCACCTGGAGATCCACCGCGCCTTCCAGGAGCTGGGGCCCATTTTCAGGTAGCGCCCTCCCGGCCACGGGGGTGCAGGGTGCCCGGGCTCTGTCTCTGCGCAGGGGCCCTCGGAGGTGGATGCCCAGGGCTCATGGCCACGGGGACGGGCCTCCGGCGCTGGGGGGGACTTCGGCCAGCCCCGGGGCGGAGCGGACCGGGAGGGCGGCCACCAGGCTCGGATCCACCCCGCAGGTTCAGCACAGGGGGGAAGCAGATGGTGCTTCTGATGCTGCCGGAGGACGTGGAGAGGCTGCACCTGAACGACGGCCAGTACCCCCAGCGCATGCTCATCCTGCCCTGGCTGATGTACCGGCAGCACCGTGGGCACAAGTGTGGGGTGTTCTTGATGTGAGGCCCGTCAGGGGCGGGGGTGGGGTGGAGGGTGGGGGTTGGGATGGCGGTGGCAGCCTGGTGCAGACTTAAGTGGGGGACCCCGACCCACGGCCCGGGACCCCTCTGGTGGGCGGGGATGAGCACCCGTCCCATGGGGTGCGCAGGCTGGGGGGGTGGGAGGTGTGAGGAGGAGGGGGACCGCTGGCACCAGCCCTCTGCACGGCCGGGGCTTCTCCCGCAGGGGCACTGCCCGCCCGAGGTCAGCACGCCCCCGGAGCAGCCCCCGCCCAGCCATCCGGGTCAGCCTCAGGGCAGGCCGCGGATCCGGGTGCCGCGGCAGAGATGGGGCAGACGTCTGGGGGGGGCGGCCTGCTGGGGGAGGGTCGCCGCGGGCAGTGCCTCCCCCAGCCGCCTGCAGCCTTTCCCGGGGACCTGGCAGAGGCGCCGCCTGCCCCTCGTGCCCAGAGGGCGTTGGCGGCCTGGCCCCGGGCTGGGCGGGTGAGCCGGAGAGGCCGAGGCCCTGGCGCGCGGGCTGTGAGCAGGGGGCTGGCGCGCTCCGCCCTTGCAGGAGAGGCCTCCACGCCCCGGCGCGACTGTGGGGACAGTGTGCAGACACCGTGGGCGCATCCAGGCAGCGGCTCCCCCAGACGCAAAGTCCACCCGAGCACGCCGGCCCCGCAGCCCGCACTGGCCCGGGAGGGCAGCTGCCCGGCCTCCGGCGAGGAGGTGACCGGCTGCCCGAAGCACTGCCTCTGCCCACAGGAATGGGCCCGAGTGGCGCTCCCAGAGGATGGGGCTGAACCCCGAAGTGCTGTCCCCGCAGGCCACGCACAAGTTCGCCCCGCTGGTGGACACGGTGGCGCGGGACTTCTGCCAGGCCCTGCGGGCCAAGGCGCTGCAGAATGCCCGGGGCAGCCTGACCCTGGACGTGCAGCCCAGCATCTTCCACTACACCATGGAAGGTGTGGGCGGGGCCCGCTGGGGGGCTGGGGACTGGGTGGGCACCCACGGGGCTCAGGGAGGCCGAGGGGGGACCGGGCGGGCACCCGGGCTCAGCAGCGCCCTCTCCTGCAGCCAGCAACTTGGTTATTTTCGGAGAGCGGCTGGGCCTCCTCACGCAGAGGCCGGGCGTGGGCAGCCTGGACTTCGCGCTGGCTCTGAAGAACATGTTCTCGTCCACTGTGCCCCTCATGTCCCTGCCCCCGAGGCTGTCCCGCTGGGCCAGCCCGGCGATGTGGAAGGCACACTTCGAGGCCTGGGATGGTATCTACGCGTATGGTGAGGGCGTTGGGTGGCCTGGAGGCAGAGGCCCGGCGACCAGCCCCACAGCGTAGGGGGCGGGGCCTCAGGAGGGGAGGCTGGTCCCCAGGGGGGGAGGCTGGTCCCCAGAACTGGCGGGGAGGGTGGGGCGGGTAGCACCCCCAGGCTGAGCAGGGAGGTTGGGAGTAGCGGCCGGCAGGCGGGGGACTCGAGGAGGCCCCCCGGCACTGGACGCAGCTTCTGTCTCTGCCAGTCGACAGGTGCATGCAGAAGATCTACCAGGAGCTGGCCCTCGGCCGCCCGCAGCACTACAGCGGCATCATGGCTGAGCTGATGACTCAAGCAGAGCTGTCCCTGGACACCATCAGGGCCAACTCCATTGAACTCACGGCCGGGAGCGTGGACACGGTCAGGCCAGCAGCCAGCCCGGCCCTCAGAGCAGAGCCCCGGCTCCACACCCTCCCGGCCCATCTTGGTCAGAGAGTCCAGCCTTGGCCTGTGCTGGGAGGGAGCAGGGGCTGGCCCTGAAATGAGAAGGCATCGCAGGGCCGCCGGGCTCTAGGCCCAGCACCGAGCGGACGTGGCATGGGGGGCTGCCCCGGTTCCGATGCTACGGCCTGTCTGGGTCCGGGACATGGGGGGGCCCTTCCCAGCATGGCAGATGGGGCAGGCTGGGGGCAGGCTGGGCAGCTCAGGGCTCCAGCCATGAGGAGGGGCAGACGCGGGCAGGGCGGGCAGGCGAGGAGTGTGGCTGACACCTCCTGCCTCTGGTCCAGTGTCCCGGACAGCCTTAGGGCTCTGTGGAGACACCCCCTTGGTGGGGAGCCCCCCTGAGCAGAGCGGAGAAGTGTTAGAAGCAGTGCTGAGTGGCAGAGCTGGGGCCGGGGCATGCGCTGGGAAGGGGACGCTCAGGAAGGTTGCCCGGAGGGACTGGCAGCGGATGGAAGAACCACACAGCTTGGACAGGCGTGGGGGGTGAGGAGGGGGGGGAGGCCAGGAGCAGGGGAGGGGAGGGCAGGGGAGGGCAGGGAGGCACTGTGGGAGGCACAGGGCGGGTGGGCAGGTGAGGACAGAGGGGCCACGCCCTAGTTGGGAAGGGCCTGGGCACAGGCCTGTGAGGGCAGAAGCCAGCGGGGCCAGCTGTGCTGGGGCTCAGGGCCCCGAGACCCCAGGCTGACCAGGGACCCTCTGGCTGTACATGGAACGACCCAGCAGGACTGCTTGGATCGGGGCGGCTGGTTCCTATGGGGGCCCCTGATGAGCTGCCCTGGAGCAGAGGGAGCTGGGGCTCCGGCCTCCCCAGCAGGCAGCAGCGGGGGGGGGGGGGGGGGGCCACTCCCAAGAGGAAGGCGAGAACCAGGCCCTGAAGTGGCTGGAGGCGCCCTGGTCCCAGGATCCCAGGAAGGCTGGGGGCCCCTTCCCTGAGGGATTCGGGGGAAGCAGAGGTGGTGGGTTTGGGGTCTGAGGTCTCAGGCCTGCCTCCTCTGGACACGAAGAGCTCTGGAGGTGGGAGAGGGCTGGGAAGCTCTCTGTCGTGGGAGGGTGCCAGGCGCTGAGCCCCCTCCATGCCCCCGGCAGACATCTTACCCCCTGCTGATGACGCTCTTCGAGCTGGCTCGGAACCCCCAAGTGCAGCAGGCCCTGCGCGAGGAGAGCCTGGGGGTGGAGGCCCGGGTGTCAGAGCACCCCCAGAGGGCCATGGCGGAGCTGCCCCTGCTGCGGGCCGCCATCAAAGAGACCTTGAGGTAAAGGAGCCGCCCTGGCCCGCCCTCGGGGGGCTGCACTGGAGGCCAGCTCCTGCACGGAGGCCGCACCCCGCACGACCCTCCCTGGGGGCCCGCTTGTGGCGGCAGCCTCCCCCTTGAGCATGCGGCAGGCCCAGGCTCGCTGTCGGGGCTCCCGGCGGCAGGTTCAGGCCCTCCGGGCGGAGGCCAAGGTGCGGCCTGGAGGGCGAGGCCCGTCACCACCAGCACCCCGTGGCTGCCCCGTCCGCAGGCTGTACCCCGTGGGTGTCTTTCTGATCGCGAAGTGACCTCTGACCTGGTGCTGAGGGACTACCACATCCCTGCGGGGGTGAGCGGCGCCCGGGCCACGGCTGCCCCCGCTGCGCCCCGCCCCTGCCCGCCCCTGCCCGCCCCTGCCCGGCCCTGCCGGCCCTGCATGGCCACCCGCCCCCGCCCCCGCCCGCCCGCCCCTGCCGGCCCTGCCCGGCCCTGCCCGGCCCTGCCCGGCCTGCCCGGCCCTGCATGCCCCACCCCGCCCCGCCCCCCCCCCCCCCCCGGCCTGCCCCCGCCCGCCCGGCCCCGCCCCGCGCGCTCACCGCCCCGCCCGCCCGCCCGCAGACCCCGGTGAGGTGTCGCTCTACTCCCTGGGGCGAAACCCCTCCGTGTTCGCCAGGCCCGAGCGCTACCACCCGCAGCGCTGGCTGGACAAGCGGGACCCCAGTACCTCGTTCCAGCACCTGGCCTTCGGCTTCGGGGTGCGCCAGTGCCTGGGGCGGCGGCTGGCCGAGGTGGAGATGGTGCTGCTGCTGCACCACGTGAGCGCGGGCGGGGGGCGGGCGGGGGCCCAGGGTCCGCCTGGGGCTCGGGCGGCTGGGCACCCCGGCCCGGCGCCCCCCGTCCCGACCTGCGGCTCTGTCCCAGGTGCTGAAAGGCTTCCTGGTGGAGACGCTGACGCGAGAGGACCCCAGGATGCGCTACTGCTTCGTGCTGATGCCGGCCGCCTTCCCCCTCCTGACCTTCAGGGCCGTCCGCTAGCCTCGCCACAGCAGCGTCGCCAGCCGCGCCACCTGCCCCCCGCGGCCGGCCCGGCCCTTCCCGCCAGCCCCCCAGCACCGTCTCCAGTAAGGGGCACCGCGGGGCCTTGGAGCGCTGTGGCCCGCACCTGCTAGAGGCCCCCGCGTGTCCAGCCCAGGACCCGCACCCACCCCCGGCCCTCCCGTCCTGCCTCGCGCCCCTGCCCCCCACACACACCCTTGCTGCACCGCCACGTGGGGCGCCTGTCGGGACACCAGGGCCCGGGCGTGCCACCCCTGTTCGCAGGCCAGCGTTCTGCAGAGTGGGGACGAGCCAGGGCGTCCTTCCCCTGCACAGCTCCGTGGTCGGGACCAGCCTGTGTCCAGGGAGACCGTGACCCCCAACTAAGCAGCGAGGGTTCCCTCCTCGTCATTCCCATCCAGGCAGTGCTGGGCTGTGCTGCAGGGCTCCCCGGGTGTGGGGACAAGGATGGGGACGGCCTTGGGTGTCGTTTGCAAAGGCCTCGGGGCAGGGCAGGGGCACAGGTGGCTGCGTGCACGCCTCCCTTGGCCGGTGCGGGGCCACAGATGGCCTGGTGGCAGTGGGTGGCTTCCAGCGCTCCAGTGTGCCGGGTCCAGCAGCGAAAACAGGCCTTGCCACTTGTGGTCACTCCACAGGGGGCCTGGGCAGGGGGCAGGGGCGTGCCCCAGTCTAGAGCTGACCTCTCCATCAGGCCCTTATCCCCGAAGACTGTCCCGGCGCAGGTCACGGCGCCAAGAGAATGGTGGGCCATGGCCACAAGGGCATCGTTTTCCCAAGCAGGGCTGTGAGGGCCAGTGTGCTGCCCGCGGGCGCATGCTGCATGGGGCCACGGCCCGGCAGAAGAAGGCTCTCAGTCCAGGGCCTTCCCCGTACCGGCCCCCGGCAGAGGGTCCTCCCCGCCCCGCTTCCAGCCGAGCCTAAGCCAGCAAAGGGTCACAGAAATTTGCAAAGGCTGGCTGGGTAGACGGGCCCTCCAGGCTCTGTGTAGGACCCCCGACGGGGCTCCTGCGCGTCCAGGGAGCCTTCCAGAGCCGGGAGCTCCACCTCACCTCAGGGCCATCTGCGCTGCTCACTCTTCCCGTGGTGTGTGCGGCCTCGGCCCACCCCTCCGTCTGTGACCCCGGCCCCCCACATTGCCACGGCACCCTCACCCAAGCCCCCTAAGCTGGCAACCCAACCAGGCCCCCAAACCCGTTCCATGGCTCCACGCGCACGCGACACAGAGACACTTTCTCTGGTGCAGGACAGGATCAGACAGGACTGCGCCACAGGGGCCGCGCGTCCTCGGCGAATCGCCCCTAGAGGCCACCCCTCCCTGCGGCCCGCCGGCCACCCTGACCCGGCTGCTGGGGCCTTGCTGCCCCGGCCAGCTAAGACTGGTAAACAAACAGCAACAGCTAAGACTGGCAAACGAAAGAAAGGGCCTAAGACCATGAGGCCTAAGACTTCCAAAGAGCCTCACACGGTGGGGCTGAAGATTCCCTGCACCCCACACCGTGGGACTGAAGATTAACCTGCAACCTACAAACATCCCCTTGTTTTTTGTTCTGCGGCGTATAACAAAAATCTTCTCAGAAAGTACATTGGGCAATAAATTATTCGTGTGAGAATACTGCAAGTAGCTGGCACACAGAAATAGCTGCTGAAAAATTTAACACTAAATTTGGCTGCCCGACAATGGGAAAGAATTTGTTACACACGCGCTTGCGTGACAAGCCACCCAGGGCGATCACAGCAGGGCCTTCTTTTGCTTTTTTTAGAAGTGTCTTAGGAAAGTTTTTACATGAAGTGAATGGTGTTAAGAAGTTTCTAGGTAGAAACCCTGTTAGCTCACAACCAGAAAGCAGCGGGTCTCCGGCTGAAGGCCACGCGGAGAAGAAGAATCTTTTGATGCTTAGGCTTTGGCTGACAGGAGTGTCCCCACGGCCACCGGCTGTCCTGGGTAACTGCCTGGCTGCAATGACGAGGTTTAGCGTGAGGCGTAGTTTTTTATCTATTAACCTCGAAGGTCGCCTTCTTGCTGAGAGCACGTAGCAGCCAAAAGTCTCTGGGGAAAAAAACACCCTGACGGCTTCTCTGCTTCCACGCGCACGACCACGTCACCGCAGCGCTTGCCTTGGTGCGGGAACGAAGCCCCGCCGAGGGCCTGGGCAGGAGAGGCTGACACCGGCCCCGCGCGGGCCGCCTCCTTGCTCGGCCGCCGTCCACCCTTCCCGACCCGACACCCAGCTTGCCGAGGCCGGCTCCCGGCTCCCGGCCCGCGCCCGGCGACCACCCACGGCCGCGCGGCACGGTCTCGGGGCCACACGAGATGGGGGCTCGCCGGCTGCGCTCCGCGTGGGCGTCCATGCGCCTGGACAAGAGCGCGGCGGGCGAGCGGCCCCTCTGCGGTGCTTTCCAGCAGGGCCTGGGGGCCGGGCGTGTGCCCTGCAGGCTCCCCCCACGCCCCCGCCCCGCCCGCCCCGCCGGCCCTCGCACCTGCCCCCGCGGGCACCTGCCCCGCAGGGCCGCTCAGCGCCCTGGAGGACCGACCTTCTCGGACCTTCCTGGGTGGCGCCTCGCTCGCGGGCAGCCTGCGGGCACAGGGAGGGCCGAACCTTCCAGAAGCGCGCGCAGCCCGCTGGGAAACCGCCGGTCGAAGGTCGCTGCTCGCGCGAGGGGCGCCCGGCCAGGGGCCCCTGTTCTGCCCGGGGCCTGGAAGCTTCCAGAAGCCTGAGCCTGGGGCCGGGGCGGGGCGCGGCCGGCGGCCTGGACCTTCGCGCTTGGTGGGGCCGCGGGCCGCGCAGCCCCAGGCGTCCCCCCAGGCGTCCGGCGCGGGCCCAGAGGGTTCCCGGCTCTGCCCCCCGCAGGCCGCGCCTTCCCCAGAGCCCCGCCCCGCCCCACGCGCACCCCTCCGCGCGCGCGCCGCCTCCGGCCCAGGCCCCCCCCCCCCCACCCCGGCGGCCAGCGCGCTGTCCTGGCCTCGGCTGTTGAGACACAGAGTCCCGTCCCGGGATCCCGCGCCCGGGGTGGGAACGGGCCTCGGGGCACCGCGGGGCCGGTCGCGGCCCACGGGGCGCAGGCGGCTCCCCACGGCGGGAGCCGGGGCAGCGCGGCCCCACCCGGGCCCGCGTGAGGCGGAGGACAGGCCCGCTGGTGGGCGCCCGGCCTGCGGCGCCCTCCCGGGAGGCAGAGGCCGGCCCCAGGCCCCGCCACCGCCGGCTGCTCCGTCCCGTGGACCAGAGGGCGACGCCGGCGCCCTTCCCGCGTGGACTCGGGGCGCGTCGGCCTGGCCCAGTGAGCGGGCGCCGCAGGAGCAGAGGTGCCGCCCGGACAGGACGCTGCCCCGCGCGGCCGGCCTGCGGGCTGAGCCACCCCCGCGAAGACCCCCGCCCGCTCCCGAGCCCCACGGTCTGCAGCCACATGGCACAGGCCACCTGCGGCCCTGCCCTCTCCCCCCTCCCCGCCCCCAGCTAGGCCCAGCTGACCCCACCAGACACGCCCACGGGGCCCTGCAGGGCTCTGGCGCCCACTGCCCTGCTCCCCTGCACCCTTTGGGCCTCCCCCTGCTGCTTCCCCACCTGGGAACTGCAAGGGGGCGTGTGGGGTCGGAACCTGGGGGGCCAGTACCGCTGGCCCTCCCTCTGCTACCCCGTGACCCTTGGGCTTGGATTGAAACGGTCGGCCCCTGCTGCCCGGGAGGCCGGTGTGCTGGGCCAGTCGCCAGGCCACAGAGTGGGGGGGACACAGAGGGACATCACCAGACACTGGGGTGAGAAGCCAGCCCCGCGCTCTTTACTGCTCTCCAGTCAGCGCCCCTGGGGAGCGGCCCGCCCGCCCGCCCGCCCGCCCTCCTGGACAGAGCCTCTGCCAGACTGAGGGGCAGAGGGTTGCGCCGGGGCCTGTGGAGAGCGCGGGTCAGGTCAGCGCCCTGCTGGCCAGCAGGGAGGCCAGGCTGAGCAGCAGCCGCGGCCCACCCACGCGCTCCGCCCCCTCGATCTCCTCCATGGCCTGCTGGGTCTGGATGTCCCGTTCCAGGTTGGTCGGGCCCCCGTCGTTGCATCTCATGTCTCCGCAGCAGCGGACATGGTAGAAGTGCGTGGTCTTCACCTTCCTGGGGGCCTCGGGGGGCACTTGCTCTGGGTACAGAAACGTGCAGTTGGTGCCGCAGTCCTTGTAAATCATGAGTTGGCGAGAGTTGAGACCTGGAGAAGGCGTGGAGATGACAGTCAAGTGTCCACACTGTCCCCCAGGCGCCCACGCTGTCCCCACACACACCCACTGTGACCAGCACCCACGGCCGATGCCCCTGCCACAGCCCCACTGCCCCAAGTGCCGGCTGCCCCCACACTACTCCCGACACCCCTGTGAAGGCCCTGCCATCCTGCCCGCCCACAGCCAGGAGGCTCCAGGGCCCCGAATGAGACGCAGGGAGGCAGCTGCGTGCTGACGTCACCATGGACCCAGGGCCCCTCTGGCTACCGGCCTGTCCACCAGATGGCATGGGACCTGCGGCCTTCCCAGGGTCTCCACCTGCCCTCCCCCCTCCCTCTCTCACTCCCTCCCGCCAGCACAGGGCTTCCCTAGGCATCCCAGGACCGGCCTGACCATCCCCTGGCCTCTCTGTGACCCATGCTGGCCTCTGGCCGGGTGAGATTTCAAGGAGTCACAGTCCACCGCGTGTCCTGCGCTGGCCTCCCTGTCCTTCAGGTACTGTGGGTTTCGCAGATTGAAACAACTGCTCCCCGCCATTCCCTGAGACAGGTCAGTGGGCACCAGGCCTGGACAACCCAGGCCCCGCAGGGAGTCTGGGAGGAAGGGCCAAGTGGAGCAGGGCTGCAGCGGCCAGGCGGGGCAGGGCTGCGGGCGCTGGGGACACGGGCGTGCGGGCAGAGTCCTGGCCGGCAGCTCTGGGACAGCAGCGTCCGGCCGAGGGACCCGGCCTCAGCGGCGGCTCCCAGCACTCCAGCCCCTCCAGTCAGCGTTCCTATGGGGGCTTTCCTGCTGCCCCTGCGCACACCTGCACCCCAGCTGGGGTCCTCTAAGAATGACCCGCCAGGCCCCTCGGGTCTCAGAGCGCCAACACCCCCACACGATGTCCCGGCGCGTGGCCCTGGGCTTCTAAGTCCTGTTCTCTGCGGCCACCACTTCAAGAGCCTCTGCTGGGAAGTCGGTCCCCAGCAGGGGGGCAGCAGCCTCGCCTGCCCTGCAGGACACGTCCAGGAGCTGACAGCTGACCACCAGGCTGCGGCTCTTCCTCTTTGGGCGCGCACCCCTCTCTTCTGCCGAAACTCAGTGATAAAGACTGATCGCCAAATGCAGCCCCCACCCCAGCGGAGGCGGAAGGCCCGCCCTGCTCCCCAGCGCTCTGCGGGGGTGACTGCTGCAGGCACAGAGAACGGAAGGGGGACTTACGGATGGAAACCGTGAGGCAGAGCCGAGACGAGGAGTGACACTCCACGACGTCGGGACAGTTAAAGTCGTTCAACGTGGAGCAGGAGAAGCACTTCAGGTTCTTGGTCCCTGGGGCAGAGGCAGTGTCCGCCCCGCGCCGCCCCCGCCCCGCGTCCAGGACGCCCGCCCCGAGCAGCTCGGCCTCCGTCGAGGGGTCCGGGTCCTGGGCGCACCCCCCTCCCTTCCCCCCACGCAGGCCACCGCATGGGCCGGCGCTCCACCGAGGCGCCCCGCGCCCCGCGCCCCTGCGGCAGCCCCAGCCCGGCCCGTGCGGCCTCGTACCTGACTCCTGGAGGCTGGCGTTCCCGGGCTCCGCCGGCGGCCACGCCACGGCCAGCAGCAAGGCGCAGAGCAGCATCGTGTCCCGGGGCTTCGCCTGCGAGGCAGGGGCGGGCGCGCCTCAGCCGGGCTCCCCGGGCCTGCCCGCGCCCCGCCCCCCCCGCACCCCGCCCCGCACCCCGCCCCGCGACGCCTGCCCGAGCGCGCCCGCCGGCAGACGCGGGGGCGGCGGGGGCGCGGCCTGGGGGGCCGGGCGCCCACGCCGGGGAGCGGCCCGAGGCCCCGGGCCCGGGAGCTGCTGGGGGCGCGGCCGGCGGCCCACGCGGCCCGATCCGGAACCTTCCGCCCCCGCCCGCCCACGGCGGCGGCCTGACCCTCTGGAACCTTCCCGGGATGGGCCTCGGAGGGGACAGCCTTCGGGAAGAGGACGGGCCGAACCTTCCAGAAGGGCGCGGAGCCTGCTGGGAAATCCCGGAGCCCGAGGGGAGGGGTCCTCGGGCCGCGGCGGCCCCGCCCGAGGCCCCAAGGTCCAGCGGTCCCTGCCCGCCGGCGGGGCGGGGCGGGGCGGGGCGGGGCGGGGCGGGGCGGGCGGCCGTGGGCGTGGCCCGTGTCCTGCCGGGACCCCCGACCCCCCGCCCCCCGCCTGCCCGGGCCCCGCGGAAAGGCCGGGCTCGCGGGTTTTGAGTCCGGCGCCCCGGTCCAGGCCCCGCGGAGCCGCGCCCACCCCGGCCGCGGCCCTGCCCCGTCGGACCCGGGATCGCGGCGTCACTCCCGGCGTCTCCCCTAAAAGCCTCCAAGGTGTTTCTCTGTCAGACCCGCCATTGGAAACAACCAAGCGATGGAAACAGCGCGCCCCGCGGCAGCGCGCGGGCCCCTCCCTGGTCGCCGGGTCGCTCCCCGCATCTCGCTGCCGTCGGGCGAGGGCGGCTCCTGGGGCGCGGCAGCCCTGCGGTTTCTGGCCGCGCTCGGGGCCCTGGCACGGGCGGGGTCCGCCCGCGCGGGGGGCCGCGGGTCCCCGTCCCCACGCCGGTTGCGACAGACAGCGGGGCCCCTCTTTTCAGCCCCCGCGCTAGCTGTCCACGCCGCTGGCCACCGGCGGCGCTTACGGGCACCCGCCGAGCCAGCGCTGCACCTGCGCGCCTGCGCCCCAGCCGCGCCCCGGGGGCCCGCTGCGCCCGGGCTGCCGCCCGGCGTCTCCCCCCCCACCCCCGGAGGGCCGGCGCCCCCCCAGCCCGCCGCAGGCCGCGCCGCCAGCCTGCGCTGCCCCCCAAACTACGTCCAGGCCTCAAGCAAGTGGCGCGGCCCAGCGCCGGGGTCCACGAGGCACGGTCCAGGGCACCGGGTCCCACACGGCGAAGGCTGCCTCCCTTGGGGGCCAGTGCGGGCTTCAGAGGTCTGCTGGCCGCTGGCCCCCGGCGCCCTCCGGCTCGGGGAGCCTGAACTGGGAGGGTTCGCCTGCATCCAGCCTGGACCCCTGGGTGACCCCTGCTCGCCGCCGAGCCCCACGGCTTTGGGGTTCCAGGCTGAGACGCCCGCGGCCTGCCTGTCTTGCCCCGCCAGGGGTGCGGAAGCCCGTTCCCGGCCTGCTGGTGGCAGCACAGGCTGCCCCGCGCTGCGACACCCCCCGGCCCTGCGGGGGCCTCCTCTGCAACTGACCGACAGCACGACCCCGACCCCGACCCCGCGGGGATGAAGCTCTGCTGGGCACCGACCATCGCTCTGCCCTCCCCGGCAGGACGGCGCGGCCTTCGGCTGCAGACTCGGTGCAACACCAGCCCGGAGAAGGCGGCCGCCTCCGCGCCCGGCTGAGCGTCGCCAGAGGCCCTGCTCCCGTGTCCGGTCAGCGCTTTCCGGCCGCTGCTCTGCCCTTCTCCTGGACTCGGTGGCCGTACCCCTCCTGCCGCGGCCCTGACCATGACAGACAGAGGCCCCAGAGGCCACTTGCTGCGACTGGCACGAGCCTTCTGCCAGCCCAGAACCCCGCCTCCGAAGAACCCAGTGGCTTGGCACAGACCAGGCATGAAAATGAGCTTAAACAAAACAAGTGATTTCGACGCCTAAACTGTGGTGACCCTGTAGCCAGCAAATGCCCCGTCAGTGGAAACGCCAGCGTCGCGCCCGCCTTTACCAGGACCACCCCGTGCCGCCCCGCGGGCGCCACGCCGGCCTCGCCCCTCCGGCAGCACGGGGTCCTGCCCCGTCTGCAGCACCGGACCCCCGCCCGCGCCAGACCGCCTCCCCTCCCGCCACGGCAGGACGCTTGTCCCCAGCGCCTGCGACCCCTCCGTGTGCCGCGGGGGCAGCCGCGGCACGTGCGCGTGGCCAGCGCCCCTGGGGGAGCTCTTGCCGGTGCCGCAGCCCCAGCTGCACTGAGCTCCCCGAGCCCAGCACCCCCCAGCTCCACGCCCGGGAACCACGTGTGCCGGAGACCTCTGCCTGCTCGTCTCTGCACATTCCCCCGAACTCTCACCGCGATGGCGCTGACTTCATTTCACGTGTTGCTGGGGGTCCCCTGGCGCCCGCTCTCCTTAGTCTCAGCAGCGAGGAGACAGGCGGGATCCCCAGCCCTCCCCACCTTCCACACCACGGGGCGCCCCAGTCCTGCTCCCAGCTGCCACCACAGCCCCGAAGCCCAGCGTGTCTGGGAGGAGCGCGGCAGCGTGGACAGGAGATGCCCGGGGATGCGCGACCCCAGCACAGGCACAAGCGGGACCTGGGGTCCACGCGGCCACTCCCATGGCGGCCGCCGGGACGGCCGCGCCCGGCAGGAGGAGCGCCAGGCACCGACCCAGGCACACTGAAATCCACCAGCTGCGCCCTGTCGTCCCGGCACCACGGTCTGGCAACTGTGGGTCAGACTCCCCACGCCACGAGGGGGCACAGCCACAGGCACCGGCCGGACACCCGCAACCGTCCTGCCCGGCGAATTCGCGCCACACAGACGCACGGCGCCTGTGGTTCCAGCGGAGGACGGCCAGCCCGGGGGCCAGTGCCGAGCTCAGGGGCCGGTGGCAGCCGGCAGGACGAGCCTGGTGGGCAGCAATGCAGTGGCTCTCCCCAAGCCCAGCCCCTGGAGCGCAGGGCAGGACGCTGCCTTGGCAGGCGCTGCCGATGTGTCCTCTCCTGGCTTGGCTGGCTCTGGATCGCAATTCTGGGCCTGGACCCTCTGGGGGAGAGCAGCGGAGGCGCCCCGTGGCATGCAGGTGCATGGCATTCGGTCACGCACGGGTCACGTGACACGGAAGCGTGCTCTGCATCGCCCGGCCACCACCTGCAGGGCTCGTGGGCATGACCACCGCGCTGACCGTGCCCGCGCCCTGGTGTGGAGCACACCTCCACCGCGGGACGGCCTTGGGGCTCCCATGGTGGGGGCGCCAGGAACCCAGCGGAGGCTTGGTGGGGGTCGGCTCAGAGGGCCTGGCGCGGAGCCTCGGTGCTGTGCCCGCCAGTGCCCTGGAGGAGGGGGACCTGAGAGCTGTGGACCCGGCTCCGAGCCAAGGTCATGGGAGCTTGGAGCCAAGGGATGTGGCTGGGGCAGCTGGGCACGGGCTTGGCCGGGAAAGATGCTGGGGTCCCGGGTAATGGATCCCAACCACCACCCAGAGACCCAAACTTGCCCTGCCTAGAAGGCGCCTCTGCCCCCGGCAAGGCCTGGCCTGCGGCGCTGTGACGCTGGAGCTGTCCCCCCCGGGTCACTCCCAGCCCAGCTCTGCCACTGGAGACACACGCTGGCTGCCAGCGCCTGCCCGCCTGCCCGCCTGGGGCGGCTCACCGTGGCTGGGGCAGTTCCAGGGCCTCTCTGAGCCATGGCTTCCTCATCTGCAAAATGGGGTGTTTCTAGCACTTGTCTCCCCAAAAACTGAGACGCAGGGAATGTGCAGAGCTGACCGCACAGCATTCAGGATCCCTTAACAATGTTAACTCCAGGTCTCCCTGGGGGCACAAGGGGTTTAGATGAAACCTGGGAAGCTGTCCGCAGCAGCTGCAGCCTGGGCCACGGAGCTACCCACATGGCGCAGCAGACCTCTCCTGCCTCCCCCTGCTCCCCCCAGCAGTGGATTTCAGTAGATCTGCCTGTTCTGCTCCCCTCTGTCTCTGGTGACTCTTCTCACTCCCACGCCTCTGGCCCGCACCCCAGCTCTCGTGTGCGTAAATAAGTAAATCTTAAAAAAACAACAATGCTAACTGCAACTCGCCAACCCCCTGGAAGCACTTCCAGAGCGGAGACCTCCCCATTTACTGGGCCTAGACCTGGACGCTGTGCAAACCCCAGGCGCGGGGAACCATTAGACAGCCCCCCACGCCGGGAAAGGAGGTCAGCGCTGGGAGGGGTGGCTGGGCCAGTCGGGCTGCCGCCCTGACCAGGCCTCTGGGACCACTGTCCGAGCGGGTCTGCCAGCGCCCAGGGCTGCCATGGCCGAGGGCAGAGCGTGCGGCCGTCCAGCGCCCTGGAGAGTGGGGGCGCGGCTCCGCGGGGCCTGGACCGGGGCGCCGGACTCAAAACCCGCGAGCCCGGCCTTTCCGCGGGGCCCGGGCAGGCGGGGGGCCGGGGGTCCCGGCAGGACACGGGCCACGCCCACGGCCGCCCGCCCCGCCCCGCCCCGCCCCGCCCCGCCCCGCCGGCGGGCAGGGACCGCTGGACCTTGGGGCCTCGGGCGGGGCCGCCGCGGCCCGAGGACCCCTCCCCTCGGGCTCCGGGATTTCCCAGCAGGCTCCGCGCCCTTCTGGAAGGTTCGGCCCGTCCTCTTCCCGAAGGCTGTCCCCGCCGAGGCCCATCCCGGGAAGGTTCCAGAGGGTCAGGCCGCCGCCGTGGGCGGGCGGGGGCGGAAGGTTCCGGATCGGGCCGCGTGGGCCGCCGGCCGCGCCCCCAGCAGCTCCCGGGCCCGGGGCCTCGGGCCGCTCCCCGGCGTGGCGCCCGGCCCCCCAGGCCGCGCCCCCCGCCGCCCCCGCGTCTGCCGGCGGGCGCGCTCGGGGCAGGCGTCGCGGGGCGGGGTGCGGGGCGGGTGCGGGGCGGGGTGCGGGCAGGCCCGGGGAGCCCGGCTGAGGCGCGCCCGCCCCTGCCTCGCAGGCGAAGCCCCGGGACGCGATGCTGCTCTGCGCCTTGCTGCTGGCCGTGGCGTGGCCGCCGGCGGAGCCCGGGAACGCCAGCCTCAGGGACTCATGTACGAGGCCGCACGGGCCGGGCTGGGGCTGCCGGAGGGTCGCGGGGCGCCTTGGGGGCCGCGGAGCTGGCGGGTCTGGGGGGGTCTGCGCGCGCGGGGCGGTGCGGGCTGCCCGTGGGCGGAGAGGGGCGGGGGGAGGGCGCGGGCCCAGTGACCGCCAGGCCTGCCCCGGGCGGCGGCAGAGGGCAGGTGCCCACGCCCAGCGGCGGGCCTCGCTGCAGCCTGTGTCGGGGGCAGCCCCAGGACCGGTGCCCACCGGCTGAGCCGGGGGCGGGGGCGGGAGGCAGAGCAGGGCCGAGGCAGGAGGGCGGCCGGGGTGGCGCGAGCGGGCGGCGGGGCAGACCGAGGCGGCCTCTCCAGGGACCTACAACCTGAGGTGCTTCGCCTGCACCACGATCAACAACTTCAACTGCCGGGACCTGGTGGAGTGCGTGTACGAGATCCGGCGCTGCTTCACCGTCTCCATCCGTAAGCTCCGCTCTCGACCCGAGGCGGCCGGCTGGGTCCCCCCCGCGCCAGCGGACAGAGTGAGGGGCACCCGGCCGCGCCCACCCCGGCCGCCTGCAGACAGCGGCCGCGGCGGGCGAGACCTGGCTGGAGGGACTCCACGCGCCAGCGCGGGCGGCGAGGAGGGAAGAGGGCAGGAAGGAATATCAGGGTGGGCCCAACTTGGGGCTTCTGGGCCCGAGGGCCTGTCCCTCTAAGGCTCCTTCTAGGGGACCCACAGGGAAGGGGCGGGAGTGGCCAGGCAGGTCTGGGAGGAAAGAAACAATGTCATCGTCACGCTGCCCTGGGCACCCCCCTGTGGTCTCAGCCACGTCAGTATCCCTCAAGGCTCCCCCCGGCACCCCCACATCCGGTGCTAGCCCAGGACCCGTGCCAGCCCCGCCTCTGGGGGCCTCGCTGCTCCACTCTCGCCACCTTCTCCAGGTCTCAACGCCCGCGAGATGCTCGTGTACAAGAACTGCACCACCAACTGCACGTTTCTGTACCCAGAGCAAGTGCCCCCCGAGGCCCCCAGGAAGGTGAAGACCACGCACTTCTACCATGTCCGCTGCTGCGGGGCCATGAGATGCAACGACGGGGGCCCGACCAACCTGGAACAGGACATCCTGACCCCGGAGGAGGCCATCCAGGAGGAGATCGAGGGGGCGGAGCGCGTGGGTGGGCCGCGGCTGCTGCTCAGCCTGGCCTCCCTGCTGGCCAGCAGGGCGCTGACCTGACCCGCGCTCTCCACAGGCCCCGGCGCAACCCTCTGCCCCTCAGTCTGGCAGAGGCTCTGTCCAGGAGGGCGGGCGGCGGGCGGGCGGGCCGCTCCCCAGGGGCGCTGACTGGAGAGCAGTAAAGAGCGCGGGGCTGGCTTCTCACCCCAGTGTCTGGTGATGTCCCTCTGTGTCCCCCCCACTCTGTGGCCTGGCGACTGGCCCAGCACACCGGCCTCCCGGGCAGCAGGGGCCGACCGTTTCAATCCAAGCCCAAGGGTCACGGGGTAGCAGAGGGAGGGCCAGCGGTACTGGCCCCCAGGTTCCGACCCCACACGCCCCCTTGCAGTTCCCAGGTGGGGAAGCAGCAGGGGGAGGCCCAAAGGGTGCAGGGGAGCAGGGCAGTGGGCGCCAGAGCCCTGCAGGCCCCGTGGGCGTGTCTGGTGGGGTCAGCTGGGCCTAGCTGGGGGCGGGGAGGGGGGAGAGGGCAGGGCCGCAGGTGGCCTGTGCCATGTGGCTGCAGACCGTGGGGCTCGGGAGCGGGCGGGGGTCTTCGCGGGGTGGCTCAGCCCGCAGGCCGGCCGCGCGGGCAGCGTCCTGTCCGGGCGGCACCTCTGCTCCTGCGGCGCCCGCTCACTGGGCCAGGCCGACGCGCCCGAGTCCACGCGGGAAGGGCGCCCGCGTCGCCCTCTGGTCCACGGGGACGGAGCAGCCGGCGGTGGCGGGGCCTGGGGCCGGCCTCTGCCTCCCGGGAGGGCGCCGCGGGCCGGGCGCCCACCAGCGGGCCTGTCCTCCGCCTCACGCGGGCCCGGCTGGGGCCGCGCTGCCCCGGCTCCCGCCGTGGGGAGCCGCCTGCGCCCCGTGGGCCGCGACCGGCCCCGCGGTGCCCCGAGGCCCGTTCCCACCCCGGGCGCGGGGATCCCGGGACGGGACTCTGTGTCTCAACAGCCGAGGCCAGGACAGCGCGCTGGCCGCGGGAGGGAGGGGGGGGGGGGCCTGGGCCGGAGGCGGCGCCCGCGGAGGGGTGCGCGTGGGGCGGGGCGGGGCGGGGCGCGGGCCCGGCGGCCGTGGGCGGGGCTCTGGGGAAGGCGCGGCCTGCGGGGGGCAGAGCCGGGAACCCTCTGGGCCCGCGCCGGACGCCTGGGGGGACGCCTGGGGGTGCGCGGCCCGCGGCCCCACCAAGCGCGAAGGTCCAGGCCGCCGGCCGCGCCCCGCCCCGGCCCCAGGCTCAGGCTTCTGGAAGCTTCCAGGCCCCGGGCAGAACAGGGCCCCTGGCCCGGCGCCCCTCGCGCGAGCAGCGTCCTTCGACCGGCGGTTTCCCAGCGGGCTGCGCGCGCTTCTGGAAGGTTCGGCCCTCCCTGTGCCCGCAGGCTGCCCGCGAGCGAGGCGCCGCCCAGGAAGGTCCGAGAAGGTCGGTCCTCCAGGGCGCTGAGGCGGGCGCGGGGCAGGTGCCCGCGGGGGCAGGTGCGAGGCCGGCGGGGCGGCTCGGTGGAGGCGCGGCCCTGCTGCTGGGGCGGGAGCCGCCGAGGTGGGGAGGGGGTGGGGAGGGGGTGGGGTGGGGAGGGGGTGGGTGGGAGGGGAGGGGTGGGGTGGGGAGGGCAGGGCCCGAGTGGCTCGGTGCCGGGCACAGGTTCGGGTGAAGGGTGCGGGGCGGGGGGAGGGGCTGATGTCCGCGCTGCGGGGCGGCCGGGAGGGGACGGGCGGGGTGGGGCAGAGCTGGGCCGGGCCGGGCCCGGGGGCCCCTCCGAGGGGCCGTCCAGGGCCCTGGGTGGGCGGGCGGGTCCTCCCTGGTGGCGACGCCCGGGCACTCCTGCCTCGGTGCGGCCGGTGGGCCGGGCTCGGGGCGGTGTCCGCCGAGGGCCGGGTCCACCCCGCACAGCACCTGGCCCCGCGGCGGAAGGGCCTTGGGGCGCGGACACCCAGGCCTGGGCCCCGGCTCGCCCCTCTGACCGCCGCTGCCTCGCAGCCCGCCCCCGGAGATGGGGGTCCTCCTTGCTTTCCTCCTGGTCCTGGTCCGGCCCGCGGCGAGCCGGGCGGCGAACGTCACCGCGATCGGAAGACAAGGCAGGTCGGGGGTGGGGGCGCTGCCGGCGCGCACCTGGGGGTGTGCGCGAGTGGGGGTGTCCTGTGTGCAGGTCGGTCGTGCCCTGGGGTGCCGTAGAGCGAGACCTACCCCGTGGGGGACGGGAGGGAACCCCAGGAGAGAAGGCGTGGCCGGAGTCCACCAGGACGGGCACTGGCTGGGCTCCCTGCGGGGCGGGCCGGGCCTGACCTCCCCGTCTGTGTCGCCCTCAGCCGGCTTGCAGTGTCACGTGTGCGAGGTGGAGAACACGTTTGCGTGCAGCAACCCGCAGACGTGCAAGGAGAATGAGCGCTTCTGCAGCACCTCGGCCATACGTGCGTCCCGCGCGTGGGGCGCAGGGCAGGGCGCCTGTCGCGCTCCAGAGGGGCGGCTCCCAAAAGCGACTTGCATGAAACTGAGGGGGTAGCACCAGGGTGGGGGAGCGGTGTGGGCGCCAGTGCCACCAGGGGCCGGGCAGGGCGGGTTCTCTCTGCCTGTGGGGGCGGCTGCCTCTGCTTCCTGGGAGCTCTGGGGGCCTGTGCTTCCCCAGTTGGGGTTCCCTCCCCGTCTCCTCCTTCCCGTGCTCCGAGAGAGGCCGTACGTTGTCCGGGCTGGGCCTCCCAGAGGGTCCTGGCGGCCACTGTTCCGGGAACGTGTGGGAGCTGAGGGCTCTGGGGGGTCTGGGGGTCTGGGCTCATCACGTGGGGGAAGAGGGATTTGCTGCATGCACCCGCGGGGGGTGAGGTAGACAGTCCTGCCCAGAGCAGCACCCATGGGTGACTTGGCGACTGGGAGGGGAGGCGTAAGAGCCAGGCCCTTCCCAGGGGGGACTCCCCAGGCCGGCCGCCCCAGCGCAGCGGAGCTTCTCCGCAGGCCGGGGCCCCAGGGTGGGGCGTGCAGGGCCACAGGCCGCGCGCCCCGCTGAGCACCTGCCCGGCCGTCCGTCCCTGCAGGCGTGCTGGTGCGCCACTTCATGGTGTCCAGGCAGTGCGTCTCGCTCTGCCCGGTGCCCGTCCCCGAGGTGGCGTCCGAGCGGGGCTTCGTGCTCCTGGAGCCCACGCCGCTGCTGTACGTGCGCTGCTGCGACACGAGTCTCTGCAACCACGACAGCGTGAGCATCAACGACACCGAGTGGGCCTACTACACGGGCACCGTCCCGGGCGCCGTCACGGGCGCCGCCCCGCCCGCCCGTGGCCGCCGCGCGGCGCTGGCCGCCCTCCTTGCGCTGGCCGCAGCGGCCCCGAGCCCCGCGCTGCCCTGAGCCCGCCCGGCCTGTGCTGGCGCCTGACAGCCGCCAGCTGCTCGGCCAGGGGCCGGGCTGTCCATTAAACGTGCTTCCCGTGGACGGCGGGTGTGCTGTCTGCCCGCGCGCCCTGGGTGAGGAGGGGCCGTGCGCAGTCCTGCGGCCTGCCCGACGGGGGTGCTCTGCAGGAAGGAAGCCTCCTCCTGGGCTTCAGGCTCCCCCTGGCAGGCTCCGCCCTGGTGGGGAGGGCTGCCCACGCACCTGCACCTGCTTAGGGGCTTCTGCCCTGCGGTGGGGGGGGGCGACCAGCCCTCTAGGGGGAGCAGGGGTCACACCCCCAGGCGCCGACATTTGCTCTCAGGGCTGCAGGGGCTCCCCTCCCCTCCCTCCTGCCCGTCCCACCTGTCCCCTCCCTCGCGGACATAGGCATGCTGGTGGGCGGTCCGGGACCCTTCCAGAATGAATCCCGCGGTCCCCCAAGGCCAGCTAGGGCGGCCTTGAGCTCCCTGCGGGCTGGAGGCGGCCTGCGTCACCATGACCCCTCCGGACCAGGCCTGCTCCCCTAGGATGCCCACTGCCTGCCGCCTCGCTCAGATTCTGGCTCCCTCCCCCCCCCCACTCCTGGCTACCAGCTCCCCACTCCCACTCGGGACCCACGTTGGGGGATCAGCCTTGGTCAGGCAGGCCAAGTGGGCACCTCCTGCACAGAGAGGGGCAAGGCAGAGGCGGGCCTTAGGGCGTTGCTGTGGGAGCCTGGCAGGGGGTATGTGCAAGAGGAGCGGTCCCCGGGGTGGGGGTGGGGGTGGGGGCCGCCGGAGAAGGAGCCACAGAGTCTGCAGAGGTCGGGCCAGCAGTGCTGCCAGGTTAGGGAGCACTGGGCAGGGGGCGGGGGCGGACTGCAGAGGTCCCGGACTCCTGAGTCCTGACACCAGAATGGACAGCCCCTCGGGAGACCAGACGGCCCCCCCAGGAAGCCCTGGGCCAGAGGGTCTGCAGGGCGAGGCTCTGGTGGGCAGCAGCCTGGCGGGCAGAAGGATCTCCCCATGGTCCCCCCTCTCTGTGGCCAAGTGGACATGGCCACAGCGGATGTGGCCCCAGTGCGGCTGCTGCTCAGCACATTCCCTGACCAGAGGACACCATGGGATCTCAACGGCTGCTGCGCTCGTGTGCAACCTCTCTGGGCCACAGAGGCGCGCCCAGCCGTCTCCCGGAGGCCCCGTGGTGGAAGGGGGCGGCTGCCCGTGGGGAGGGTCTGTGCAGCCAGGAGTGGGGTGGGGGCCTGCCGAGGTGCTGTGGGGGCAGCTCTGAGTGGAAGCGTCGTGCAGCTTCCACTTCAGACGAGGCCGCCCGAGAAGCTGTAACCCGCGGGCTGCTGTGTGCAGGTGTGGGCCGTGCGTCGGGCCGAGCGCCTTGAGCTGCGGCCTGGCTCTGCCTCTCCAGGGCCGCCTTTAGCAGGTGAGCGAGGACGTCCTGCTGGGCGCCCTCCCGCAGTGCGGCCCCCAGCGCCCACCACCGCACCACTGGGGGAAGAAGCCCCGCGGCTCAGACCCTCGGGTCGTGAGCCCCAAAGCTCCATCTCTGAGTCTTCTTCAGTGACCAAAAGCGCGGTGATCCAAGGGGTGGTGAGGAGTCCGACGGGTCTGCCTCTGCACGGCCTCGGCGAGCGCAAAAGACGAGAGGGCCGGGCTCGGTGTGTTCTCCGCGTGTGCTCGCGCAGCAAGCTGGCGGGGCGCGCCCCCCACCGCCTCGCCCCCTGCGGCCCGCCCCCTGCCCGCCCCTGCGCCCGGCAGAGCTCGGGTGCCAGCTTGGCCCATGCGCTGAGTCTAAGGCAAGGCCCAGCAATTTCAGTGACGTTAACTCAGCAACCAACGAAAATTTAAATATCCCCACATATTTGGAAATTGAAAGAACAAATTTTTGAATGTTCTGACTGAAAAACAACAGCAGAAATCGGAACAGACAGTCCAAGTGGCGGGGGTGTGACGCGTCGCCCTGGGCCGCTGCGCGTGGAGACCGAGGCGGGCGGACGGCCTGGGCGGCCGCTTCACAAGCCCCTAAACATGGCAGAAGCAGAAACCAAGTGGATCCCCGGCGCCCGAGCCCAAGGGCACGCCCCCATCCCTCCCCGGCCTCTGGCTTTGGGGTTCTGGCTGCAGCCCCCAGGGCTCCGGCGACCTGGTTTCCTCGCCGCCGCCTGCGGGCCCGCGCCCGGCCTTCTGGAGGCCCAGGAGCCGCAGGCCTTCGCTGACCGCTGGGCTCGGGCTGCAGCCAGCGGCCCCCAGTGATGCCAGGAGGTTGCCGTCCCCCGCTCCCCTCCCCCCCGCCCCCACTGGGGCTGCAGCAAGGGGTTGCCTGTGTGCAACATAGGTGGGGGGACAGGGGAGGCACCCCCAAGCCCGTGGCCCCTGGCCCCTGGTTCTGGGCTGCAGGCGGAGCCTGAGGCCCACGGGGCCCCAGAGCACAGCAGGCACTCCCTCGCATCGTGCCGCGCGGCCCCTCTGAAAGGGCCCCGCTGTGGAGCCCCTCACAAGCCCACGCTGGCCTCCCCGGGAGTCCGGCGCCCTGCTTTCCCCTTCTGTCGCTGGAGCCCGCGCTGTCAACGGACCAACCAGCTCCCAGCTCGGCCTCGCTCCTGGGGCGAAGCGGGCGGGTTGGTGCCACGCAGTCCAGTCAGACGCTCGGCTTGAAACGGCCCGATCGGGCTCGTGGGGCAGGCACCTGGAGAGAAGGGGGGGCTTGTTCTGAGCGGACTCGCAGGCAGCTTGGGGGGGAGGCCCCCAGCAGCCCCCGCACCGCCCCCCAGACCTGCCTCTGGCCCTGGCGCCGCGCCTGGGAGCGCTTTAGCCGGCGGCAGGGTGTCTGGGGAGTCTGCCGTCGACCCCCCAGGTTCTTGGGCCTGGAGTCACTGTGCCCGGCTGACCGGCGAGGAATTAACGCGGAGCGAGGAGACCTCCCGGCCAAGACAGGAAAGCCCCGGGCCACCCCCAAGCTGGGGTCTCCCCGAGACAGTGCCGCAGCCTCTCGGGCTGGGGCTCCTGCTGCTTAGCGGGTCCCCTGCCCCCCCAGGACAGGAAGGCTGCACCCACCTGCCCTTTAGCCCATTTGAGGGCCGCGCCCTGGGCGCCCAGACCCCGGAGAAGCCCAGGCAGAGACGGGAGCTTCCCACCCGCCCCGGGCGCCCGCGTGCACGCGTGGAGGTGCGTGTGCGAGAGGCACGGGGCGCCGGGGCGCTGCGAGAGGCTGGCGTGAGCATCGTGCTGCTGCTGCTGCACGCTCGTGGGCCGGGCCGGGCTGGGCCGGGCCGTTGCTCAGGTAGGCCCCAGGGGCAGAGGCCCGGGGGCGGGAGGGGCGGAGGCCGTGCCTGTCCTGGGCAGGGGCCACTCCCAGGTGCGCCCGCCGTGGCCCCGCAGGAGGGTCTCCAGGTCTGGGCTGGAGCACAAGGGCCCTGTGGGACCGTGGCAGGAGGGGTGCTGGCCTGAAGTTAGGGGCTCAGGCCCCTCTTTACCAGCAGGGGGCGCCCAGGGAGCAGGGCGCTGGGAGGCGTGGGGCCGCTTCCCGCCGCCTGCCCCAGCGGGGGCCTTCTGGGGTACCCCGCTCTCCCTCTGAGCCCCTCCTTCCTGGCCCACCTCCAGGACCCCGCCCCTGGAGAAGAGGCGCCCGCCCTCCGCGAGGCCCCATCCGGGTGCGGCCTGCCCCAGCCCGGGAGGCTGGCAGCGGGCGGCCTGGTTCTCCTGGCTGCTTCCTTCCTGGAGATGCTCAGGACAGGTGTCCCTGCTCCTGGCTGCCCCGACCGACCGGCGGAACTGGAGCGGCCAGTCCCCACCCCCACGAGCCCCAGGAATCACCCGTGCTCCAGAGGGAGCTGGGGCAGCGCAGCCCCCAAGGCCGGGCTGCAGGGGTGGGGGGGCGGGAGGCGCGGCACCAGCTTCTGCTCCTCAGCCAGCCCTGCCTGCTGTCTCAGTCCCTCGGGGCCTTCTGTGCTCCGGGGCGCACCCGGGCCTCTGTTCCCCAAACCTGGCCATGGCCCCTTAAACTAGTTGGCTTCAGGTTCATGGCCAGAGCTAGGGCTGAGGATGGGGGGGCCAGGTTGGGGCTCAGAGGGATCAAGTCAGGACTTGGGGCGACCGGGTTGGGGCTCAGAGGGATGGGGGTTGGGGCTCTGAGCCCTCCTTGGGCTCTCCTCTCCCAGCTCTTGTGGGACAGGCAAGCGGCCTGAGACCCAGTCTGGATGCGCCCCAGGCCCTTTGGGCACAGGAGGAAGGTGGGCTGGAGGGCGGGGAGCAGTGGGGGTGGAGGGGAGCCGGGGCAGGTCTTGGCCTGTACTCTGCGGAGGGCTTGGGCTCCTAACTGGGCCAGGGGCTGTTCCTGTAGAGTGGGCTGGAGCCCCCTGCTGGGTGCCTGGTCCAGGTGCCCGTGTGGACAGGGAGCCCCGGGTCTCCCTGCGGGGTGCTCTGAGCAGTGAGGTCAAGGCAAAGCTGGGGAGGCGAGGCCTTCATTGACACCTGGGGAGGGAGTCAGGGCCCTAATTGGGGAGCACCAGCTTGTAAAGAGTGAGTTTCAGATGCCTGATTAGCCTAATGAGGGTCAGTGCCCGGCCAGGCCCGGGCAGCCTGGCAGTCGGGCAGCATTCCTCCGCCGTGCCGCCCCCGCCAGCAGCCCTGCACTCGTGCTCGTCTGTGGGGACTCCCTGAAGACAGGTGTCCTCTGGGGTGCAGACTGTGCCCCTAAAAGGCCCTTTGACACTCAGTCCAGCAGGCCCCAGAACCCCGGTAGAGGGGCAGGGCTGGCACAGGCCCCAGAAGGCAGATTCTGCCTGAGACACTGCCCACTGGGACATTCCTGCTGTGCCCACCAGAGACATTCCTGTTGTGCCCACTTGCGCGCAGGAAATGTGTGGAATTCTCCGGCCTGGCCAGGACGCTCCCGGCACCAGCTCCTCCCCGCCTCCAGCAACCTCCCTCGCATCCCCACCCCAGGGCGGCCCCTGCCCCTCCTCCGGCTCAGGCGGAGCCCCGTGGGCACCACAGCTGAGCTGGGCTCCATCTCAGCCCCTTACCCCAGGGCCTGGCCTGGCATCCAGCAGGCAGTGTCAGGGCTGAACAGACCCCAGGCTCCCCCTGGCCCAACTGCTGCCACCCCCTCTCTGCATGCTCACAGGTGTGGGGTGGGGGGCAGGGTCCCTGGGCGGGGCTTAGTGAGGGGAGGGCCTGCTCCGTCAGAGCCCCCCAAGACGGTGTCCACCCAGAGGTAGCCGTCTGCTCCCCGCCTGGCCCCTCGCTGCGGGTAGAAAGCCCACTGCCGGGCTGAGGGGTGTCTGCCAGGGCTGTTGGGCAGTGTCCACCTCACCGTGATGACCGTGCCACAGGGCCAGTGTGCTCGGAGGAGACATGGGTGGGGGATCGGTGGGGTGCGCGGGGTGGAGCGGACTGGGCATTCGTGAGCGCGCCTGGATGGCGTGGCGTGAATGGTGGACACGGTGGACGTGGCGGCCCACCGGCCTCCCTCCCGCTCGGCTTGGCCGCACTGCCCAGGGCAGTGGTGCACACTCGTGTCTGCAGCCGTCTGCGGCCTGGCGAGTGGGTCCTCGACTCAGGCTGCCCATCCTTATCATCCGGGGGCCGGGAAAGTGGGGCTGCCCACACGCTATGGCCCCAACATGGACGTTCCAAAAAGTAAAAAAAAAAAAAGGCTGAAATAAATAATGGACAGGTATGTCAGGAAACAGACAGAGGGTCCTGGCGAGTTTAGGGGGCTGAGGAGGTGGCTGCCGGGGAGCCCCCAGAGCCCGACCCAGGCTTCCCCAGCCCATGTGCTTTGTGGGCTCCCCCTGTGCCCTGACAGCTGCCCTCTGCCACCCCGGGCCCAGGAAGAGCACCCGAGGGCCCCGGGGCAGGTGCCCACCAAGGGTCAGGGCCGGGGCCAGGAGTGAGGGGCAATGCCACAGGGCAGGGATGGCCCCTAGGGCGTGTGTGCCCGCGAGGGGCGGGGGCTACAGGCCAGGCAGGCTATGTTGGGACCCCTCAGGGCCCGCCACACCCTGAGCCGTGAGGGCCACATGCCGACACGCTGCGTGGTCACGGGGGGGGGGGGGGGGCCGTGGGGCAGCGCCTAGCAGGCGAGAGCGCCTACCTCAGCCTCCGCAGCCCCAGCCAGGGCCCAGAGGGCAGGGGGCGCCCCAGGGGCCGGCTGCCTCCCGCATCCCCCAGGCGCCCTTGTCCTCGCGGTCCCCACACTGGCCTGCGATGGGAACCCCAGCTCCGGCAACTCTCGGGGCTTGCGGGGAGGGGTCGCAGGTCCCCGCAGGTCCCCGCGGGCCCCCTCAGAAGCAGCGTGTCCCAGAGCCCGGGGTCTGCGTGCACAAGGAGGTGGAGACGTGCCGGTCCCCAGCCTGCTTTCAGCCGGCGCTGCCTCCGTTTCCCTCCGAGGTGGGTGTGGGCCTCCCTGTCTGCGCCCACCAAAGGAGGGGCACGGGGGGCTGGCGGCGCCCGCTGGGAAGCGCTCTGGGTAGAGCGGCCCCCGCCCCCAGGGCAGAGCCAAGCCCCCGGCCCCAGGGCAGGGCCAGCCCCGGACTCCAGGCTCGGGCCAGCCTGCGCCTCGTGGGAGAGGGACGGGACGGCTCGGGAGGGAGGGCCGGGCAGAGGGAGGGCGCGGGTGACCTCCGGAGCCCCCCGGGCCCCTGGGCGTGAGTCAGGCGCCTGCTGCCCCAGCTCAGCGCGGCTAAATTACTAGGTCTGGCCCGGCGGGAGCCGCTTATAAAGGGTCTGGGCAGCTGCTGCGCAGTCCCGGCCAGCGACGCGCCACGATGAGGCCGCTGCTCGCGCTCCTGCTCCTGGCCGCCCTGTGCGCGGACCTGGGTAAGGGCGTCCGCGCGGGGCGCACACGGCTGTCCGCGGGGCCTGGGTCCGGTGGGGCTGCGGGATGCTCCAGGCCGCACCTGGCGTCCGCAAGCAGGGGCGGGGCGTGGGCCTTTGGGGTGCCCCTGGTGTAGCTGGCTGGGGAGCGGGGGGCCAGCGCTCGGGGAGGGCTGAGACCACAGGCCCCGGGCGGGTGCCGGACCGCGTCCTGGAGACAGTGACCGGCCCCGGTGCCCTGGCCAGCGGGGCCTCCTGGGAGCCGGACTGAGGCCTGACCGACCGGCCGCCGGCCCCCCGTCCGGACTGCTCATCCCATCGGACGGCTGGCGTGTGACCTTCGCCAGGGCTGCTGCTCGGGGGCCCCGGAAATGGGGGTTGCTGCGGCCTGTGATTATCAGCTGAATAATTACCATCTAGGGATAATTAGCCCCTCAACTACCTCTGAGTGCGGGGGTTGGTAAGGTGGAGACTGCAGCCGGCTGGGGAAGCCCCCTGGGTGTGGGGGGGCCTGGGGCTGACGGAGGCGCTGTGAGGATAAGTCCCAGCCTGGGGAGACTGGAAAGACTGGAGGGCCAGTCTGGCGGGGGGCGTGGGCGGCTGGGCTCCCGGGAGATGACCCGACGGCCTCGAGGTGGGAGCAGGCTCTGCTGCCGGGGCCTTGGCTCTGCCCAGGACAGAGGGACTTTGGGGCCCTGGGGGGTACAGCGGCAGGCAGGTTCCTGTCCAGAGCTACCCGGAGTGTCTCGCTGCCCAGGCCATACCCAGGACTCTGCTGGGGACGGGAGGACAGGAGTGGGTGGGTGACTGTAGAGCCCAGGCCGGGAAGCTTGGCCCCAGCCCTGCCCGGAGCGCTGAGGTGCAGCCCGGACCCGCTCGGTGCGGCCTGACCATGCACCCACTCTCCCTGGGCGGAGGGCCTGGCTTGCTGGCCATGTGAGGAAGGTGCTGTCCTCAGGAGCGTCCCCCCCCAGGAAGTGCCCTCCCAGGCCCCGAGTCCTGGCGCAGCTCCCCCACCTGGGCAGGGTGCTCCTAGCTCCCCCACACCCCAACACCTGGCCCATCGCATCTCCTAGTGCCCACATGCTGGTCCCTGGGTCCTCACTGGTTGCCCTCTTCCTACTACACCCCCACCCAGGGGGCGTCCCTCAGACGGTGGACACAAGTCCATCCAGGCCCAGCTTCAGGGCCACCCAGCTGGCCCTCGCATCTGCTACCCGGGGCCTTAGCCCTGTGCTGGCTGTCACACGCCGGCTGCCAGTGCGCTGTGGACTCCTGAGGGATGGACCGGTCAGCTGCGGCCAGGCCCCTCACGTTTCCTCAGGCACGCACGCACGCCCGCTGTCTGGCAGGGGCAGCCCGCAGACCCCACCGCCCAGCCTCCCCCTCGCTCGCTGCAGACTCATCCAGGGCTCCGCCCAGCCCCCAGCCCCGCGCCTGCCCGCCCACCGGCCCGCTGGGGCCTAGATCCTGCTGGAGGCGCGGGGAGGGGTGGCGGGTGGCGGGCAGGCTCCTCGGGCCGGCCCCCACTGACGGGGGCTGTCTTGCTCCCCCAGCCCTGGCCCTGCACTGCCACGTGTGCTGTGGCCACGAGAACTGCGAGTCGCTGGTGGAGTGCGCCCAGACCGACAAGTACTGTGTTATCACCAGGGCCAGTGAGTACCGCCAGCCAGCACCCGAGGGCGCAGAGCCCGCCTCCAGGGAGGGGCGGGCGGGCCCAGCTGGGTGAGAGCCCGAGGGGCACAGAGGGAGGCCGGGGCGGGGGGACAGCGTAGGTGCAGCGAGCCAGCCGTCTGCAGTTCAGCTGTCCAGATGGGCCTCCCGGACCGCGCCCCCGCCAGCTCCGTCCCTGCCCCATCTCCCACCCCCACCAGGCGCAGGGGCCTCTCCTCCCCCGACCCCCCGACTCAGTGGGGTCAGGCCGCCTGGCTGTGTGACCCGGTACCCCGTTTCTTCCAGGGCATGAGGAGACCTCCTATTGGGGGTCCTAACTCCATTCCCCAGGCCCCCCTACAAAAAGTGGAGGCTCTGCCTTGGCAGCCAGGCACCCCCGCCGGGGGCCCAGAGCACTCTCCAGGCCACACTTGCTGAAGGCCCCATGAGGCCCGTGGGGGCCCGGGCCGTACACGCGCGCGGCTGACTGGGGCTGGACGGGCCCGCGTCCCCTCCAGCTGGCTGGCCCCCACCTCCCGCCAGTCCGGGCCCAGCGCAAAGGGCCTCCCTGTGGGGCAGGGACAGACCTGGCAGAGTCGCCAGGCGCAGCCCTCCCAGGGGCTTGGAGACGGCCCCACGCTGGCCTCGCTCGACCCCAGATGTGGTCACAGCCAGGACCTGCCCCCCCCTTAGCCAGAGAGGGCCTGAGCGGGGCTCTGCTTCTCCAGGGGCCCTGCATGCCTAGGGCTTCCTGGGGGCTCCCTACACCCCCAAAACCTCTCTTCTTTCAACTTCAACGGGACCGACACGCCAAAGACCGGGTTCCCTCTGTCTCTGTGGGGATGGCTTCTCTCAGACTCAGGGGCTCCCCACGCTCCCCATCTCTGTACGCTGCCCGCCCCGTCTCTCTGTCCATCTGTCCCTGTCCGTCCACTGTCTCTGTGCACCTGTCGCCAGCCAGGCCGCACTCCGGGATTACAAGGGGGACAGCCACCGCTGGGGCTCAGCCTCACCGGGCGGGGGGCCCGGGGTCCTGGAGCAGGAAGCTGGGCCAGCAGGAGTCCGGGGAGCCCAGGCGGGCAGATGGCAGGGCTGTCCCCACTTGGGGCTCCCTGTCCCCCCCGCCTCCCGCAGGTCCTGACCTGAGACGCCAGTTGTGCCATCCGGCAGTGGAGAGGGGGCTGGGGGGTGAGAGCACCCCTGGGTCTTTGCAGGCAACCCCAGGAGGCCGGGCAGGCGGCAGCACCTGGCCTCACCCTGGGCTCTTGGCTTCCGCAGACCAGGAGGAGGGTCCGAGGACCCCGGGGCCTGGGCCCCCCAGCGCAGCCCGGCGGGACTGGCCTGTAACCAGGCTGTCTTCCCACTGGACGCACGCCCGGGGGCCCCTGACGCACTCCCCTCAACCAGCCCCCCTCGGGCCACTTCCATTTTCCCTATGATGGGGAGCCGGAGCCCCTGTGGGGGGACTGTCCTTAGAGCCCAGCTGCCCTCCCCTAGAGAGCTCCAGTTCCGGGAGGGGGTGAGGAGCACAGGGCTCCCCTCGTCCTTGGGACGCACAGAGGCGCCCACTCTGTCAGCGGGAAAGGGAAGCTGGCCGGAGGCCGAGCCTGGCTGCGGGGAGCCAGGGCGCCCAGGCCCGCGGGCACCAGGCCACGCCTCACCCTCTCTCCACAGCCAACCCGGGCGGCATCCTGGTGATGAAGTCCTGCGCCCCGGCCTGCCCCAACAGCACCGTGTCCCCCGACGGCCGGGCCCTCTCCGTGTCCTGCTGCCAGGGCAGCGAGTGTAACCGCAGCGCGGCCGCGGGCCTGGCGGGTGGCCCGGGGCTCCTGTGGGCCAGCGCCTCGGCCAGCCTGCTGTGGGCGCTGCTGCGGGCGGCCTGGTGAGCCACGGGTCGCCCGCCCCGCGCCCAGACCGACCCTCGACCGCCCCCAGGGAGTGGCCCTCCCCGCCACTCCCCTGCTTCCCACACACCAGCCCCGCGGGGCCTCCGCCTGCCCTGGCCACGCCTCGGACACCCTCCCCTCCCCAGGCCTGTGCTCCCGGGGACGGAGCATCTTCACCCCCTCCCCGCGCCTCCAGTCCACATCCGGGCTCCACCCTGCGCGGCACGCTCCCCGGCGCCCACCCCGCCTCCTCTCGTGCCCGCGGTGCCGGGCCACAGGGGCGGGTGGGGCCGGGGCTGGGGTGCGGGCGCTGGGCCTTCCGCCACCCCCAGCCGCTGGCTCGTCCATCCACTCCTCTGCTTCTGGTGGCTCCCCTGCCCGCCCCCGCCCCTTCCTCCCTCCCTCGCGCCCCGCCACCCCCCACCCCCCGGCAGCACCCTCAGCTGCAAGGCGGAGGTCGAGGGGCTTCCGCGGACAGAAAGGACCCAGCTGGCCCCACTCCCGGCGCTGTCACCGTGGACCCAGAGCCCCGGCCCCGGCAGGGATGCCCGCGGGGGCAGCAGCTCAGGCCGCCCTGGCATGGGCCTGGGCCGGGGCCGCACCTGCTGGGCTGGGTGCCCGCGCAACGGGTGTCAGCCGCGACCTCCCGGGGTGCACGCGGGGAGAATAAAGCGATGAGCCCGGCTGGGCCTCCTCGGAGCGTCCGCGCGTGGGGTCTTCCTGTGCCGGGCCGGCCCGCGGAGGTGGGTGCGCTACGTGGGGGCCACCGCCAGCGTGGGAGCAGAAGCTGCTGTCCCATAAGAACCAGAACCTGCCCCCCCACGTGGCAGGAACCCTAAGTTCCAAGTTTGGGGGCTCAGATGGGTTCCACTGGGGAGACTGCTGATCCCCAGCCCCGTCCTCACCATCCTGACCTCCAGGCCCCCGAGCGCCCCACACACGTCCTGGGGCATGCGCTGGGCTCCAGGGCTGCTCCCCACCCAGCCTCCCTGGGACCACCTTCCCCCTGCCCCGCGGCCTCTCCTCGGGTCCCGGGACAGGCCTGCCCAGCGCCTACAGTCAGCAGGGCTGCGGGCTTCGGAGCCGCCCCAGGGCGGAGGCCCCACCCTGGGAGCGAGACAGCCCCGCCCCACAGCCCCACCCTCCCTCCGCCCAGGCTCCAGGCACTGAGGCCCCAAGTTCCCATGCACCCCCGGGGTGGGGTGCTCTGCTCGGGCAGCACCCTCTGGCCGCCTGTGCGACGGTCTGTCCCCACCTGTGCGGGGACTGCGAACCCGTTCCGGGGCGAGGCGGGCACAGTGCTCCCCGGCTGCCAGAGACACATGGTCCCCCCCGCAGGGGCCGGCATCTTGTGGTCTCTGCCCTGGGAGGTCCCGGAGCAGACGAGCTGGGCCTGCCTGGAACCAGGGTGTCGGGTGTGTCTTCCCGCGGGGCCAGGCCCGCAGCGCTGGGGTCCTGCTGGGCTTGGAGTGGGGCTCCTGCGGGGCGGCCGCTCCAGGGGCAGAGCTGAGGCCCAAGGTTGGGCCGCCTGCCCAGCCTGGGAAGCTGAGGTTTCCCTTAAGGAGGGTGGGGCTCTGCTCCACATCCGTGGAGACGGGGCTCCCCTCCAGGGCAGGCCTCACCCCCGTAGCCGCTGGAGCTGCACCAGGCGAGGGCCCACCCGCCCCTCCCAGGCCCTGCGCTGAGCGCTGAGCGCTGAGCGCTGGGTGGGCCACCCCCCCCCCCGTGGGCCCCCCCCCCCCGCTGCTCCCCGCTGCTCCCCACAGCCCTGCAGAGAGCCCCAGCAGGGACTCTGCCCCTCCCCCACTCCCGTGTGCTCTGCTCACGCTGCCCCCAGCAGCCCCGGAGACGGGAAAGCAGCGCTCCAGGCCAGGGTGGCACAGCAGGTGGGCGGGACACAAAGGCCGCAGCAGGAATGGCTGGAGGGAGCAGGGGGAGGGCAGGGCGGGTGGGCTGGACCCGCAGAGCCCGGCTACTGTGCGGGTTCTGGGAGCAGCACCCCGAGTGTGGGTGGGGGTTGGGGCCGCAAATCCAGGACACAGAGGAAACCGCCGCTCCCCAAATGCCCGAGGAGGAGCTGGGGCTTGGAGCCAGCGGCCCAGCAGGGACACTTTCCGCAGAGGGCTGGGCGGCGGGGGCTGCCTGGTCCAGGCTCGGCCGGGGGCTGCTGCCCTGTCCTGGGCCGGCTCCGGGGCTCCAGCCAGCCTCTCCTTCTGATGTTCCCAGCCGGGAGGCCTCAGCCCAAGCCAGGATCAGTCAGCCACTCCCTGGGGGACCCAGCCTCCGCCCCTGGGGGCCTGTCCCCACTCCCGGAGCAGGCGGTCTCGGACAAGCCCCTGGGGGGGACCAGATTCAGATTCAGCAGCCGCCAGAGGCCCAGGGGAGACCCGGGGCTCCGGGGCTCCTGCCTCGAGGGACCAGGCCAGGGCGATGAGGGCAGCCCGCGGACCCTGCCCCGGCCCCGTGGCGGCCGAGGCCTGTGCCCCGCACGCGTGTGTGGGGCGTAGCGGTCCGCCCGAGAGTTTCGCCAGCCGTTTCCAGAGTGTCCTTTGCACTCCGGGCTGTCCCGGGGGCTCTCGGGGTGTAGGGGGGCAGCTCCGACAAGGGCAGTTTCCTGTTCCCAAGAGATGAGGACAAAGTGGGGGGGGCGGGTCGTCAGGGAAAGGAACCTGCGTTGCTCCGCGTGCGGGGTGCTCGTGCGAACCTGGACAGACAGACCGGCGGGCACGGGATGTGCACAATGTGCCTGTTCCCCTCCTCGGGCTGGGCCCCACCCCCAGGTTCCGTAGAAGCACAGGTGAAAGCGGCGTGGCTGCACGGCAGGTGCTGCTCGTTAGTGTTTTCCACCAGACACCTAAAGGCCCGAGGCTCGCAGGCCCCACCAGTGTCACGCCACAGCCACGCAGAATTCCTGCTGCAGGGACGGGTGCGCACAGGCAGGGGAGGGGAGGGTCAGCATCAGAGCGCTCTCCTAGGGGAGCCCCGAGCAGTGAGCGGACGGGCGTGTGGGCAGAAGGGTGTGTGGGTGGAGGACAGACGGATGGATGGGTGGAGGGTGCATGGCTGGAGGGTGCATGGCTGGAGGGTGCATGGCTGGAGGATGGATGGATGGAGGGTGCATGGCTGGAGGATGGATGGCTGGAGGGTGCATGGCTGGAGGGTGCATGGCTGGAGGGTGCATGGCTGGAGGGTGCATGGCTGGAGGATGGATGGCTGGAGGGTGCATGGCTGGAGGGTGCATGGCTGGAGGGTGCATGGCTGGAGGGTGCATGGCTGGAGGGTGCATGGCTGGAGGGTGCATGGCTGGAGGATGGATGGATGGAGGGTGCATGGATGGAGGGTGCATGGATGGAGGATGGATGGCTGGAGGGTGCATGGCTGGAGGGTGCATGGCTGGAGGATGGATGGCTGGAGGGTGCATGGCTGGAGGGTGCATGGCTGGAGGATGGATGGATGGAGGGTGCATGGATGGAGGGTGCATGGCTGGAGGATGGATGGCTGGAGGGTGCATGGCTGGAGGATGGCTGGAGGACAGATGGGCGATGGGTGGTGTTGGATGGCGGGTGGTGGAGGATGCGCCAGGGGCATATGAACAGGTGTGCTGTGCACGGGTGTGAGGGTGGGTGGGTGGGTGCATGGGTGCTGGGTGGATGTGTATACGGAGAGCAGGGAGGTGGAAGGGAAAGTGGCACGTGAGGGCAGCGGGGTGCCAAAGGACAATGAAGCGCCCTGTGCTCACTGCTCTGGAATCTGCACCCACGCGGTCACGGAACCCGGGCTGCCGGCCCCACGCTCCGGCTGTAACAAGGGTGCAGTGAGCCCGGCGCGGCGGCGGGGGAGGCAGGGGAGAGCGGGAGACCTGGTATCTCCCCAGAGCCCCAGAGGGAGCTGCCCTGACGTGGGAGAATACCCCTTCCAGGGCACCTGATTCTCAGTTCTGTGGGTTTTCCCAGTCTAGGGTCCCGTGTGCCCCCACTCAAGGGCTGAAGACAGCAGCCCCAGCGCTGGGGCATCGTGCTCTGTGCCCGCTCCCGGCTGCAGGTGCCACTCCATGGGAGGACACAGATCCCAGCCCAGGGCCCCCCTCTTCCTGCAGACCCCCAAGTCCCTGTGCCTCCCAGGGACACGGCTGGGAAGCTGGCGCCGGTGCCAGGCGGGGCTGTGGAAGGAGCCTGGGCAGAGTCTTCTGGTCCTCCTGGGTGAGGGGCCCGGAGCGGCCCTTAGGAGCCCAGAGCCCAGTCCAGCCAGTGGGGACAGACCTCGCAGGAGCGGGGAGGCCGCCCGTGGCCTGCCCTGGGTCTGCGGTTGGCAAGGGAAGGGGCCTCATGGAGCATGGCGCCCGGAGCCCAGCCCCTCCCGGGATGGGGAGGGCGCCCCTGGAGAAGCCGCCCCGAGGTCGAGGTCGGGCAGGTGACAGGCAGCAGGCGTGAGACCCTGTCTGGGCCCCAGCGCCCCTCCCGAGCCGGGGAGGCAGCGGCGGAGGGTGCGGGAGAGCCCCAGGCTGGAGGCCAGGCCCGGCCGCCTGTGCCGCCCCGTGGGAACCTGCGTCACGCCGCGCTTCTCCCTGCCTGACTCACCGCCGCCGCCCGCCCTGCTGGGGAGAAGCTGGGCCCACCCTAGGCCCCAGGCCCCATCCAGACCCGAGACCGTCCCTGCCGCACCCTATGACAGGGACCTGGGCTCCCCAGGCTCCCCACCGCCCTGACCACACACCCGGGCAGCGCCCCGGCGAGCATCCCCGCCCCACCCGTCTCCCCAGTGCTTCTGGAGCCTGGTTTCCCTCTGCAGCCTCGGCGCCTGTGGCGGCCTCTGCGCAGCCTCCGGTGCGCGAACTGGGGCCTGGGGTCAGGGCCCGCGGAGGGCAGGCAGGACTGAGGTGGGGCAGGGCAGGGAGGGGTGTGAGAGGGTGGATGTTGCACAGGGGTCTCGGCTCCCCCCGCTCAGGGCGCCCTGGGAATGGGCCCGTCCGGGCTGGGGACCCCGGCTCGGGGGCTGGGGAGAGCTCGTTCGGGAAAGCAGCAGCTTTCTCCAGAGGCAGGGCATGAGGGAGGGGATGAGCGGTTTCGAAGAAGAACTTGCTTTTGCCCCGCTCTAGGGTGTCCTGGCCCAGCCCGCCCGCCTGGTTTCTTTTCCTCAACAGAAAAGGGTGTTGGAAGGGGACCAACTTAAGGAGGGAGCCATGATGGCCCCTCTAAGACCATAGTCAGGCCGCCACCTGCAGGAAGCCCTCCCTGACGGCACCATCCTCATGATTCCCAGTTCTGCCATCAGGGTACCTTCAGCAGGGCTGTTGTTGATGCCTCTCTGGGAAGCCCTGGCAGGGCCTTGTGCTCTGGGATCAGGCCTGTCCAGGGCACGTGCCACAGAGGGACCTGAGTGCCCGGTGCAAGTGGGTCAGGTGTGCAGGGACCCCTACAACCTCAGGTGCCTCATGCCCAGACCTCCACTCCCCACCTGCTGCTCCCATCCCCCATGGGGGCAGGCACACCCGCCCCCGCAGGTGTGCAAGTCCCAACAGCAACAGCAGCAGCAGCTGGGCTGGAGCTGCCTCGCAGGGGAGGCCAGGAGCCAAGCTCAGGGTCACCTCCGGGGGCAAGCCTCGAGGGGCAGTTAGATGACCTGTGTGGGGGGTTTCTGGGTGAGCTGGAGTTGGTTTTCGCCCCGAGGGGCAAGGGAGGCAAGGCCCAACTCAGGCCGGCTGTCAGGGGCTGCCCGAGACGCCCGGCTCTGGCGCCCGTGCCAGGGAACTCAAGCACATGAGCTCTCTGGAGCCTCAGGTCCGCACGAGTCCTGGCCCGAAACCCCAGGCGCCCGCGGTCCTTCTGGCGAGGGTCCATCGGCAGGGCCGGTGGCCCTCTGTGCTCCCACCCCCGCTATCAGGGCGTCCTGCCAGGGCAGGGGCGGGATGTGACCTCTGGGGCCACCCACCCAGGACCCCTCAGCACCCAGAGCAGACGTAGAGACAGCAGGGAGCGGGCGGGGGGAGGGACGCGCTCGGAGGCCCTGCGAGGCTGGCGTGGGGCGGGCTCCGGCACTGCCCTGGGGGCCCCGGGGCTCAGTATGGAAGGGCTCTGGTCTTGGGGGGTCGGGGCAGAGACGGGATGAAGGCAGCTGCTCCTCTGGGGCTGGGCCCTGGCATGGGGGGAGCATCCGACAGAGCCTGGGGGCCGAGGAAGGGGGAGGCAGGCTGGTGGAGACAGAGGGGCGCCAGTTCCCAGGCAGCAGCAAAGGGCTGAGTGTGCCCCCCTGCAGCCCTCCCTGCCAGTCTCGCTCGCCTCCCAGCCCAGTGCAGCCACGCCCACGTCCTTGCCCTGTGGGGGCCCACCCCAGCTCCTGGGCACCACCCCCGCCCCCCCCCCCCCGCAGGCACCACATCTCAGCGGGACCTGCTCCCTCGGGCTCCTACCCCCAGGTTCCATGGGGTGGGCCAGCCTGGCAGCCGAGCCCAGGCCCGGAACAGGCAGGCACCGCCTCTGGCCTCCCGCGCCTGGTGGACACCGGCGGGCCGCGACTGACCGTGGGGCGGGCGCGGGAAGGGCGCGGCTGGTGGGGGCGCAGATGACAGCTGGTGGGCCTGGCAGGGCCAAGCAAGGCTCAGGGCGAGGCCTGGGGGTCTCAGGCCCCAGCTTCCGAGGGAGGACGGACCCCACCCTGGGGGAGGTGGCGAGGGACAGACCCCTCCCGGCCGAGGGCTGGCGAGATGGGCCGGTGGGCGGGGCAAGCCAAGAGGAATGTGGGGCACCCGCCCCTCCCTGCGTGCTCTAAGCTATAAGGCCTCCAAAGAGGAAGGGCCCTCCCTCCTCCAGAGACACCCCAAGATGAAGACGATCCTGCTGCTGTTCATCACCCTGGCTGTGGCCATGGGGCCAGGTAGGGTCCGAGGGGGCTGGGCCGGTGGGCAGCCTTGTGGCAGACCTGCGGGCTGGCACTGGAAGCCTGAGCTTGGAGGGCTCAAGGAGTCCTGAAATGATGGGGTGCCAGACTTGGGGCTGAATGCAAAATGAACGCCTGGAATCCCAGACTTAATTGTTCCAGAATCAGAGATTAGAGCCCCACGCAGAACCAGTGGGGCTGGAAGGTGTCCCAGCACGCCTCTCCCCGGAGCAGGCAGATGCCCGGCCACCCGGCGCTCTCCGTCCGGTCCCTGGCGTCCTCCCGGGGGGCCCTGGGTGGGGGACAGCAGCGTCCCCTTCCGGGCCACCGGGGGCAGAGCCCCCCCCAGGCAGGGACTGTCTCTGCGTGCGGGGCAGCACGGTAGCCCCGGGGACAGGACAGGAGGGGTGGACTCCGGCGGTGTGCCCCGGAGGCCTCTGGAGCTCCTGACGCCACCCTCCCCGCAGCCCGGGGTCTCCGCTGCCACGTGTGCAGAAGCACCACCAACTGCAAGAACCCGCAGGCGTGCGCGGCCAGCGCCCGCTTCTGCCGGACCCGCACCAACGGTGAGCGACGGGCTGGCGGCGCCCCGGACCCGAGGGCTCGGGCCAGGCGCCCAGGGGCCGGGCGGGGGGGGGAGGCCGGGGGAGCCAGGGGCGGGGCTGGAGGGGCAGCCAGGCGGGCGTGGGGCAGGAGGCGCTGCCCCCCCTGACCGCGCCGCTTCCCCAGTGGAGCCTCTGAGCGGGAACCTGGTGGAGAAGGACTGCGCGGACTGGTGCAGCCCCACGTACAGCCTGCAGGGCCCGGTCAGCAGCGGCGCGGCCGCCACCCTGTGCTGCCAGGGCGAGCTGTGCAACGAGCAGCTGCGGAGCGCCGCGGCCGCCCGCACCCCAGGCCGCCCCGCCGCGCTGGCCTGGCGCTGGCCCTCAGCCTCCTCGCCCTGCGCCCGTAGCCGGCCCGCCCCGCCCGTCCTCCCCGGCCCGGGTTGCCGCCCTGGAGGGGGTGTCCCCCGCCAAGTCTGGGGGCGGGTCCCGCTGGCGTAGAGCTGCCCGCCCGAGCCACGGGCCGCCGCCTCCTGGAGCAGCCTGGGGGCGGCTGCCGCGGCTCAGGCCACACTCCCCCTGTTGGGTTGTGTTGATTTTTCTACTCACGGCTTTGCTGGTAATAAAGGACTGAGAACCGGTGTGTGTCCTCACTGCCCGGCCTGCACCGCGGCCTGGGGTCTACTCCCCACTGCCTGGATACGGGACCCCAGCCCAGCGCCCGGGCTGGCCCCTCTCTGCGGGGCTGCCCCGGGGCCTCGGGGCCCGCTCTCCGGGGCCGGCCCCACTGCCCGGGCTGCCCCGCGCTGCGGGTCCTGGCTCGCTCCCCGGCCTTCCGGGTTCCGGGCCTGCTGCCTCGGGGCTCCGGCCCTCAATGCTCGGTTTCTGGCCTTGCCGTCTGCGGGTCGCCGCCTGGCTCTGGGGCCCACTCTCTGGGTTATGGGGCTGCCACTCGGGTTCGGGAGACACACTCGGGGTCCGGGCCTGTCTGGTAACTGGAACGGTGGTAGCTCTCTGGCCGTGGGGCCACTGAGGAAGCACATTGGACAAGCCTGAGTCGTGTCTAAGGGGGACCCGAGGCCTTGGGGGGCTGCCCCGGACCAGCAGCCAGCACCCACTGCCTCCTGGGCCTGGCACCCTTGCAGGCGGTAGCAGGTAGCCGCAGGTGCCGGGGCCCGTGGCTGGGTTGGGCACTCAGCCCTGTGCCCACCACACGGGCGGTGGTCCCGGGGGCAGGGAGGCTGGGCTCGGCGGACCACCACGGGCCCGGCCTCCTGAGCTCTGGCACCCAGCCCCTCGCCCTCCCCTCCGTGTCCAAACAGCCTCCCCAGGGTCAGCAGGTCCCTCTCGCCCCACCCGGGGCCGGGCACCTGCTCACGCCCTGGGCAGGTCCTGGTGCCTCTGCTGGACAGCAGGTCTCCCATGGTGCCCCAGGGGCTGACCCCCACCTGGGCCACGCTGAGGAGCGGTCCTGAGGCGGTGCCCCCACCCCTGAGTAGCCAGCTGGAGCTAGGCATTGGGAGGAGCCCATGGAGGGGATCCCCTTCCTTCACCCAGAGCCCCTCTGGGCCTCTCTGCACCCCCACTGGGAGGTCCAGCAGGTCCAGTCGCCCATGTGAGGTCCAGCAGGTCCAGTTGCCCATGTGGCTGTGAAAACCCCTGTCATCCCCCCCAGCCTCCCACCAGACTGCAGCGGAGTCAGCAGGCTGCACCCGGGGGAGGGACACTCCCCGCCAGTGCTGGTCAGGGGGGAAAGTGGCCCGTGGCGGCCCCGACTCCAGACCAACCGCAGACACACCTGGAAGCAGGTGTGGCCCCCTGGGTGGAGGCTCGGGGAGCCCGCCCCCTCCTGGGCCCCGAGGCCACCCGGGCAGCGGAGCCTGTGTCTGGGAGGGGCCTCCTTGTGGCCGGAGCAGCGCCTGACCTGGTCACACCCCAGGGTGCAGCCTCCCAGGGGCCCAACTCTCAACTGCCTCTCAAGGACCCCGCTGGACAGCTCACAACCCCGCAACTGCCCTAAACGGCCCCCCAACCCCAACCCTCACCTGACGAGGGCCCATCCCAGGGGATACATCAGGGGTCGCCGGGGACAGGGCCCACTGTCATCCCTGACCCTGGGATGAAGGGTGAGACGGTCTGAAGGGGGTCGTTAGCTCGCACCCACATTCCCGCATCCCTGAAGGGAGGGCCCCCTTCTGCCAGAACCGCCCCAAACCCCGAACACGCACAGTGATCGCAGGGTGCCGGGGCCCCCACGCACTGCAAGGTGGTTGTGCTGACCTCAGCGCGGGTTCGGCCGGCTGGGCCTCGCCCGCCTCCGGGGACACAGGGGCGAGCTCTCTGTTCTCCGCTCGACGGGTTTGAGGTCAACCGCATTTCCAGACCCACGCAGCTTTTTGGGGGGTTGCGGAAACTGCTGAAGGCGCTCTGAGGGGCAGGAGGGCTCTCCCCACGTCGAGGGCGGCCTCCTCAGCATCTCTGCTCACTCGCCGGGGGCCATCCCGCGCAGGGGACAGGCAGGGGGCCTGGGGGGCCACACCTGCCCTGGCCTGCCCGCAGCAGGCTCGGGGGTGCCCGGGGGGTGGGGTGGGGGGTGGGGCACCGCCGAGGGCAGGGTGCCGCCCCGTCTCGAGACCACAGCGCGCCCCGCCCTTCTGGGCCCCGCCCACGGGTCCCGCCAGGCCCCGCCCCGGCGCAGCGCCCAGCGGCCACGGGCCTCCCCGCCGTCCCCGGCAGCGCCCGCGCGGCGCGGGGTCCCCTCGCCTCGGCTGCGCCCCCCGTGCCGCGTCCCGGTGGCGGCCCGCGGGGGGCCGGGGCCGGCCTGAGCCGCCGGGGCCGTGGCCGCGAGCGCTCGCCGCGGCCTCTGCGCTGGACTCGCGCTGGACACGGGCTCCCACGCGCCCGAGTGAGGCCGGGGTGGGGGGGGCGCGGCCGCTTGGAGCCGCTGCCCGGGCCGAGAGCGGGGAGGGGGCGGTGGGGAGGGGCTGGGGGGTGGGGGGTTGCGGGGGCGGCCGCGCCGAGCCGGGACGCGTGAGCCGGCGGGAGGCCGCGTCCTCCAGGCCCTCCCGCGGGGCGCGGAGGGAAGAGGCGGGGTGCCGCCCCCAGCAGGTGCGGGGGGGGGGGCCGCAGGCGGGATGGGGGACTCGTTGCGATAAAGTGAAAACCAAAACCGCAGGCGGCTCTGAGGCCGAGCGCCCCGCGGGCGCGGGAGGGGCGCGGGGGGGCGGGGGGGGGGGGGTTCCCGGCTGTCCTGAGCCAACCCCACGCAGGCTTGGTGGACGCCACCCCCACCCCCACGCCAGACCAAAGCCGGCAGGACGTGGGGAGAGACGCCTCCCGTCCCCGCGGGGGGCGGCCGGGGCCTGAGGGCGGGGGGGGGGGGGGGGGGGCGCCAGGTTGGGCGTGGAAACCAGCCCGCGGCCTTGGGGGCTCTGGCCCGCGACCGCTCGCTCCTGGCCTCACCGCCCCGGCCGGCCGGGCCGGCGGCAGCTCGAGAGGCCTTGGGACTCCCGGTGGCGGGCGGGCGGGCGCGTCTCAACCTTGGTCTCCCTCTCCCCAGCCGCGGGCCTCGCCCCCCGGAATCCGCCTTCAGGAGCCTCGCGGCGCCTGCAGCGGAGCGGGGACAAGTCCTTTCAAGCGCGGGTGGGGACGCACGGCCAGGCCCCCGTTTTGAACCGGGGTGGCCCTACAGCACCCGGGCTGCAGCCGCGGTGAAAACGCAGACGTTGTGCAAAAATGGAAAGTGACGTAGAATATGCCCAGCTTAAGAAACCCCCGCGCACCGGGTCTCCCGGGCGCCCTCTCCTGCCTCTCCTGCCCTGTGCTCAGCTCGGGGATTCCCGCGGGGGCGCGGGGGGCTGCGGGGGCGGCGGGGGCGCGGCGGGGGCGCGGCGGGGGCCCCGGGGCGGCTCGTCCTCGCGCGGGTCGCGGTCCCGGCGAACCCGCTCTGGCCGGCGGAGGGGCCGAGCCTTCCCTGCGGCCGGGGCCGGCGAGGTCGTCTTTCCGCCCTTGGACTTTCCCCTATTTCTGCTTTTGTGCGCGTTCTAGATTTTTTCCTTTTTTCCCAAATGACGGAGCACTTCATTTCATGCGCGCCGGAGCTGTGTGAAGGCGAGCCTGCGACCCGGGTAGGCTCTGTGAGCTTCACGACCGGCTTTTAACGTTTCAGACGTTTCTGTCCTTGAACAGGCGTCGGCTTGTGTTTAGAGCTGAATCTGGAAACGATATTTTCTTTTTTGTACAAACATGCAAACACACCATGAACACAAACACAGAGGACAACAGCTTATGTTTCCCTTAAGAGGCACGTACAGGCCTCCCTGGTGGCGCAGAGGTGGAGCGCCCCGCCGTGAAGCTGCCCGCAGCCTCTGCAGCGCGGGTTCGATTCCCGGCCGGCCAGGGAGGGGCCCACATGGCGCGCAGACCTCTCCTGCCGCGCCCGCTGCTCCCCTCAGCAGTGTACTTTGTCATTCTGCCTGTTCTGCTCCCCGCTCTGTCTCTGGTGAGTCCTCTCACCCTCCTGTGCATCTGCCCTGTACCCCGGTTCTCATATAAATAAATAAATATTAAAAAAATAATTAAAATGCACACACATAAAGGGATTGCAAAGTATCCAGAAAATAATTTATAATTTCCCCCCAAATACCCAATTTAACTAATGAGGTAACATGTTTCATGAAATATCTTTTGTTTGTGAGTAAATTTAATGCCAGTGCTTCACATGAGCACTTTCTATTCCAAAAGATGCCATTAATAAGCTACAGTAGGGCCTCCCCGGTGGCGCAGCGGTTGAGCGCTGGGTTGCGAAGCTGCCCGCGGCCTCTGCGGCGCCGGTTCGATCCCCGGCTGCTCCCCGGCCACCAGAGGAGGGTCCCACATGGCGCGCAGACCTCTCCTGCCGCCCGCTGCTCCCCTCAGCAGTGTCCTTCGGTCCTTCTGGCTGCTCTGCTGCTCCCCGCTCTGGCTCTGGTGAATTCTCTCACCCTCCCGCGCTTCTGACTGTACCCAGTACTTGTATAAACAAACAAACAAATAAATAAAACATGCCTCTATAAAAAAAAAAAAAAAGCTACAGTAAGGAAGACAAGCGCCACCATGTCCCAATGTTTATTTTAAATTCTTTATGTATTATGTGAATATTTCAGCCAAATAAAGGCCCAGGGTTAGGCCTCCCACTGTTCCGAGGAGACTTCTAGTCGAGGTGTGACGGCCGGGCAGGCTCGGTTGGGTCCACTCTGCACGGAGCTCTGGGCCAGGCGGTGGCTCCCGGGCCCCACCAAGCCCCGGGAGCACCGAGCAGGCCCGCCTCGCGCCACCCGCCCTCGCGCGACCTTGTCCCTGCCTTGCGGGGACCCCAGGGTGCACCCCCGCCCAGGTCGCACCCCTGCCCCCGGCGTCGTGGGCAGCGCTGACCACGAGCCGGGCCGCGGTGCGGGCCTCCCGATGGGAACGTGGTTCAGAACGAGCGCCCCGCTTGTAATAAGATGCAGGAAGCTAGTATTTCCAGCTTTCTTTTACAACTTTATTTTTTTTAAGATTTATTTATTTTTATACAAGAACCGGGGTGTAGGCCAGAGGTGGGGGGGGAGGGGAACCCCCAGGGACAGCGGGGAGCAGAACAGGCAGACTTAATGGAGATCCACTGCTGAGGGGAGCAGCAGGAGACAGGAGGAGTCTGCTGCGCCCCGTGGGTCACTCCCTGGCCGGCCGGGATCGAACCTGCGCTGCGGAGGCCCGGGACAGCTTCACAGCCTGCGCTCAACCCGCTGCGCCTCCGGGGAGGCCCCCTCTTTTACAACTTTAAATGGGTATTATTCAAAATAGGAAATACTGGGCCTCCCCGGCAGGGGTAAGCACAGCTCTACGCGGCTGTCCGCAGCCTCTGCAGCACGACTTCGACCCGGCCAGGGGGCTACCCTCGCGGCGCGGCAGACTCCCTGCCGCCCCGCTGCTCCCCGCCGCGGTGTGTGTCAGTGGATCCGCCTGCTCTGCGCCCCGCTGTCTCTGGGGATCCCCGCACCCCTGCCCCTCTGGCCTAGATCCCCATTCTTGTATGCATAACCGAAACAAATCAACAAAAAACAGAAAATACTGTCGTAACATTAAAGCCGATTCCATAAAGTTGGCGGCAACTAACAGCGTCTTTCGAGGTCTCTTGGACTCGTCAAAGAGCTCGTTCTTGTCTCCTTACTCCGCAAAGCCGGACGGTCAAAGACCCGTCCAGATTCAGCATCTCTAAAACCACTCAAGCTATAAATCGTTGCTTTGACGCGTCTGGAGCGTTCAGGCATGTGCACGCCGTCTTCAGCGCTGCCCTTCCCGCTGGCAGAGAGCGTCAGGCCGAGTTTTCCTTTCAGGCCGCGCGGCGAGACGGCGCTGTCGTTCCGCAGGCGCCGAACCGGGCTCCGCCGGGCCCACTCGGGCCGTCACGGGCCTCTGAAGAGAGTCCGCGAAGCCGGCTGGCGGGGCGGGCCCGGCCGCCCCACCTCCAGGCCTCGGCACCCCCAGGCCTCGGCACCCCCAGGCCTCGGCACCCCCAGGCCTCGGCACCCCCAGGCTCCGGCACCCCCAGGCCTCGGCACCCCCAGGCCTCGGCACCCCCAGGCTCCGGCACCCCCAGGCCTCGGCACCCCCAGGCCTCGGCACCCCCAGGCTCCGGCACCCCCAGGCCTCGGCACCCCCAGCCTCGGCACCCCCAGGCCTCGGCACCCCAGGCTCCGGCACCCCCAGGCCTCGGCACCCCCAGGCCTCGGCACCCCCAGGCCTTGGCACCCCGAGGCCTCGGCACCCCCAGGCCTCGGCACCCCCAGGCCTTGGCACCCCCAGGCTCCGGCACCCCCAGGCCTCGGCCGCAGCCCCTGGGCGGGCGCCGCGCGGGAGGGACGCGGCCGCCCGGCCGCCCACGCCCACAGCGGCTCGCGGCCAGCTCTGAAGTCGGGGTCCCAAGGCGCCCCACAGAGGCCCGCAGCCCACGCCCCCGCGGGGGGCCTGCGCTCGGCTCCAGGGGCCCTCGCAGTCGCCCCTCCTGGGGCTGCGACCCGCTGGCCGGCGGGGTCCCGGGAGGGCAGCCGGGCGGCGGGGCCGGGTGTCGCCGGCCGAGGGCGGCGGGCGGGGCGGGCGGGGCGGGGCGGGGCGGGCGGGGCGGGCGGGGGGGCGGGGCGGGGAGGGTCCTGCTGTGGGCCGCGTGGGCGGCGGCCGGCGGGGTCTGCGCAGGCGCGCGCTGCCCGGGCGGGGCTCGGCGGGGGGCGGAGCGGGGCGGGCGGGGCTTGCGGGGCGGGGCGTGCTCAGTGGGCGGGGCGGGCCCGCGGAGAGGCTCGCGCGGCCGGGGCGCAGCCCGTGGGCGGGGCTTCCGGGGCGGGGGCGGGGCTTCCGGGGCGGGGCGGGGCGGGCCGGGGCGCGCCGGACCGCGGAGGCCCGAGGGTCCAGGCGTCCAGGTCCTTCGGGCGCGGGCGCCAGACCAGCTTCGGGCCGCGGGGGCGGCGAGCGGCGGCGGGGAGCCGGGCGCGGGGAGCTCCGCGGGGAAGGTTGCAGCAGAGGTCGCCCCGGCTTAGGACCGCATTTTTGGGGGCGGGCTCCCCGAAGGGCGGGGAGTGCAGGAGACGGGCTGGGACTCCGGTACGCCCCGGGGGCTCCCGAAAATGGGTCATGGCAGAAGAGCTGCTGTTTTCGGGAGGGGGGAGCTTGATTTGGCGCCCCGGCGCGAATGCCCCCGCGGGGAGGGCTCGGCGCGGCTCCCACCCAGCGCCAGGCCCGGCCGGGGCTCCCCAACGTCCCGCGGGGCGGCGCCGGAGGCGCGGCGGGGCCCTCCCCGGCCTGAGGCCCAGGCGCCCGAGCCTTCCCGGAGGCGGCCCCCCCCCCCGGGAGGCCGGCAGGACCCTCGGCGAGTCCGCGGCGAGAGTGCCGGGCACCGGCAGGACCCGCGGGCCCCGCTCTCGGGGAAGCAGGGGTTCTGTGCTGTGTCCTGGCCCCTCCAGCCTCCTGGCCCCCCTCGCCCTGCACCCTCTGCTTTGCAGCACCGCCGGGCCGGTGGTCATGTCCCAGCCCAGCCCCCTGCTCCTCCGATGTCCCCTCCCCCAGAGGGGGCTGAGTGGCTCCTCCCTCACCGGCGGCCTAGCCCCCTTGTGCCCTTCAGGCCCGTGGTGACCCCTGTCCTGGTCCCCCTCCGTGCAGGGCAGCCGTGATCCCAGTAACCCAGGAGCTCCCGTAGGACGGGGTGTCCGGCCCTTCACGCCCTGGCCCAGTTGGCCTGCCGGGAGCGGAGTCCCAGCTGCTGTCCACCTCCCACTCCCACCGCGGCCTCTTGCCTCCGGCCATGGCACCCCTGCTCATCCTGTTCCTGGTGGCCCTGGCGGGACTACCTCTGGGTAAGACGGAGGAGGGAGGGGTGGACAGAGCCGTGTCTGGGGCAGGCGGCCTGATAGTGGGCAGGAGGGAGGCCCGTGCCCTTCCAGCTGTCCTGCCCTGGCGGGGCGGTGGCGGGGCCTGGCGGGCTGCGGCAGGCTCTCCGGCGTGTGACCTCCCCGCGCCCCAGCCCAGGCTCTGGACTGCCACGTGTGTTCTTACAACGGAGAGAACTGCTTCAACCCGCTGCGCTGCCCAGACATGGTGGCCTACTGCATGACTACGCGCACCTGTGAGTCCTCCCCTGCCCCGGGGGGCGGGGGGGCTTCCTGCCTCGTCCTGGCCCTGCGAGAAAGGGGTTGGGCCTCCCTCAGACTCTCTGGGGATCCCAGCTCACTCCCCACCCTGCAGACTACACCCCGACCAGGCTGAAGGTGAGCAAGTCCTGCGTGCCCACCTGCTTCGAGACCGTGTACGACGGCTACTCCAAGCATGCGTCCACCACCTCTTGCTGCCAATACGACCTCTGCAACGGTGCTGGCCTGGCCGCCCCCAGGGCCCTGGCCCTGGCCCCCATGCTCCTGGCCGCCCTCTGGGGGCTGCTCTGAAGCCCTTCCCCCTCCCAAGGACAAAGCACAGCCCTGCCCTCTCTCTCTGCACACCCTACGGGCCCTCTGCTACCCCCCCTGCAGCCCCTCAGCCACACCCAGGACGGTCCTGCTCCCAGGTATTCCCTGTCAGAGGCTGCTGGGCAGCCACTGGCTGGGTGGAAGAGGGCGGAGGAGCTTGGCCCCTCCTCGGACCAAAGATGGGGATCTTTGGTCCTTGCAGTCGCTGATTTGAAGGGCATCTGCCCAGCCTGCCTGCCTCTGGAGGGCAGGCGAGAAGGTGGGGCCTTGGGAGGGCAGGGCAGGCCTGGGAGGGAGGGCTGTCCCCTTCCCACCCCAGGGTGCCTGGGTGTCTCTGACTGTTGTCGGGTCGTGGACATGGAGGGGCACAGCAGCAGGCTCGGTCCCTGTCACCTGTGCCCGGAGGACGCCGGTCCAGCCTGCCCCTGGAGGGAGGCCCCACGGCCGCCCAGGCCCCAGGAGCTGGTTGGGTGCAGCGGGTGATGCCTTCTGCCCAGCCAAGCCCTGGCCTGGCCGCTGGCCAGGGCCTGCAGGGCAGCCGCTCTGTTTCTGCATTGGGCCTGCGGAGCACTGACCGCAGGCTATTTTGGGCCAGGGGGGAGGAGCAGGGCCCTGCCCATCAGGCTGGGCAGGATGGCCTGGCAGCCTGGCACCCCGGGAGCGCACTGCCTGTGGATGGGGGTGGGGAGGGCAGTTGCAGCCCACCAGTCAGCCCACCACTGTGGGGTGAAGCAGGGCGCCCCCTCCTGGCGGTGGGGGCTGGCCAAGGGAGTGGGAGGGAGGGGAGCTGCCTGGGGTTTGGGGGAATGGGGTGGGGGTGAGGAGAAGGGGAAGGGGGGTGGGGGCGAGGAACCCACGCTCTCCTCTCCGCAGGCACCGGGAACCCCCAGTCCACCTGCCTGCCCCTCCTGGCAGGAAAACCAGGGCTCGTCTACCCCAACACCCTGCCTGGGGGCGGGGTGCCCTGGAGCTCCCCCAGGGGTCGAGCTCCTCCCTTCCAGGTCCAGGAGCAAGCCCTGCGCCCCCTTCCCCCCCCCCCCCGCTGCCGCTGCACTGGTGGCCCCAGGATCCAGGCCTCCTTCAGTGCGGCAGGCCGGGCCACAGCAAGGTGCGGGTCTGGGGGCCCCGCGACCGCTGGTCAACGTCGTGCTGGGGCGGGGGGTGGCGCTCCCTCAGGCTGGCCTGGATCTCGGAGGGAGGTTGGTGCCAGGGTGGAATTGTCCCTGGACCCTCAGGCGTGACCCATGTCTCAGGGGGCCGTGCTGCAGACCCCATCTTAACAGTCTTGCTCCTGGACCCGGCTGCTGGGTGCAGCATGGGGTCAGGGCCTTTTGTGGGGGGCGGTCGGCGCCTGAGGCTAGCCCCAGGCTGGCCAGGGGAGGGACGCCAAGGGCGGTGGGCCAAGGGCACAGCCCAGACAACCTGCCACCCAGAGTCTCCTCCCTGGGCCCCTCAGGGAGGTGGGCACCAGAAAGCAGTGAGATCCTCTGAGCCCCCACAGCCAGGGGATCCCCAGGAAGGGAAGCCTCAGGGAGAGGCCAGAATTCCCTGCTGAGCGGCTGCGGATGGAGGGGGATGCGCGCCCCGCCTCCAGATACCCCAAGACTAGAGCTGGAAACAGCCATCGCCCTGCAAGCCTGTGTCCTGGGTGTGGGGAGCTGAGAGGAGCCTCTGGGTGGACCCCCAGCCCTGCTGCCCCAGGGTGAGAGGCGATGGGGGGAGCAGGCATCCTCCTGGCATCATGTCCTTCTGTCCCTGTCCCCACCCGACCAGCTCCAACACCGGGCAGGCCGCCCCCTGGTAGGCACACGGCCCGGCCCGGCATGTGGACGTGCTTGGCGCCCCCGGCTGCGAGGGTGCCAGTGCTCGGCGGGGCAGCAACCCCACAACTGTGCAAATTGGGTGGGGCAGGCGGGAGGGCAGAGCACAGCGGCAGGGGGCCCTGTGGTCCCGTGTCCAAGCTCTCCGAGCTCTCCCGACTCCCTCCTGGGCGAGACCGTCCTCACGCCCCTGTCACAGGTGAGGAAACTGAGGCACAGAGAAATGAAGGGGCTGCCAGCCTCCTGGCCGCCTCCTGGCCCTCCCCCCACCACCCTGCTGCACTGCGGGGCCCTCAGAAGCTGCACTCCCCGGTCTGGGAGGTGAGAGCAGGCGGGTGGGTTTGCAGGCACCAGGCTGAGTGTGCCCATCACTGCAGAGCCGGGCCAGGAAAGCCGGGGAGGCCCAGATGCCAGAGGTGCAGCTGGGGTGGGGGCACCCCAGAGCAAGGTGGGCAGTGGGCGGCCCCACCCCCGGGCTCATCACTGCGCTCCCCTGTCCCCGGGCAGCCTGTTTGCCCCAGGGGGTGAGTGGCCCTCAGCGGACACTCCTGTGGCAGGGCCTCCTGGACACCCGGGGGACGGGGCAGGGGCTGGGTGGGCGGGCATCGGCGGCTGAGGTCAGCTGGGCGCAGGGGCTTGGAAGGGCGCGGGGGCGGGGCCGCGAGCCGGCTGCTCCGGGGGCCTCTGGTCTGGCGAGTGCCCGTTTTCCTCAGTTTCCGACCTCGAGAAAGGGAAAGAACTTGTGGGGTGCTCCCTCTCCCAGCCCTCATCGTGGCACCTGAACCCCCATAACACCCATGGGCCTCAGCTGCCTCCTGGCTGAAACGGGGTGACATTCCCCACGTGGCTGGCCCCCCGGGACGGATGGCCAAGCCCCCTCCCTTCCATCTGCTTCCCAGCCCTCCCGGGGCTGCCCCCTGGCCCTGCTGTACGCCCCCCCGCCCCCACCTCCCAGGGCCCGGGCCCAGGACTCTGAATAAATGGGTGAACCACGTGTCTGCTCGGCCCGCCCCTAACTGCGCGCCGTGCCAGTGCCCAGCCTGCTCCGCGGGCCCTGCCGGCTCTGCGGGTGCTGGTGCCCGGCCAACCCGCCGGCCAGGTGCGGGGCCTGGGAGGGGGATCAGCTGGAGAGGCAGGATTCCTGAGGCTCCTGGGCGCCCAGTTTCCAGGGGAGAGGGGAGCTCCCCAGTGCACCCCACGGGAAGAGTCCCCGGGTGGAGGAGGGGGACCCTCACCTGCCCGCTGCCCTCCTCCTCCGGGCCCTCTGCCCTCCCGGCTTTCTGGCTCCCAGCCCACCCTTGGGCTTGCGTCCGTCCGTCCAGCCAGCCCAGAGGCTGACCCGCCCCGCGCCCGCCGCCCCATCCTGACACCAGGGACTGTCCTGCTTGACGGGCAGGCCGGCCCTCAAGCCTTGGGGTCCAGCCCGGCGGGCGGGGAGGCGGGGCGGCGGCCAGCAGGTATAAGTGGCAGCGGCGCTGGCCGGGAGCACCTCCTTGGGAGAACATGCGGCTGCTCCTGGGGCTCCTGCTGGCGCTGGCGCTGAGCCTGGACCAGGGTGAGTGCACTGCCCCGGCCCCCGGCTGGGACGCTCGCCCCTTCGCCTGCCCTTGCCAGGGCCGCCATCCCCCGCGGATGGCTGTGTCTGTCCCAGGCTCCTGCCCCCGACCTGCCTGCCCTGGGGTCACCTCCCTGGGTGCTCTCCCGTGGGCTCTGTGCTCGCTGGTCTGGCCCCCACACTCCAGGCCCTGGGCCGATGCCTGCCTGAGGGGGCCCCGGACTCCCCCACACGGAGCTGCCCGCCCACAATGGCCTCCTCATCGCCCACAACATAGGTCACCTGAACAAAACCAGAGGGTGCCCCCACCCAGCCCAGGCCACCTGCCTCCCAGGTGGCCTGGGCCTGGGGGCGTCCCCGCCAGGCAGACCCCTCCCCCAGGGCCTCTCAGATCCAACCACAGTCTCCATGGTGGGGTCCCCTCTCACCTGGGCCTGCCCCCACTCTACCCCCCAATAGCTGCCCAGGGCAGGGGTCCTGGCCAGTGCGTCACAGGCCACACGGTGTCCTGCGGGGTTGGCCACCGTCACCCCCGGCCACTGTGCCCCAGCCGAGCCCCGCCCAGCTGCGCCCACTGGCCCCCAGCTGCTGAGGACCCCTCCTTGCTTGAGGCACCCCCTTCCCAAAGCCCCAGCTGCCAGGACACGGAGCTGCCCCGGCTGGTCACCGCACTGCCAGGGGGAAGTTCCGGGTCAGAGTCCTGCAGGGGCCACCTGCCGCGCCAGTGTCTTCTCACCCCTGGACAGCCGGGCCTCCCCAGTCCTCGCCTGTACAGCCGTGAGGGTGGGCACACCCGGGGCGCGGGGATCCCCACCCCACCTGCCCTCGGGTCCCCACCCAAGCACCTCCGGCCCTCCCCGCTCCGCCCCGTGCAGCAGCCCCATGGCCTTCTCCCGGCCTCCACTGTGGGGCTCGAAGGGCTGGACACCTTGAGGACAGTGCAGCGTGTCGGGGCCCCAGGTCCAGGGAAGCAGGGGTGGGTGCTGGGCGGCTCAGAGGGCCACACGTGCTCCCCCGCCTATCTGTGTCTGTCCGTCCATCCCTCTGCCTGGCCGAAGGCCGAGCCTTGTGGTGCCACCAGTGCAATGGCTTCGGGGGGTGCCTGCAGCAATCCAGATGCGCGCGGGGCGCCGACCACTGTGTCACCATCGCCACCCGTGAGTGGGGTGCAGGGCTGGGGAGACTCCAGCCTGAGGGAGGGTGCGGTTGCCCGGGCAGGGGCAGCTCAGAGCAGAGCGAGCCCACAGGGTCTCTCTTTCGCACAGGGGTCGCCACCAGCCTCCAGCACCTGCCTCTGGTCACCAAGATGTGCTTCAGTGGCTGCCCCGACGCCTCCAGCCTGGGCCTGGGCCCCCACGTGTCCATCTCCTGCTGCCAGGCCAGCCTCTGCAACCAGGGCTGATGGCGCCCGGCCAGGCCGGCCTCCCAGCCCGCTCAGGCCCCAGGGGTCCAGCCCCTGACCCAGGGCACGCTGCCCTGGCTGGTCCTCCCTGCCTGCTGCCCCGTCTACTCAACCCCCAATAAAGGTGACTGTGCCCGCAGGAGCAGAGAGAACACGTGGCGGGTGGGGGGGCAGGGCGGGCGGGGGTCTATGAGCCACGCTGCCCCTTTCCAAGGCGCTGCCACGCGTGCATGCATGGGCACACCCTTGCACAAGCCCCGTGAGCCGTTCAGGTGCAGCTCCCCCAGCCAGCCGGCCCCTCCCGGGCCTGGGTCTGGCTCCCTGCACGGAGCTCCTGCTCCCCAACGCGCCCATGGGCCCTACCTGCTGCTTCCTGCCCTTCCTGCCCCCCACCCCCAGCTGGCCCCTGCTAGGGATCCCCCTGGCAAAGGTCTGTGGTGATGACCCCCGGGGGTGCCTGGGCTTGCACAGGCCAAGCATCAGGAGCTGCTCCCTCCCTGCTCACCCCCCTCTTTCTCCCTCCCCTCCCCCACTCCCACCCACAGCCCAGTCCTGGGCTCAGCCCCCATGAGAGGGAGCACAGCCCCCACCCCTGGCCTGGCTGGGACTCAGTGCAGGAGGCGGGGACAGCCCCGCCATCACCAGGCGCCCAGCGGGGGCTCCAGCAGGGTGACCCAGCCTGAAGGCCCCGAGGCAGAGCGGTCGGTCGGGGCAGGCTGCAGCCCATCCTGGGCAAGGCGGGGGCAGAGGCCCGGAGCGGCTGCTGACCGCCACGGCAGGGACCGTCCACGCCGCTGCCCCTGCCGGCGTCACCTCGAGGACAGCCCCAGAGAAGCAGCGATTTCAATGTCAAAGGGAAGATTCTTTAAAACTGAACCGGGCTCTCGGGGGGGCTACGGCGGCGGTGGAGGACAGGTCACTCTGGGGCCTCGGTGCACACGGCAAGGCCACTCGGCCTCGGGAGCAGCCGCCACGGGGCTGATTTAACCAGCGGGGACGGTCACGAAGGCCACTGTTGGCGGCCCCCAGGGTTGGCGGCCCCCACGGCGTGCAGGACGCCCGCACAAAAGGCCGCCTCCCCCGACGGCGCCGGCCCGCCACGACGGCCTGGAGTGCCTGGCAGCGGCAGGCCCCGGCCCCCCTCCCCGCAGCCCGCACCCGCGGGTCCCGGCCTCACTCCAGGCTCGGGCCCCGGGCCGTCTCCGGCCTGCAGCTGTCCCCGCGGGCCCCGCTCCACCCTGCAGTCCCCGTGGGCTCCTGCCCTGGGCTGAGAGGGGGAGCCGCCGCCCGCGTCACCACCGCCTCCATGGCAGCTGAGCCCCGCGGGGCCGCAGGGGGACACGCCGTCGCCTGCTGCCCCTCACTGCCCGCAGCAGCTCTGGGGCCAAGTGCCGGAGCCCTCAGCGGGTCTCACTTCCAAAACCATGAGCAGTTCAGAATAGAAAAGTCCTCCAGGGACGAACCCGCAGACCTGAGGCTCCCTCCACCCCCGTGAGAAAGCGCACAGGCCCCCAGGGAGCGGGGCCCCGGGGCGCCAGGAGCGGGTGTGCTCGGGCGAGGCGGTCGTGGGGACAGCCGAAGGCCGCTCGGCAGGTGGAGGAGCCGCAGCGGCGGGCCGTCAGCCACCCGAGGCGTGACGCGGGACCAGGACAGGGGCCTGGACAACCTCGCGCCGAAAGAAGCCCTGGGGGGGGGCGCAAGAGGTGTGCCCCCCGCGGCGGAGCGGGGAGGGGCGGTGGCTTCGGGGCAGCTCCTGTGGGGGTTCCTCCGACAGACCGAGGAGGGTGGCATGGCCGGGCGTGTACCCGAAACCCTCCAAGTCTGCAGGGACAGGGTGGGGTAGAGCCGAGAAGGAGGTGAGAAGTGAGAGAAAAAACAGAAAAATAAGACTCGGTCCAGCCTGAGACACATCCTTGACCGCGGGGGACACGCCCCGTCCGGGGCGGGAGCAGGAAAGGAGGACTCATCCCCGAGCCCCCATCCTGGTCACCCCGACCCTGCCACCCCCCAGCCCCACCCCTGGTCACCCCGAGCCCAGACCTGGTTGCTCCCGAGCCCCCCAGCCCCGCCCCTGATCGCCAGCCCGGCCTGGGGGTCCTGGAAGGGGACGACCCGTCGGCGTGTGTGGTGCGGAGGGAGCGCGCGGGCCTCTCAGCAGCGACGCCCAGGCCCCGACCGGGCACATTCCTGGGCCCTGAGCCGGGGCTGGACCGGGCGTGCTGGGCCAGCCTGGTGTCCTGGGTGGGGTGGACGGCTGCCAGAGCCGCGGCCTGGGGCCGGGTGTGCCGAGAGCCGCGGCCGGGCCCCGGGAGCGATGCTGACACGGCTCAGGAATTGGGCTGGCCACGGGACGCGCCGGGTGTGCCGCCGTGGCTAATCCAGTTACCCGCGCGCCGGCGGCCAGGAGGGCACGGGCGGAGGGCAGCGGGGAGGCCCGCTCCAGGGCTCCACGGCCTGCTGGTCGCTGCGTGCCAAGCCCCCCGGGTGCGCCCCTTCCAGGCGCGGTGAGGCGGGGGGGGGGGACTGAGAGGCCGTGCCCCCAGCTGGCGGCTGGCATGGAGAGCCCACCCGCCCAGGATCACGGAGCAGCCTGGGGAAGGGGCAGGGCGCACCCACACTGACCACGCCCACGGCAGGCAGGGCCGAGGGCACCGGGCGTCAGGGCCCTGAGGGGAGAGGCGGGGAGGTGGGGGGTGCATCCGCAGGAAGGGGCTAGACCCCACCAGGGCCAGTCCTCTCCCACCCCAAGCCCCCGGGGGTGGGATCTGGCTGCAGAGGGTGGCGTGGGCACACCGGGGAGACTGAAGTGCAGGGACCCTGGAGTGCATGTGTGTCCAGGTGTGCATCTGTGTGTGGTGTGTGTGTGGCATGGTATGGGGTGTGTGTGCGTGATGTGTGTGGGGGGGTGTGTGGCATGTGGCGTGTGTGGGGTGTGTGTGTGGCATGATGTGTGTGGCGTGTGTGGCGTGTGATGTGTGTGTTGGGGGGAGGTGCGCTGTCCCCAGAGGTCAGCCTGGGCTTGGAGGTCCGGGAGGGGCCTCTCCCCCTGGCAGGGACTTTGCTGCTTTGTCTCCTTAATCCTCTCAGCACACTGGGGCTGTGTCCGGGCGGAGGTGTCCCTGGCCCGGTGCCCTGTGCGACCCCCACAGGAGCTGGTGCCAGGCCTGGGGGAGCCAGAGCCACTGCCCAGGGAATGTGCCCCGAAGGTCCCCGTGGGGCCCAGGAGGAGGGGTGCTGCCGCCAGGAGTCGGGGGACAGTCCCCGCCCTCTTCCTTGTACTCCAGGCCCTCTGGGGAGCCTTCCCCTGGGGCACAGAGGCGGGGTCCCCAGGGAGGGGAGGGAGAAGGAGACCCCCAGGCCACGAGCCCCAGAGGCGGACCCCCAAAGCGACGGGGTCCGGAGGAGCAGGTCAGGGCCCTGCGGTGGGAGGTGGAGGAATGAGGAAAGGCACAGGGCGGGGTGGGGCGGGGTGCCCACGAGGTTTGGGGCGTCCAGGTGGCCACGGGAGGGGCTGGCGGGCAGGGTGGGTCTCCCCACCCAGGGAACCCGATCCCACTAATCTGCTCGGCCCACCGGTCAGGTGGCTGCACCCGCGTCTGCCGTCCCTTCCAGGCAGCCGACGGCCAGCGCGGAGCGGACATGCGGGGGGCCTGGCTGGTGCTGCTGCTGCTGGGGCTGGCGGCCTGCGGCGAGCGCGGTGAGGGCCCTGCCGGCCGGGACAGAGGGAGGGAGGAGGGCAGGGAGGCCCCCAAGCCCGGTGGGGGAGAGAGGGGCGAGGGGGGGCGGGGCGGGCCAGGCACCGGGGTGGCCGGGGAGCTGCGGCCCACGCCAGGGGGAGAAGCCAGCCCGGGGCTGGGAGCCAGCCAGGCCCTGGGTCCTGCGGGTGATGCCCTCACCGGGCCCCCCCGCCATGGGGATGCGGCCTGAGCCTCCCGACCCCACGGGGGCCATCACAGGCCTCAGCATCGCCCTGCCCCTTCCCTTGCAGGGAAACTGAGGCCGGCCTCAGAGCCCCACAGCAGGGACAGTGGGGCCTGTGGCCTGGTCTGGCCTGGCTGCTTGGCCAGCTGGGGGGCCGTGGGGTGGGTGCCGGAGACGGGCCGTGGGGGTTCTGGAGCTGAAGGGGGGAGGCAGCCTGGACCGGCCCTCTGCTTGCTGGGCCCTGCTGGCTGGGGCGCCCCTCTGCGGAGCCGGCCCCGCGGACACACTGGGCCCAGCCTGGCCGCCCCTGTGCCCCACAGTTGCCTGATCCCGAACCTCAGTAGAGCCCTTTGGGTCCTGCAGTTTGCCAGTGGGGAGTGACCTGCACTTCGAGACCCTCGCTCCCGGGAAGAGTCGCTGTGCTGGGCTCCCGCCCCCCACCCCCACTTCCTGGGGGCCCTGGCTGAGCCCATCTCCCCCTGGGCACACCTGGCTCCCGAACCCCGCAGCTTATGGGGCTGGGCTGGAGGGCGGGGGGCCCCAGCTGGGCTCAGGACGGGGCTCTACGGGTCTCCCGCCTCACACTGGCTGCCTGTCACCCAGCGGGGGCCCTGAGGTGCTACACCTGCCAGGAGCCCACCAGCGTGTCCAGCTGCATTGCCATCGCCGCCTGCGGGGCCAACGACACCATGTGCAAGACCACGCTCTACTCCCTGGAGATCGGTCAGTGGGTGCGGGGTGGCGGGCGGGGGCCGGGCAGGCTCCCACACGCCTGCAGCCACAAGCCAGGCGGCTGGGGCTCCGGCTGCCACAGCCCTGCGGGTAGCCGTCCCTCCTGGGCGTGGCTGGCAGAGGTGGCCCCGAGGGCTCACTGTCGCCAGGGGCAGCACTTCCCCTCGGGTCGCCGTGGTGCCACAGCCACTGCCGTGAGAGAGGGAGGGGCTACCCCAGAGGGGCCGGCCCCCTGACCGCTGGTGTCCGGCCCGCAGTCTACCCCTTCCTCGGGGACTCCACGGTGACAAAGTCCTGCGCCAGCAAGTGCCAGCCGTCGGATGTGGACGGCATCGGCCAGACCCGGCCCGTGTCCTGCTGCAACACCGACCTGTGCAACGTGGACGGGGCACCCACCCCGCACGGCCCCCACAGCCTGGCCCTCGCCCTGGTGCTGAGTCCCCTCCTGGGCCTTGGACTCTGACCCCCACCCCCCCACCCCATCCTGCCCCAGCTGCCCCTCTAAGTGCCCTACAAGAAACCCAGCTGCCAATACCAGGCCTCCTGCGTCCCTCTCTGGTGCCGCCGGCCACGGGCCAGTCCCGCACTGGGGTCAGGAGCTCTGGCTCCGCTGCCAGCACGTCCCAGCTCTCTCGCTGTTCGCCACATGGCCTCAGGCGGCCAGCCCCGGGGGCCGGCCCCTGTCTCCGATGGCCTCTGCCCACTGGCCTCCTCTCCACTTCTCCCCCGACACCCACTTGTTGTCCAACTGTCCCTGTGGCATGGCCAACGAGGACGGCCCCCAGGCCGGGAGCCACAGGTCAGCCAGACACACTGGGATGGGGTGAGGGGGGTCAGGACCTGACTCCGCCTGGCCGAGGGCCCAGGTGAGTGCCCCGGGGGACTCCAAGCCTTGGGAGCAGAGTGAGCCGCTCCTAGCCGGGCCTGCTCTGGGGTCAGGGCCTCTGCGCAGTGACCTGCCCCGGCCTGAGCCTGCCCGTGTGTCTGCCCAGACTGGGCACACAGCATGGCCACCATGTGGGGCCTGAGGCCACCCGAGGGCTGACTCCAGCACCGCAGGACCTGGGAGGACATTCGAGCGCTGTCCAGCCGGGACGGTGACTCTGTCAGGTGGACGGTGACTCTGTCAAGGGAGACACAGCTTGGCCATCCGCTCATTCTCACCTGGACCCCCGCGTCCTCCACAGAAGTGAGGAGCATGGGGGGGTCACTAAGCTCAGAGTCTGGGTGGAGACCCCCCCACCCAACACTCATGTACACCCACCCCCAGAAGCACAGCCGCCTGTACCAACACCCCACACAGAAGGCCACCCGCCTCTGAGCAGGCTCAGGGCTCAGCCCATGTCAGGACCCGGCCAGTCTGTGTCCAGGCCCAGGGCTCAGCCTGCAGCCAGTGCCAGGGCTTTATCTGCCATGCGTCAGGGCCGAGTACAGCCAGGAGCAGGGCTTAGCCTGGAACCAAGGGTCGGGGTTCAGTCTGCGGTCAGGCCGGGGCCGCTGTGTAAGCGAGGACAGTGGTGGGAGGGGCCCCGCTCCTGGTCCAGCACAGCCCCCAGTCCAGGCTTTAGAAGTCCCTGACCTCACCTCCCTCGCCGTGGAGCCCTTTGTGGAGACCGGCCCTGCCCTGAGTCTCCTCCCTGTCGAGTCCTCCGGCAGGTCCCTTCCTGGGGTGACCCCCCAGCCTCTTAGACCACGATGGGGCCTCTCTCTCCTAGGGCATCCTGCGAGCACACCCTGGCTTGTCTGAGAAATGGGAAGTCTGGGGGTGCAGGGCAGAGCCTGGCCATTGATTCCTGCACCCCAAGGGCAAAGGACACGTCTGCCAGCCTGCTCTGCCCAGGGAGGGCCGGGCAGGGCACTCGGCTTGGGCCCCAGCTCCGGCCGGGACAGGTCCTGGCACATGGGGCTGGCGGTCCTGCAGGAGCTGGGCAGGGGCTGTGGAGTTCCAGGGCCGCCCTGAGGGGGTGCTGCCCGGGCCGGGATGCGCCACAGCAGGAGGAAGGGGCCGCTGGCCCAGCTTTTGGCTGAAAGAGGACCCTGATTCAGCCCGCTCTGCCCCTTGCAGCCAGCTCCCCTTCCCATCCCCCCGCCCCAAATCAGAGGAATGACCAGCCCAGAACATTCCAAGCTGCCCGCGGAGTGGGAGGCAGTGCCTAGGCTGCCCCGGCCCTGATGCTGTTTACCCAGCTGGGCCCCACAGACCAGGCAGGAAGGCCCCCCACCGGCCTGGGGCCCGGCCTCGCCCGGAGGCAGCAGCGCCCGGGAGCCCCAGGTCCTGCCGGCACATTGTGTCCAGCTCCGCAGACCCGGGGCCCGCGGTCTGACCCCCACCAGCCGTAAAGGTGTGAAGCCGCTGGCAGGGCCTTGGGCAGCGGTCAGGCCCGCACTGGAGCCAGCCGCCTGCGAGTCTGCCGGTGGCCGCGGGCCTCGGGGAGCCCCTCCCAACACGGCGGCGGTGGCACCTGCCCAGCGTCGCCACCTTCTCTGCGAGAGCACCGCCCTCCCGCCCGTACCCTGAGGAGCGCCTGCCTGCGGCGGTGCCTGCCCTGGGCACGCGGTCCCTCCCGGAGGCCAGTGCGGGCCTCCGGGTCATCTCCTCCGGGCAGAGGGGGCTCCGCGCCTGCCGGGGGCGGGCTCTGCCGGCCATGCGGAGCGCGGCCGCGGGACACTGGCAGGGAAGGAGGTGCGGCCGCCCGCTCCTCACCCACAGCTCTCCACCCGCGGGCCCCCGGCTCAGTGCCCAGCGGGGCGCAGACTCTGGAAACCCCAGCGGGCCCAGGAGGCCGGGTGCGGGGCAGAGCTCCCTGCAGCTTTGGGCAGCCCCCGCAGCCATCCTCAGCACACCGCCCGCTCTGCCCCCCGGCTGCTTGCGCCCTGGGCCCGGGGCAGGTCCTCAGGGCAGGGGCGTCCTTCATGAGAAGAGAGGGCTCGAGGCTGCTGGCCAGGCCTGGACAGAGCAGACGACCCGGAGGCCCGCACTGGCTGTGGGAGGGACCGGTGCCCTGGGCAGGCGTCGCTGTGGGGCGGGTGTTCCTGAGGTGCGGGGTAGGAGGGGCACCCCTGGGGGAGGGGCGGTGATCCTACAGACTAGGTGGTGCATTGACAGGTGCCACCTGCCTCCGCCCTGTCCAGGACGCCAGGGCCGCCCCGCCTCGTCTGAGCTGCCACCCTGTCTTCTCTGGGGTGCAGCACCCGCTTCCCACCTCCCTGCTCCCGCTCTCCCCACTCCAGCCCTCTGTGGGGCCAGCAGCTGGCCCCTAGAGGCCCTGTTTAGCTGCCCACTCACCCGGAGGTGCGGCTGGGTCCATGGCCTCCTCCAGGCTGGGACCACAGCACGGGGCGGGGGGTCACGGGGCAAATCTGAGCTCCTGGGAGGGAGGGGCTGCCCTGCCAGGGGTGAGCACCCCACCCCGGCTAGCCAAGCCCGGGCTGAGGTCTGCCAGAGAGGCCGCAAGGACATCTGTGCTCTGGGACAGAGTCAGCCAGAGTGCAAGACGGAGTCTAGGCTGCCGGCGGCACCCCCGGTCTCCTTGGGAGAAGCAAACCCATCAAGCCTCCACCTTCAGTCCCGGCACACCAGGCACCCCCCACCCCCTAACCACCCCCACCCCCTAACCACCCAGCCACGAGTTCGCCCGACCGTCTGTCCATCCGTCCCCCAGCAGACACTTGGGCAGCCTGCACGGCCGGGCCTGGGCTGTGGGCAGGGGATTCTAAGAGGGATGAAGAGCTGATGGTCCAGCAGGCCCGGCCCAGCCAGGCAGGGCAGGCCTCAGACCCGAGGGTGGGGGTGGCAGGCTCTGACCACACCCTGGAGGCAGCCGAGCAGGGGCTGCGCTTGGCCAGCTCCCTGGGGCGGCAGGTGGAGGGAGGGCTGGGGGAGGGAGGCTGGCGGCGGCCCCGGGGGATGGACATGGGGGCGACCTGGCGGAAGGCGGGATTCGGCGGAGAGTCAGCGGGCACACTGGGCGGGACGGGGCCATCTTTCCCCACGCGTGGGCGTCGGCCCCGAGGGCCGGGAGCAGTTGTCATCCCGACCCACAGACTGGAGGCAGGGCCCGGCCAGCCCACCTGGGCCGCCATGCTGCCGGCTCGCCCCGGGCAGAGACTCAGGGGCTCAGGCTGCCCCTGTGGCCACAGGCCCGCCTGGCCTCCCAGTTCCACCTGGGCCAGCGGGCAGGGAGGGCAGGGTTCCCAACGAGGAAGAAGCGGGCGGCACCACTCGACCGGGGCATAAACCCTGCCCTGCCCAGGCGGGCCTGAGCCCTGGCCACAGCACCCCCTCCTCCACGGGTGGGCCCGTGGGTGCCAGCTGGGGATGGCCTGGCGTCGCTGTCCACGGGAGCCGTGTGCCGCCCTCCTGGCCGCGAGCACCCCCGCCAGCTCCACTTCCCGGGTCTTCCCTCCCCTTCCAGGCGAGAGCCCCGTCCCAAGGCCTGGCGCAGACCAGCCCTGCTCCCCAGCGCCACGCGGGGCTCCCTGCCCCCACGGCGACGCTCATCACTGCCTCTGGCAGCCGCTTCCCGGGAAGCCGCTCTGGGCCGGCCGGGCGGTGCAGGCCGGCTGGGTCGTCAGGCTCCAGAACCCGACATCCCGGCCCCTCAAGCAGGGCCGGCCCAGGGTGGTTTGCAGTGACAACAGCCGCTCCCCGGGGAGCGACGCCTCTGGTCCTCCTGCCCCCCCACCCCCGTCCCACCAGCTCGCCTTGGCGCCAGGCCATGCCACTCTGCCCTCGAAGCTGCCCGGTCCCTGGTCTCGTCCCGCGAACAGGAAACCAAGCGTGAGTGACGGGGTGTCACCCAGGCTGAGTGACCGAAACTCAGCTCTGGTGCAGCCCAGCTCCGGCGCGGCCGCCTTCCGCCCCATATGGGGCACCCCTCCTTCCACCTGCCCCCCCCACGGCTGCCCGGGAGGCATCAGGAGACAGGGAAAGCGGAGGGGGGCCACAGAGGGCGCCCGAGAGGCCGCGGCAGGGTTGGACGCAAGGGGGGGGCAGTGGCGAGGTCTGTCCGGCAGGCCGTCTGGGGCCTCAGCTCAAGGCTCGTGCTGGGCTCGTGACCGTGCGTGGGCAAGGGCTGGCAGCGGTGGGGCAGCCCAGCACCCCACACCCGCCACCCGAGAGGGCCCCAGGGGCCCAGGCCACCCTCACCTGGAGCCCCCGCACTGGCCCTGTCCTCTGACCCCCACCTGGGGCCTGTGCCGTGCACCCCATCAAGCAGGTGCAGGCGGAGCACATGGGGGCATGAGGAGGCCAGTGCCCCGGTTGGGTTAGGGGGGTCCTGAGTCCAGGCCAGAGAGGGCGTGGCCCTGGGTGGCTCCCACTCCGGGGCCAGGCCAGGCTGCAGGGGCGCGGCGGGGGACCCGAGGGCAGGCCAGGCTCGGGAGCGGGGGGAGGGCGTCTCGGCCAGGCCACCCCCGCGGCAGGGGTGCGGGCCCGCAGAGGCGGCCGTGGGCAGAGGGCGTGCGGGGGTCTGGCTCGAGGCCCTCCCGCCCCTGCCCTGAGACACCCCACTGACTCACCGGCTCCGGCACGCCCCAGCGGCATAAATCCCCAGGAGGCGCGGGGTGCACGGAGGATGGCGGCTCTCGGGGCGCTGCTGCTGCTGCTGCTCGCTGCGGCCGCCGGACTGCGCCCAGGTGAGTGGGGCGTGTCTCTGGACGTGGCTTCCGTGGCCGCCGCCGAGGGGAGGGGAGGGGGAGTCCTGGCCTCCTTAGCCCCCTCGGGTGCACCCCTCACCCTGGATGAGCCTCCTGGGTCCCAGAGCCGCGTGGCCCTGGGGCAGGGCCAGGATACCCGTCCCTGGGGCAGCGCAGCGGCTGGGGAGCGGGAGGGTGCGGGGCCCACCTGCAGGCAGGCTGGGCGCCGAGGGTCTCTGGGGAGAAGCCCTGGGGTTGGGCTGTGACAGGTGCCGCCCGCCCGCCCAGGTGTGGCCTTCAGGTGCTTCACGTGTGAGCAGCCCACCTCCATCTCCTCCTGCACCAACATCACCCGCTGCACGCCTGAGCACACGGCCTGCAGGACCACGCTGGTGATGGGCCAGGCGGGTGAGGGCGCCTGGGGGCCTGGGGCGCGCGCTGGGGCCGGGCTCGCCCTGAGGGCTGCGGGCCCTGTGGCTCTGGACACCATCTCAGGGCCCCACCACGGACACCCAACAGGGCCTGGTGGGCTTCCCAGAGTCCCCGGGGTGCGGGGCGGGTGGGCAGAGGCGGTGGGCACTGACGAGCGGGCATGGCCTCTGACACCAGCCCCTGCCCGCAGAATACCCCTTCAATCAGAGCCCCCTGGTAACCCGGTCCTGTGCCAGCTCCTGCATGGCCACCGACCCCGACAGCATTGGGGACGCCCACCTCATCCACTGCTGCTTCCAGGACCTCTGTAACTCCGTGGGGGCCGCCGGGCTGGGCGCCGCAGCCCTGGCCACACTGGGGGCCATGCTGCTGGGCCACCTCTTTCCCTGAAGGCCTGCCTGTGCCTGCCTGTGCCCACACACCCCTTGGCCAGGCCACTTGTGGGAACCCAGGGGAGAGGACAGCTCTGGGTGCTCCCTGCCTCTGTCCCCCAAATGTGGAGAAAATAAATCTGCCTAGGGTGCAGGTCCCCTCTTACTCTGGCACCGAGCACCCCCAGAACCGCCACCGGAGAAGCATGTCTGGCCTGAGTCTCATTCCACAGACCGGGGAGCAGAGGCAGGGGAAGACTCCCAGGCCAGGTGGGGCCCCAGCCCAGGAAATGCTGCCAGGGGGTGCTGAAGGCACCCCCCAGGGTGGGAGGGAAGTCTGGGGTCTGGTTCCCAGCCAGGGATGGGGCGAGAGGCGTAGGCCACACTGCCCCAGTGTGGGTGCATCTGTCCGGCTGGTGCCTGCACGCCGCTGACCAGAGGCCTGCTATGCGTCCTCCCCCTGGGGACAGCGGAGCGGGGACTATTGCACACGAGCGCTGAGGATGCCAGCTCATCCGGGCCCTGGACTAGCACTGGGCTCCTCGCAGGCTGGACCTGCAGTGGCTGGTGGCCAGTGCCAGCCAATGGGCAGCAGAGTCCCCAGGGGACCCTCTGGACCCTGTGGGGCTCCAGCTCCTGCCCAGTGGCTTTCTGGTCCCACAGCCCCAGGCAGAGGCGGGCAGCGCCCAGCACAGGGGCAGCTGTGCGCCACCCCAGGCCCATACCCCAGCCCCCACTGCGCGTGTTCTGCGCTCTCAGCAGCTCCGTCTGCATCCCAAGGCCTCATGAGTCATCCTGGCCTGAACTGGGTCCTGCTGACGCCACTGCCCCTGGAGTGGGGCGCTGCTCCTGGGCCCGGCAGGTGCACAGGGGCGCCGCTCCCCTCTGAGGCTGCTGCGGGATGGCCTCCTTTAGGCCGCGCCCAGGCCATGAGCCAGTCCCCTGAGCTGTGGGACTTGCGGGGAGCCCTCCGGGGCCATGCACGTGGGGCCAGGACCACTGCCTCCCCGTGGGCATGTCTCGTGACAGTGCGACCGGGCCTCAGCACCCCGGTGAGCGCCGGCCCAGCCTCCACCCAGGCGCAGGAGGCGGGCGGGCCGTGCCTGGGCCGGGCACTGCGCCAGGGCGGCCAGCAGAGGGAGCCCGCGGACCTCCCCTGTGGGCTGCCTCCTGCGGGCATCCCCAACCCGGCTGGACCTTGGGAGCGGGAGCACCGGATGCTCGGCCGCCCTCCAGAGGTGGGGTCGAAGAGAAATGCCCATCTAGGGCGACCGGGCCCGCGTGACCATCCTACATGTTAAAACCCAGGAAAGGTGATGGAAGCCACAGGGCTACTGCTCTGGGGCCTCCCCGCATGTCCCCCAACAGGCAGGTGCGGCCTCTGCCTGCCTGGGAGGTACTAGGCGCCCAACCCCAGCTGCCCACCCAGTGTGGCCCTGCACGTCCCCATCTCATAGGTGGGGGCTGTGGGCCTCCCACCAAGGCACCCACCCCCAACAGCCAGAGACAGGCACCAGGGCCTCCACGCGCAGGTCCAGCAGGCAGGCCCCGCCCACCACTGAGACCCTAGAATCTGCCCGAGTCCAGCTGCCTAGAAGTGGGGTCAGCCCACACCTGGCAGCCAGGACGCCTCAGGCACTGTGGACGTCGGCCCTGCGTGGCCACGGCGAAATCCTGGGCCGGACAGGAGGGACCGGGCTGAGTGGACCGGGTCCACTCACGTGGACCCCACAGTGGTCAGTGCGGGGACCTGAGGGGGCCCCACTGGAGGGCGGAGCACAGGTGCACTTCCAAAGCCTCTGTCCAGCCGCCAACTCACGGACGGGGGAGCCCGCCCTGCCTGAAGCCCGTTCAGTCTCCACCCCCCACTGGCCGTCCAGCCTCCCTCTCCTACCGGCTGGGTGTCCCCCTTGGATGCCGCCAGGAACAGCCCCCTTTGGCCCAGACACCCTGCCCCACGCACGTGGTGCCAAGCAGGGCGGCCCAGGGCCCCCATCTGCCTCCCCAGATGCCGCCCTACTTCTGCTTCCACCGGCCACTTGGGGCCACGGGCTGACCCCGATCCTGGGCGAGCCTGTGTCCCTCTGCAGTCCCACCAGGGCCCTGTCGTGGGCCGGCAAGACTGACACCCGCTGCGACCCTCGGTGGGGTGGTCCCTGGCCGCTCCTTCCCTGCATCCTGTCCCCCCTCCCAGGGGACCTGTGTGGACGCCTCTCAGGTGAGACAGACCTGCCTGTGTCCACTGGCCCTCGAGGGCCACCTACTCGGGACAGGTGTGAGGGGCAACCTGGGCAGCCCCAGGGAGGGGGAGAGCAGACCTGCCCGCTGACCTCTGCCCGCACCCTAGCCTGCCACCGGGCTGCCGATCGCCCGGGGCCTGGGGCGGGCCGGCGCGAAAGGAAACCGGGCGGGCCTCCGCAGGTGGGTCCGGGCACTCCCCTGCTCTGCGGAACAGGGGCGCGTCCTGCCTGCCAGCCGGGCCCCTAATTCACAGCACCCAGCAGGCCAGGGCGGACAGCCCCACGCCAGACACCCTGGTGAGCGGCCGCGGGGGGCCAGGCCTGCAGAAATGAGGTGGTCTCACGCTCCACGTAAGGCCCTTTAATTCGGGCTGTCTTCACACGAGACAGACACTGCAGCTTCCCGTGTAAGGCAGAGACAGCGCGGGGCGGGCGGGGGGCGGGCGCGGGCTCCGCTCCAGCTCGAGGGTCCTGGCCGACAGGCACGGGGCGGTGCTGGGCGGTGGGGCCGGCCCAGGCAGGTGGGCTTGGTGCCCTAGCAGCCACATGCAGGCAAGCAGCCCCCCCCAGGGCCCTGCACCCCAGCGTCCCCACCAGCCAGGGGCCGAGGCCCTGGGTGCTCTGGGCCAGCTCCCAGCTGTCCCCGGAGCTCCCCCCACCCAGAGGAGGGCAGGAGCGAAGGTCTAGTGAGGGCTGTGCCAAGGCAAGGACCAGCGACTGAGCCTGTGGGGGGGGGGTGCGGCAGGGCAGCCTGTCACACAGCCGGCACCTGGGCACCGGGGTGTGGACGGGCAAGGTGCAGAGGGCACCCTGGAGGAAGCCCGGTCACGGCCCCATCTCTGCCTGAGCAGGGACACACCAGGGCGATGGGAGACTCCCTGGCTCCCCAGGTGCCCCTGCTCTGGCCCTCTACACCCTCCAGGCTCAGCTAAGACCCCCCCAGATTCACCTGGGGCCTGGCCCCTCCTCCTCCACAGAGGAAATGGCCTTAAAAAGACATTGGAACCCTTGAAAGCTCGTCATCTTGGGGCGCAGACCCCACCCTGGGCAGACCCCACCCTGCTCTGCCCCCAGGGCTCGGCCGGCAGTGGAGGCTGGGCCTCCCACACCACCGTGGTCTCCACCCTGAGGGCAGAGCTGGGCCGCCTGGTCACCCCATCTCTGCCAGCGTGCGGCGGCGCGGAGCAGGGTGCAGGGAGCAGGGCCTGACTGTGTGAGGGGCTGGGCGGGGCTGGTCCCAGCCGGGCCGGCCCGTTCTGCTCTGTCCCCGGCGGCCGGCACGGCGGGCGGTCACTGGTCCTTGGGGGCTCACCGAGCCCGCTTTCAGCCCGGAGCAGCTGGCTGCTGGCCTCGTTGTAGGCGATCCAGTGCCGCAGGTCCTCGGGCAGCTCGGGGGGCTCCACCTGCAGGGGAGGGTGCGAGACCCCATAGGTGACCTATCCCAGAGTGGCGAGGGCACAGCCACCGGCCCATCGGCCTTCCAGCCTGCCTGTCCGCCTGCCCCACCCTCTGGTCTCGGCCCCTCCAGCCTGCCTGCCCCCACCCCCGGCAGCCATGAAGCCAAGCCTGGGTGGTCGGCCACGCCCGACGGCCCCCCTCTGCTTCCCGGCCGCGCACAGACACGCAGAGCACCCCTGTGCCCACAGGGCGGGGGACCCTGAGCAGGCTGGGGAGACAGGACTGGGGGCAGCGCGGCCGGCTGCCCACAGCGCTCCCCGAGTCCGTGCCCCTCCTCTGACTGGGGTTGGGCTGGCCCCCCACCACGAGGCAAGCCGTGTCCCTGCAGCTGGGGCGCCCACTGGAGGCTGAGGCACCTGGGGTGGGGCAGGCCTGGCTTGGCACAGAGGTACCGGCGAGTGTGCAGGAGCCGGCCCTGGCAACCGTGGCGCAGAGGCGCGCCGGCCACCCCTGGGGCCCGTTGCCAGGCCGCAGGGCTCCCTGTGCGGGGAGCAGGCCCTGGGGGCGCCCTGAGCCCAGCGCCAGCCGGGAACGCGGAGAAGGCTGCGCTATCCGGCTCCTTCCCCCAAGCCCGGCGAGGGCACCCAGGCTCTCGGCTCTGAGCTGGCGAACAGAACAGAGAGGGCGTCTCCGGTCCGCTGACCCCCACCTCGCGTGGGAGCGGGGACAGGGGGGCTCTGCGGGTCTTGCCGCGCCCAGTTAAGAGGCGGCAGGGGGCGGCGGCGGTGCGGATCCGCTCTGGGCGGTCGCTGGGGGGAGTCCCGGCACCCCGGGAGAGCAGCCTCCGCGAAGGAGGCCCTGGCTGCGCGGCAAAGGGCGGGAGCGATCGCGGGGCCACCCAGGCGGGCCGTTCCCCGCGGGGCGCGGGGCGCGGGGCGGGGGGCGCTCACCCTGCGTTTGCACAGGTGCTGCACGACGCGCTCCGGGGAGGCGCCCAGCACGTGCTGGCGGGAGCGCAGCAGCGCGCACACGAAGCCGTCGCGCAGGCTGACGAAGCGCGCCTCCAGGTAGAAGGCGCGGGCGTCCCAGCCCAGCAGGCGGGTGCGCACCTCGAAGGGCTCGAAGAGGCGCAGCGAGCGGCGGTAGCGCGCGCACGAGGCGGCCAGCACGGCGTGCGCCCCCAGCGCGCGCAGCGCCCCCAGCACCCCGCAGCGGGCCAGGTGCGCGGCGCGCGCCACGTCGGCCTCGCGCAGGTAGCGCGCGTTGTTCATGTGCAGCAGCAGGTCCAGGTCCGAGGGCAGCACGCGGCCCGCGTGGCGCTGCTCGGCCAGCAGGTCGCGGACGCGCGGCTGCAGCAGGCGCGCGCGCAGCACGGCGCAGGGCACGCGCGCCAGGTACCAGCCGTCCAGCCCCGCGAAGTAGGCGAGCGCCAGCGCCAGCAGCGCCGCGAGCAGCCCCAGCATGGCGGCGCCGGAGCGCGGGCCGCTGCGCTGTGCCGGCCGGTCCCGCGGCGCCTGTGCCCGCGCCTGCCCGCGGCCGGGGGGCCGGAGCGCCGGGAGCGCCGCGCGGCCGGAGCGAACCACCCGGCGCGGCCGGCGAGGGGGGACGGCGGAGGCCGCGCCCCCCGCGCCCGGTGGTGCGCCCCGCCCCGCGCGCCCCGCCCCGCGCGCTCTCGCTCCCCGCGCGCCGCAGCGGCCTCTGGCGGGCGCCCCCCCGCGAGCGCCCCGCGGCCGCGGACCCCGCGCCCTGCCCGAGGCCGCGGCGGGGAGGGGGCGGCAGCCCGGCCCGAGGGCGCGCGGGGGGCGGCCCTCCCCGGCCGGAGGCGGGCGCGGGCGGGGGGGCGCCCCGGACGCCCCGGCCCGGCCTGCGCGCGCCTCCCGCCGCCCCGCCCCGCCCCGGAGGGGAGCGCAGCGGCCGCGTGACTCAGCAGCGCGCGCCGCCCTTGGGGCGCCGGCCGGGCCCGCCCCGCCCTCCGCGGGGAGCCTCTGGGGCGCGCGGAGACCGGCCGCCCGCGGGGGGGGTTTGGGGGGGCTGCGGCGCGGGGCTCGGGGCGCGGGCAACGGCCAGCCCGCACCGGCCGGCCCCAGGGGCGGGGGTCTCGCCCCCTCAAAGGAGGGGCTCCCGCACCCGCGTGCACAGCCCCTGGTGCCGTCAGGCCAGAGGCCGAGCCCTTTGCCTGCGGGCCGCGTGGCGCTGCCGGCGCTTGGGCGCCCCCGGGCCGGGCGCTCATGCCCACCGGGGCGGCCGCGCTGCCCTAGGAGGCCCTGGGCCCGAGGGCCCCGCGCGCGCTGCCCTCTGCCCGCGCTGGTGCCTGCCCGGGCCGGGGCCGCGTCCTCTGTCCCCTGGGCGGGGCCGGCGCCCAGGAGGAGGCGCCCGCGCGTCCGCCGGGCACCCCGCGGCCCAGTCCCCCAGGAGGGACAGAGGCGCTCGCAGCTCCGCCTGTGCCCTGGCGCGGTCCCCGCTTCCCTGAGCCCCGACGGAAGGAGACCCCAGAGCCCGGGCTCAGGGAGGCTACACAAGCAGAAGTGAGGTCTCCCGCCGGACCCAGGGCCGGAGCCAGGGCTGATGCCACATCCCAGGGCCGATGCCCTCCCGGGCCCCAGTGCCGCAGGGCCCAGCGCCTTGGCAGCCCGCCCTTCCGCAGGCCTTGGCCCGCACAGCGGCAGCCGGCGTCCCGGTGGGAGGCTGGGGCTCCGCCGGCTCAGGTCACAGGCTCCTGGGTGCCAGGCCTGGAAGCCCCTCCTCAGCCCGGACTGGGAGCATCTGAGCCCACTGAACGGCGAGAAACTTTGGGGGGTACTCCTGGCACCCCTGGCTCCTCAGGGGTCAGAACCAGGGCCAGGGTCCGCAGCCTAGGTCCTAGTGGTGGGGTCCAGGCTTCAAGGTGCCGCCCAGCAGAACGGAGGCCCTAATGCAAGCCCAGAACCTGAGCGCCCAGGCCCGCCCGCAGCCAGCCCCGGCCTCGAGGGCTCCGTCCAGGCCCCGTCCCGAGCGCCGGGTGGGGAGGACTCACAGATCCTGTGGCCGCTTCTTTGCAGGCACTTAGGCACCCAAGGGTCTTGGTTCCAGGGTCCCCACGCAGCCGCCTGCACCCCTCGCCCGTGAAGGAGTAGCCTGCGGGGGTGCAGAGTGGGGGTCTCCAGGGTCCTGCTTGTCCGCAGTGTGAGCTGGGGACGGTCCATTGCGAATCTGAGCCGGGGGCCATGAAAAGGGGTGGCCGCTCTAGCAGATGGTGGCTTGCCTTGGCCCAGGGACCCAGCCCTCCCGGCCTCAGTTTCCCCGGGTGCACTCTCCTGGCCGGGCTTCTCCTGGGTGCCGTGAGCCCAAGCCAGGGTGGGAGTGGAGTGTCCTCACGAGACCCCCAGTGCGCTGCGGGGGGAGGCGAGTGCCTGTAGCGGTGCTGGGCCAGCCTGGGCAGAGAAGGGCCACTCGAGGGGCACCCGCGCCCCCCATAGCCCGTGTGGTGTGGGTGGGCGGGGCCCAGCTCTGAGCCTTCCAGGATGGGCAAGGGAGGCCAGAAGGGGCCCTTGGCACAGCCCCCAGGAGCCTGCTTCCCCCAAGACCCCTGAGCCCTCCTCTCTGGCTCGACTCCTTGCTGCAGCTGGGAGCTCTGTGGCTTGCTTAGGGGGCGTAGCCAAGATGCCCCAAAGAGGTAAGCAGACTCCCTCCCTGGGGGCAGGACGGGGGCAGGGGAGCGCAGCCCGAGCAGCGGGCTAAGAGGGAGCAGTGCCCAAGGAGGGCAGAGGAAGAGAAAGCCCCTTTCCAGCAACCCCTGCCGTCTCCGCCTCCAGAGGGTCTGACCGTGCACCCTGGGGCCACTGCCCTGCGCCCAGCCCGCCAGCACCAGCAGTGACCTCCCGGCCCAGCGCGGCGCGGGGGCTCCGCCAGGCACCAGCCCCCGGGCCCGCTCCCTGCGTCGATGCCCTCCCAGGCCTCCCTGACCACGCTGCCTCTGAGCTGCGGCTTAGGGGGACCGCGGGGGTCCGGAGGGGCGGGGAGACCACATCTCCAGTGGGGGGACGAGGCTTCTGGAATGCCTGGAACAGAGTGGGTGCCCCCTTGTGCCCGAGCGCCCTGAAGGGGGGGGCGTTGCCGGGCCACCGAAGCAGAAGGTGTGACGCCGCGTTCGATCGAAGAGACCAAGAACTTCGCTGCGGGCAAGCGGAAGGGAAGGGGAGCTGGTGCTGCCACAGCCCCCCCGCCCGGGGAGGGTCTGGGCGCTGGGGGCAGAGGCCTCCTGTGCCGCCCCGCCCCGCGCGGGCTTTGATGGGGGAGCCTGCCGGGCCCAGGTGTGGGGCCGCGCCTCTGCTCTCACGCCCTGAGGAAGGGCCCCCTGGCCGGGTGGGCTCCCCGCTGCCCTGCCCCTCGCCGCGGGCACACCCTGTGTCGTGTCCCCTCGGGCAGGCAGCGCCTCGCCGGGATGGTCCGCGTGGGTCTGCGAGCCCGGGCCGGCCGCCCCGAGACAGGCGCTGCGGAGCCGTCCCCAGGCCACGGTCCTCGCCGGCCCCTGCTGGGGGCCCAGCCCTCGAGGGCCCTGGGCCCCAGAGCGTGTGCCTGGGGGAGGCAGAGCCCGGGGCTCCCCTGCAGCCGGGCGGCCCGGGCTGGCTCTGCGAGGCGAGGGGTGGAAGGGGCAGCCGCTTGCCGTTGCCAGGTCCCCGCGTTGCCGCCTGGGGCCGCGTCGAGGCTGGGGTCCCGGGCCTCGACTGTCTCATCTGTCAGCAGGATCTCGCCCCCACTGCTGTGCTCCCCACGGCTTCCGGGAGCCGGGGCCCCTGTGTGCGGGGTGCGGCCGGCACAGCTACCCAGGAAGCAGCTCTGAGGTGGCGGTGCCCGCGGTGTGGGAGACCGGCCTGTCCCCGGCCCTTCTGCAGCGTTTGAATTTTTCCTGGGGATGTGGGACCTGCAGTGGCCAATATGCAAACAGGGGTCGTCAGGCCACAGGCAGGGGGTGAGGGGGCGGGGCACGCTGCGGGGCTCCCCTCCCCACCGCATCTGGAGCTCAGAGGCTTGGGGCTGCGGCCCCCCCGCGCTGTCCTCCCGCAGACGCAGCCAGGGACCCACGCGGCCGCCCAGACCCCGCCCCGCCCTCCAGTGGGCCAGAGGGTCTCTGCGACTGGGCCGAGCACCTACTTGTGTGTTGGGGTTGCTGCCCCGGGGCCCCGGCATGGGGGGCCGCCCCCATGGCGCTTCGCCTGCAGCCTTTGCAGGCACCCTGCTGGGCCCAGGCCGTCTGAAGGAGAGGGCGGCAGGGGAGCTCCTGCCTCACCCAGGGGTGCTGGGGGGTGCTTGGGGGATCCTAGGGGGCGGTGGGGGTGGGCATGGGGGTGCTGGTGCGGGCATTAGGGAGTGCTGGGGTACTGTGGGGGGCATGAAAGGTGCTGGGGGAATTGGGAGGTGCTGGGGCATTAGAAGGTGCTTGAGGGGCTCTGGTTGGGGCTGCTGGTGGGGCGCTGGGGGCACTGTGGGGGGGCTGGTCTGTGCAGAGTCCCACTTGACCCCACTGGGCAGGAGTGCAGCTGTGGGGGCTTCTTAGTTGAGCCGGTGGGTTGTGCCAGCGGGTCCTGAGGGGCGGGTGCCTCGCGCCGGCTGCCTGGCCAGTGGCTCATCTCGGTGGACAGAGTCATGGAGAGGCGCCTGCCGGGCGTCCAGCTGCCGCTTTCAGAGGCTTTTTAGGCTGTTGGTGTGTCGGGTTGTTGAGCGAAGGCTCGGGGGGTCCGCCTGGGCGTCGCTGGGGTCTGCGCACGTGGCCGTGGCCGGCCTGGCGCTGTCTCATGTTCCTCCCCAAAGGGCTGTGCTCGGATAGTGACACAAGTTACTGCATTTTAAATATTTCATGACTTATTAAATAGTAGAAAAACTTAAATAAATATTTGAACAATAAAACGCTCTCAGCAGCCGCCTGCCAGCGCCACGCAGGTTCGGGGAGGTGCTCGCGTGTCCACGAGGCGGCAGCAGAGGGCCGGGCTCGCGTGAGCCACCCTCCCGCGGGGGAGGGCCCGGACGGCCCGCAGGGTGGTGAGCTCTGTGCCCCTGCCTCCTGCTCTGCCCACTGCACAAAACAGGCCCACACAGGGGCAATGGCCAGAGCAGAGGCCGGGAGGGTCAGCGAGGCCTGGGCGGGGCGGGGCGGTGGCCAGGGCGAGAGGGGGCCGAGAGTGCGGGTGTCGGGGCGCAGCAGGCAGGGCTCCTGATGGCGGGTGTGGGTACGGGGACAGGGCAGGGCCGGCTGAGGTGGGGACTGAGCGAGGGAGGGAGGAGGCTGTGGCTCCCCAGGGGGGCTGTGCGGGGAGGCCCCCATGGGAGGGCTGCTGCTCAGGTTTAAAGACCTGTCGGGGAGGGGCCCCCCTGGTGGCGCAAGGGGTTGAGCACCGCACTATGAAGCTACCCGCAGCCTCTGCAGCACGAGTTCGATCCCCATCGGCCAGGGAGCAACCACAGGGCGCGCAGACCTCCCCTGTCTCCCGCTGCTCCCCCCAGCAGTGTGTCAGGGGATCCGCCTGCTCTGCTCCCCGCTCTGTCTCTGGGGAGTCCTCTCACCCCCTGCACCTCTGGCCTGTCCCCCAGCTCTGGTATAAATCAATAAATAAATCTTAAAAAAAAAAGACCGGTGGGGGGCTGCAGGGGGTTTGGGTGCGGCCTGGACGCCCCGGGGGCAGGATGACTGGGGCCGTGAGCTTGGGAATCGCCGGCCGTCGGTGGCCGAAGGGGTCACCCAGGAGTGGGGTGATGGTGAGGCTGGCGTGCCGGGCACCAGCAGGGCTGGCAGGGGAGGGAGTCGCGCGGCAGAGGCCACGGACTTGGGGGCTTCACGCCGCGCCTCGCCTCGGAGGGCGGCCGCCGTCGGGCTGGGGCTGGGGCTGGGCCCCCGAGCGTCCCGGGCTGGGGAGAGACCCTCCTGCGCGGCGCGCCGGCCCGAGCCTCTCCCCGCGCCGCCATCCTCACGCGGCCTCTCCGCCTCCCGCCCTCCTGCCTCCTCTCCCCGGACGCGGGGGTGCGGCCCCCCGGCCCGGGACCACGCCTGCGTCCCAGGGACCCCGACTTCACGGCATCTGAATGTGCGGGGCGGGACATGGACCCCGGGGCCCGGCGGCGCGGCCGCCTCCGGGCCCCAAAGACTCACATTTGCCCCGCGTGCGAAACACAGCGGGGCGTCCCCGGCCCCCCAGGACCCCGCCCCGCCCCGTCCACCGGGGCCGGCCGCCAGCCCCGCGTCAGCTCTCAAGGTCGCGCCGGGGAGACGGGCTCGGCCGCCGCAGCCGTGAGGAGGCGAGACTCGGGGGGCTCCGCGGCCGCGCCGCCGGGGGAGGGCCGGAGCTCAACCCCGCCTCGGGCCCCCCGAGGGCGCCGTCCGGGCGCGGGGCACGCCCGCCCCGCCCCGCCCCGCCCCGCCCCGCCCCTCCCTGGCGCGGCTCGGCCCCGCCCCCTCGGCCGAGGACCCGCCCCCGCCCCGCCCCGCCCCGCTCGGGCGCGCAGGCACCACCGAGAGGCCGAGTCCGCCAGCGACCTAGAGCGTCCGGAAGTGGCTGGGGCCGGCGAGGGACGGGGCGCTTCCGGCCGGAGGCGGCGCGGGCCCGCAGGTGAGTGGGGCCGGGCCCTGGGTCCGCCCTCGGGGCCCCGGCCGCCCCGGCGGGCGCCGCGCGGGCCTGCGGGCTCCCCGCCCGGCGTGGCCCTCGGCGTCGGCCCTCGCGCCGCCCCCGCCCGGCCCCGGCCTCAGCGTCCGTCCCTGACGCCCCGCCGCGGCCGCAGCCCCGCGGGGTCCCCGCAGGGCCGGGCCCGAGACGGCGCGGCGCCCCCCCCGCGCCCCCCGCGCCCCCCCGCGCCCCCCCGGCGCCCCCCGCGCCCAACCGGTGCCCCCCCGCGCCCCCCGCGCCCACCCGGCGCCCCCCGCGCCCAACCGGTGCCCCCCCGCGCCCCCCGCGCCCCCCCGGCGCCCCCCCCCGGCGCCCCCCTCGCCCCCCCCCCGGCGCCCCCGAGCGGCGCGGCCGCAGCCCCGCGTCCTCCCCCGCCCCGGGAGCGGCATCCGAGTTTCGTGCCCAGAGACGGCCCGTCTCGCCGCGGACGCCCCTGCCCGCGGCCCGTCCGGGAGCGGCGGTCTCTGCCCGCCCGCCCGGCGAGCCCCTGAGGGCGGGTCCCGCCCCCTCCGGGCGTTCCGGCCGCTGGCAGCGCCCCCGCGGCACCCCGCGAGCCGGCCCGCGCAAGGGGCAGCCGCCCCCCGGGGCCGCCCGCCGGCGTCCTGCCCTCGCAAGCGCCCAGGCCGCGGGGCAGCCGGAGCTGGCTTTGGGGGTCACTGCCCCTTTGTAAGCCCGACGCCGCCTCCTTGTGGGCCGCATTCCCTGGTTCTGCGGGGCGGGCTGCGGGGCCCAGACGGGAGGCGCGGCCGCTGGGAGGAAGCCCTGCTGCAGTCCTCGGTGGGGCCTGGTGGGGCCTGGTGGGGGCCCGGCCCGCAGCTCCTGCACCAGACACCCACTGCCCTGCCCCCCGGCCCAGGGACTTGGGGATGCGCATCGCCACTCCCGCTGGGCAGAGGTGGTTCTCAGTGCTGGCTGCGGCATCAGTCTGTGACTAGCCGGTTAGCCAGCACTGGGGGCTCCCGCCCCGCCTGGCCCATCTCCCTGCCTGCTGCTGCACGGTGCTCGGGCGCTGAGCTGCTGTGGGAGAAGCCGGTCCCTTGTGGGGCTGAGTTGTCCAGCGGGCTGAGGCCTTGAAGACAAGTTCAAGGGCTCTGCTCCAGGTGGAATTGGAGGCGCCTCATTCTGGGGGATTTCGGGGATCCCTGCACCCCGCAGCATCTCCGGTCCCTCCTTGGCTGTTCTTGAAGGGCTCGCGGGTTTGTGTATCTGCAAGGTGGCCAGGTCAGGCAGCCGAGCGAGCGAGCGAGTGGTGACAGGAGAGGGAGGGGTCTGGGAAGGGCCTGCCAGAGCCACCTCTAATGCCGAGCGCAGCTTCTGACCCCCTGCCAGCCGGGAGATGCTGGGCAGTGCCGGTGGCCCGTGGACACCCTCTGCCCACCTCCTCGTGGCTGCCCGCATGCACGGCCATCTCAGACGCGCTCACCGTGGCCCGGCACGCGCTCCTAACACCTCTCTCATGCTTTCCAGCTCCCGCTGCCTCGTGTGGGAGGCCCACGGCTCAGTCAGGACAGCCCAGTCACCCAAAGCCTCTGCTCCCTACCTGCATTTGAGGGGAGAGGCGGCCACCGCCCCGCAGAGAGGCTGGAGACAGGTGGCGCGGAGGGTCCTGCCTGGTGTGTTGCCGCCGCCGCCCTGCTCCCCCCCAGGACCTGCAGCCAGGTGAGGCCCGTGACGGCTGCACCGGAGGTTGCTTGCCTAGTGGGGGAATGAAGGAAGGACAGAGGTCGCTCCTGTAGCCCGGGCTTGGCAGAACGGGGTGGGCGCGTGGCAAAGGAAGCCGGAGCCCGCCCAGGACGCCCGCCGGGACCGCCTGCCCATGGCCTCTGAGCCGGCTGCGGGGCGGGGCCCCGGGGGGAAGCGCAAGCGGGTGGTGCTGACTCTGCGCGAGAAGATCGACATCTGCGCGCGGCTGGAGCGGGGCGAGAGCCGCAGGGCACTGATGCAGGAGTACAACGTGGGCATGTCCACGCTCTACGACATCCGCGCGCACAAGGCCCGGCTGCTGGGCTTCTTCGCGGGCCCTGAGGGCGGCGCGGCGCTGGAGCGGCGGCGCACGCTGCACACGCCCAAGCTGGGGCGCCTGGACCGCGCCCTGTACCAGTGGTTCCTGGCCCAGCGCGCCGCGGGCGTGCCCGTGTCGGGCCCCATGCTCATCGAGAAGGCCAAGGGCTTCTACGAGCAGATGCAGCTCACCGAGCCCTGCGTCTTCTCGGGCGGCTGGCTCTGGCGCTTCAAGGCCAGGCACGGCATCAAGAAGCTGGACGCGGCCGGCGAGAGGCAGGCGGCTGACCACCAGGCGGCTGAGCGGTTCTGCGGCTTCTTCCGGAGCCTGGCCGCCGAGCACGGCCTGTGCCCCGAGCAGGTGTACAACGCGGACGAGACCGGCCTCTTCTGGCGCTGCCTGCCCAGCCCCGGGCCGGACGGGGCCGCTGGGGCCGGCCTCAGGCAGAGCAGGGACAGGCTGACCGTGCTGATGTGCGCCAACGCCACAGGCTCGCACAAGATCAAGCCCCTGGTGGTGGGCAAGGGCGGCGGCCCCAGGGCCTTCAAAGGCATCCAGCACCTGCCCGTCGCCTACAAGGCCCAGGGCAACGCGTGGGTGGACGCGGAGATCTTCTCGGACTGGTTCCACCACATCTTCGTCCCCTCGGTGAGGGAGCACTTCCGAGCGCGGGGCCTCCCCGAGGACAGCAAGGCCATTCTGCTGCTGGACAGCTCCCGCGCCCACCCCCAGGAGGCCGAGCTGGCGTCGGAGAACATCTTTACCATCTTCCTGCCGGCCGGCGCCGCCTCGCTCATCCAGCCCATGGACCAGGGCATCCGCAGGGCCTTCATGAGGAGCTTCGTCAACCCGCCCGTGGCGCTGCAGGGCTTCCACCCCCGCTACAGCATCAGCGACGCCGTCCTCAACGTGGCCTGTGCCTGGGAGGCGGTGGCCGGCCAGGTCTTCAGCCGGGCCTGGAGGAAGCTGTGGCCGGCGGTCACGCTGGCAGAAGGCTCGTCCTCCGAGGAGGAGGCTGAGCACGGCAGGACGAAGCCCCCCAGCCAGACTTTCGCCCACGTCATCGAGCTGGTGAAGGAGGCCCCAGCCGGGCCCGGCGGCAGGCCTCACAGGGGGGCCGCTGCCGAGCGGACGGGGCCGGGGGGGGAGGGCCGCCCCGTGGCCCCCGAGTCGGCGCAGGCCGCGGGGCGGACAGACCCGGTCAGGAGGCTGGGTGGCACGGGCCCTGGGGGCAGCGACGAGGCGGCCTGGGCGGAGGCGGCCGAGTCCTTCGACACAGTGGTCCGCTTCGCCGAGCGGCAGCCCTGCTTCACGGCGCAGGAGGCGGGGCAGCTGCGGGCGCTGCGGGCCGTGTTCGCCAGACAGCGGCAGCTGGCGTGGGGGCGCGTGGCGCTCAGGGCCGTGGTCAAACTCGAGGCCCCCCAGGAGCGCTCCCCGCTGCCCTGCTCGTCCTCCGACAACTGATGCCCCTGCCTCGGGACGGCGCTTCCGGTCCCCGTCGGCGGGCCTCACGCTGTCGCCTGCGCTGCCTCCGCAACGAGGGCAGGCCTGGGAGGCCGCGGAGCCCGGTGTGCAAAGCCTCCCGGCGCGGGCCGCGGGGCCGCTGCCTGAGCCTGAGGGGGAGGCGGTCCGTCTCCGGGGAGCCGCCCAGACTGACCGGGCTGTCGGGTTCCCGACCTGCTGGCCTGCCCAGCAGCCCTGTGCGCACCCGCCCGCCGTCCTCAGCCGCACGGAGCCCGCCTGCACGTCCCCATGTGGTGAGAGCCGGGAGGTGTCCTTGCTCTGGAGCCCCCACCCCGTGGTGGGCGCCCCTAAGCCACTGCGGGCTCAGCCTGGTCCCCCCACGTGCCGCAGATCTCAGCGAGGCTCCAGCTGGTGCTGGCCTCCGAAGCGAGTCTTCATCGGGGTGGAGCGCGAGCGGCTGGCACGGGCCTTGCCTCACCTGCCCACCCCAGCCGCTCGCTGCTCTGCCCCGCCCGTGCAAGGGTCACCTGCGCTGCTGCCCGTCCTGCACCCCTGTGGTGTGTCCGTGGAGGTGGTGGAGCCAGCAGGCGCCCCACGCTCGGGCCCGCTCCTGGGCAGGGTGTCTGCGCTGCCCCTGCGTCCTGGCGCCGTGGACTGGAGCCAGGGAGCTGCAGCTGCTGGAGGGGCCGGGCCCTCGCCCCAGCTGGGCTTGAGCAGCAGGACTTTGGGGGGCAGCAGAGGGACAGGTCCCCTGGTGGCTCTGGACGGTTTGCCCTGTCAGACGGGACCCCAGGCCGGCCTCTTCTCGGCAGTGACTGGCTCCTGCCCTGGCGTGTCTGTGTGGCTGGTCAGTAACGTGTGGCCAATGAGCATTCTTCAGGGGCGCCGCGGGGGACCCCCCACCCCCGCCGTGGCTACACCTGGACACGCAGGGTGGGCGGCAGCTGCTTGGGGCTGGGGGTCTTTCAGTGGCTTCTGCCCGGGCCCCGTCGGCCTGCCTCTTCCCAGCGCTGGTGTCTGCGCTTCCCACGGCGGGCCTGGGCCCGATGGGGCTCTAGCGTGGACCACCCGTGCCGCAAGTGTTTCATGTTGGGGGGCTGCAGGGAAGGGGTGGGGGCAGCAGGCCAGGCCCTGTCCTGGTGCCCCCCAGCCTCAGTGTAGGAAGCTGAGCAAGGGAGGCTGCTTGGGGACAGGCCTGCCTGAGGAACGCAGTCTGGGAGGCTGCGGCCGCCCTGTCCCTGGGGCTTCTGGGGCTGTTCCTCAGTCTGCAGGGCCCTCCCGCCTCCGGCAGGCCAGCATGCCCGTTGGGACGGTGTCCCCTGGGGGTCCTTGAGCAGGGCTGCCCTGCGCCGTGGGGAGGTGGGGTGTCAGTCACGCTGGTCGGCCCCTCCCTCCGGCCTGTCCTAGAGGCCCTTCCTCTAGGGGCAGGTGGGGTCCTGGGCCCAGACTGGGCCCTGGGGGCCATGCAGACATGGCGTCCCTGCAGGGCTGTGGATGGGCCCCGCCTCCGGGCGCGCTTCCCTGAAGGGCTGTTTTCCCTGCCGGGCCTCAGATGAGCCGTAAGTCTCCTTGTGGTTCCGAAGGAGAGGCCATGGGCTCGCGCTGAGTCTCCTTTAACCCGAGACATTATTTAAAACAGCAGCTCGCGGCGGGGCAGGCCGGGCTGTGCAGCTCTCGGGCCCGGCCTCCGGGGGCCACCCCCCCCTGCCCGCGCACGCCTGTCCTCTCCGCGCTCGTGCCTGCGCAGCCCCAGCCCAGCCGCCTGTGTCCTGAAAGAGGCCGGGGCGGCTGCTCGTGCCGCAACCGGCCGGCTGGCAGCCCTCGCGGGGTGCAGCCCCCAGGCCCAGGCCGCCGTCTGTGCGCCTGGCCCCCTCCTTCGGGTGACAGAAGAGCAGAAACAGCGCTTCAGTGGAGCAAAGACCAATTCTTAAACCCCCCTTTGTCCAGCCCACCAGGCGCGGTCCTGCCTCAGGGGCCTCGGCTCCATGGGTGGCAGCGGCTCCTGTGCGAGGGGGCAGCCCAGGGCCCTGCTGGTCCATGCCGCGCCTCCCGGGCGTGGTGGCAGCGAGGCCTGGGGTCGTGCCGGGGGCCGCGGCGCTGCCGAGTGAGGATGACGTTCCGGAAGCCGACAGCCAAGTGCACGCTGCCGCTGGCCGGGCCTCCGCCGGGCTAAGTGGTCAGTGTTCTGTTGCAAGGTTGACACAATAAAAACATAGTTGAAAAGACAAGCCCAAGGTGTTGGTGAGGATGTGGGGCGCCCCGCAGAGCTGGGGCCACCGAGAGTCCGTCAGCAGGGAGCCCCGGGGGTCGGAGGGAGTGGGCTCACCTGGGGGGCCAGGAATCAGCACGGGGGCACCCCACACCCCCAGCCCCTGCTGAGCTCAGCCACTGGCCAGTCAGGGAGACACAGGGCACTGCGGGTGGGCGAGGCCGGCTCTGACCGGTGCCCAGCAGCAGGCGTCCGTTGCCAGGTCCATGGGGCGCATCTGGGCCTGGAAATCTGGGCTAAGCCAGCAGATCCCTGGGGTGCTGGGATGGGGGGCTCCTGGGCCCAGCTAGCGGGGCAGGCCCCATGTGCAGGCCCAGGCCCTAGGGAGTGACTGATCGCCCCCCACGTCCCCCCTTGGTCCCTCTTACCACGTCGGTCCTGCCGTGTGTGGGCCCTGGGGCTGCCTGTGGCGCAGCCTCCGGTGAGGACAGGCGCAGATGGAGGCTTGAGCCTTCACTGAGCCAGGCCGGGGGGCTCCGTGGAAGACCAGTGAGGGCGAGGACGCTCTGGACATGGCCCCTGGCAGCTGGCCGGGGAGGTGGCCTCATCCTGGCTCTTCTCAGGCTCCTGCCACGGTCCTGAGGCTCTGCCTGGAGTGGCTGTGCGGCCTGCGGCTGAGAGCAGCCAGGGGCAGCGGCCTGCACGGCACAGAGACCTGCCCTCAGTGCCTGTCCTGCCCCGGAGCCCTGTCTGCGCTGGGGCGCGAGTCCTGCGGGGCTGGCCCAGCACACGGCCACCCTCCATCTAGCTCCCGCACGCACACGCACCATCTGCACCCCTGCCTGATCCCCCACCAGCCCCTGATCCCACTGAAGAACCCGCCGCCTGGCCCCTGCCCCTCACCCTGTGTGGTTTTGTGCCCTCCTTGCTGGGCCACACCTCCCTACTCCTGGGGACGCTGGGCTGTGCCTTTCCCATACTTAGAGTTGACCCCGTGCTCCTGATCAGTTGTCCCCGACTCCCAAGCCCTGTGCAGGCCTCCCCGCTTCAGAGAGGAGGGGCAGAGGCTGCGCCCAAGGCACAGGGGAGGAGGGGCCAGGGCGGCAGCTGGGCCGGTGCTGGGGCCCCGGGGAGGGGGGCAGCCCTGCGCTGGGCGGGCGCCTGCTGAGTCCGGCATGGCCCAGGCAGGCAGAGCCTGGAAACGGGCGTCCCCGAGGCCAGTTCAGATGGGGGTTTCTCTGGCTGAGCTCTGGTCGAAGCTTCTAGAACTTTCATTTGCTGCCTGCTCCTGTGGACACAGGCTGTGCTGGGCCCCGGCACCTCCACCCTGTCACATCCTGTGAGAAGGCCGTCCCACCGGGATCCGGGCTCTGTGTCTGCGCCCATGGGCGCCCACGGGCGCAAGCCCGAGTCACCAGGGCCCCACCAGGCCCGAGCCGCCGATCTCGGGGAGGGCGAGGAGGCTTTGGGGCTCAGCCGGTGGGGGTCCTTTGGTGATGAAGCCGCCCGCCCTGGGCATCCTGGCCCTTACCTTCCAGCTGCCTGGGAGGCCCGCTCGGCCCCGTCCGGAGTCGGGGTTCAGGACCAGCTGTGACTGGCCCAAGCCGGTGCTGGGGCTCCTTGTGGGCCCTGCCGCCCCATCCCTCCTCTTCGGGGGCTTGTGATCCACCGGTCTTGTCCTCCACCGCCATCCCCGACACCAAGCCCTCCAAGGTGGACGAGCACCTGCTGTGCCCCTGAGCCGGGCAGGGGGCGGGGGGCGGGGGGCGCTACAGACACATCACCAGCTGCTCCCTGTGCCTGGAAGGCTGGGGGCTTCCTGGAGTCCCCTCCACCCCCGGGCACAGAGGGGCTCTTGTCTGGGCACGGGGTTGACGGCGGGACCCATGGCCTGTGCTGGATCTGAGAGCCACCGGAGGAGGGTGGTTTCAGTCCTTTGGCGAAAGCGGAAGGCGCTCCGGCCTCCTGAGGGTGCTGGCTGCGCCGGGCTTGGCCTGTGGCCCCGGGGACTGGGCGCGCAGGGTCCGTGAACGCGCCAGGGCACAGGGCAGATGGGGTCCGGCCCCGCCTCTGCGGCGCGGCAGAGCCCGGGACACACACCTGGGCCGAGGGGTGCCTGACGCGCGGGTGCGTCAGGGTGGGCGGGAGCGTGACGCGCGGCCCCAGACAAAGGCGGCTCGGAGGGAGGCTGGGCTCCCGGAGGTGAGTCAGCGGTGCCGTGACTCAGCCTGTCAGGCCTGAAGCCGCGAGGAGCCGCCCCGGAGGGGAGGAGGGGCCAGGGCGGCAGGCGGGCGGTGCTGGGGCCCCGGGGAGGGGGCAGCCCTGCGCTGGGCCGGTGCCCGCGGAGTCCGGCATGGCCCAGGCAGGCAGAGCCTGGAAAGGGGGGCAAGGCGGTGGGTGTGGCCAGGAGCCCAGGTTTGGGGATCCGCCTGCAATGGGCGATGTGGCCGACCACCCCCTGCACCCTCTGGCCACCCACGGCTGCCCAGCTGAGCTCCTGAAGGAGGAGCCGGGGAGGCGGGGCCTGTGTCTGCCAGGGCGGCCGGGGGCGGACCCCGGGTCACACAGCTCCAGGCGGTCCCAGGCAAGGGCGCGCGGGGAGCCCCTCAGCTCTGCAGAGGACCCGCGCCCGCCTGCGCCGTGGAGCCGGGACAGACCCGCTCTATCCAGCCCTGGCGGGTGGGAGACCGAGTCCAGGGGCCCAGCGGCCTGGCCTCCCTCCCGCGCTTTCCTGTGCCACCTCAAGGCCTGAGGTGCGGGCCCGGGGTGGGGGCACGAGTGGGGTCTCACCCAGCCAGAGGCCAGGCCGTGGCGGTCACCCTTCGGCAGCCCGCTCCAAGGACGGCCTCCCAGCCTGGAGGTGGCACTAGTGCGGCTGGGGCGGGGCTGCGGGCTCGGAGGGCGGCCCCCCGCCCCCCCCCGCCGCCGCCCCCAGCCCCCGCACACTGGGACCCTGCTGGACTGGCCGGAGTGCAGGCCGGCGTCAGGGCCAGCTGTGTGGCTGGACAGAGGCCCCGGGCCAGTTGTCCCAGCCGAGGCAGGGAGGACCCCGCCTCTCCCCCGAACCCCGAACCCCTCCCGCCAGGACACTGCCCCCTGCAGTCTTCCCGCGGCCCCCTGGCTGCCCTCGCCCCACCCGGGACACCTCAGCCCCCTGCCCCCGGCGCCGGCCCCATGGGGTGTGGGGCTCAGAGTGCTCTGCTGACTCCACTGCTTGGCGGGGTGGAGACGGGCGGGCAGGGCCGCGGGGGTTGGAGGGCCGCGGCGCCAGGCTGCTTCCCGGGCACCGCTGCCCCGGCCCGCGGTCCTGCTCGCAGCTCGCCCCGCCAGCGTCCTGTCTCGTGAGCAGGGCGAGCGGGGCCAGCGGCCCTGGCGCCCGTCCCCCGGCGAGCGGAGCTGCTGCTGAGCCCCTCCCGTGACTCGGGCACCCCCGCCGCCACACGCCCACCACGGCTGCGCTGAGGGGTTCCAGTCCTCAGGGCGACAGCAGCCCTGGGGGTGGGAGCTGACCACACGCGACTCGGAGGGAGGGCAGGGGTGTGAGGCAGGTTGCCGAGTTCAGATCCAGCTGGTCCTGGTGGCTCGGGGAGCACCCAGGGGTGCACCTTCCCCCTGGGAGGAGCCGCCGTGGGTCCCGCAGTGAGCAGGGCTGGACCCCTCCCTGCCAGGCCCCACCCGAGGGGCCACAGGGCCCAGCGACCCCTCCCTGCTGCCACCCCTCCCAGTGACCTCTGGGGTCAGTGGCCTCATGCTCTGGGGTCAGAGGTTGGCCAGTGATGTGATGGAGCAGGGGGTGGGGCGGGGCCTGGGAAGGTCCAGGGCAGGGTGCACCCAGAGAAACAGCTGGGGCTCCCATAGGTGCAGGGCACCCCTGGTGTCCAGCCTCCCTGCGGGCCTCGTGCTAATGGACCAGCGCTCTCAGGGCTGTGCACAGACCCTGGCCGAGCACCGTGCTGCGGACGCCGGGAGGCCGAGAATCTTCCCGGAGCGGACACGCGGGCAGAAGGGCCCAGAGAACACCCCTGGGGTCAGTGGGAGCAGGGCGGGGGGGGGGGCGCTGGAGCGGGAGGGGCAGTGACCGGAGGGGAGGGGCAGCACCCAGCACTGCCCCCAGGCCGGCCTCTGGGTTCTCCATACCGCGTGGCGCAGCCCGGGGCGGCCTCCAGCGGGGCGAGCCCACCCGCCCATGACCAGGCACGCCCCCTCCGCTGGGCAGGTTCCTGGGGCCCTGCGGGGTCACAGGGCAGGGCTGGACATGCTGGACGAGAGTGTCCTCAGATGTCCTTGGTGCCCACCACCGCATGGGCACAGGGTCCAGCAGGAGCGGGTGGACAGGGGTAGGGCCCAGGGATGTCACTGCGAGGGCCGGCGGCAGGGCGGCAGGGCGGCAGGTGCCCTCCCCTGATTGGCCACCGCGGTTTCCGGCAGGATGCGGGCGTCCGGGCGGCTGGGCGGGCCAGCGCGGGGCCAGCGCGGGGAAGCTCCGGCGCGTCACACTGAGCTATTCTCAGCCTCACTCCTTTTATGGCCGCGGAAGTGAGCCTGGAGCTGCCAGAGAGCGCCAAGTGGGGGTGCACAGAACAGCAGGAAGGCTCCGCGCCCCCTCCCTGGCACGGGCTGTCCTGAACCCCCAGCACGGGGGTGTCTGGCAAGGGCCAGCTGGCAGAGAACCCCTGAGTGAGGGACCAGACGCTCATGGGGCTCGGCATCTGGGCCCCAAGGGCGCTCAGCGGGTAGCAGGGGCCAGCCCACCGCCTGGCTGGGGGCCCAGTGGGGCAGAGGGAGGGGGCCGCCCAACTCCCACCCCGGGGAGCTCCGGGCTGCCCCCGGTAGGCCCCTCCTTACACCCCTAGCCCTCATGGCCGCCAGGCCTCCCCAGCTGCCGCCCGCTGGCTCACTGTCCCTCAGCCCGCGGGTCCAGACGGGAGACCACAGCCGAGGTGGGACCTTCAGATCTGCTCCCGCTGCAGCCCCTCCAGGCGCAGGCCCGGCCCCGCACGCCTGTCCCTGCGCCTCCCCGCCCCACTCCGTGTCCAGGCTTGTAGGCGCCTCTGGCTGCCGCCCCGGGCAGAGGTGTCCTTTGGCAGGAACCAGTGGCCAGCCCACCCCCCAGCAGGCTCAGGCTGGCACAGGGGTGGGGAGGCTGTGGCTGGAGAGAGGAGGCCCCAGCGCACGCATGCTCATGCACACTCACATGCACGCTCGCACACGCATGCTCACGCACTGCACACATGCTCGCACATGCTCACACACTTGCACATGCGTGCTCACACTGCACACAGGCTCACATGCACGCTCATGCACTGCACACATGCTCATACATGCATGCTCACACATGCATGGTCATGTGCGCTCACACACACATGCATGCTCATGCACTGCACACACACTTACACATACATGCACACACACGCATGCACATGAAGGGCCCTGAGGGGCAGGCCCAGGGCGGAGAGGCCCATCCCGGGGCGGGGATGCGGCCCTGACAGCGCAGGACAGGCTGCTCTGTGCGTGGGTTGGGTGGGCCCTCGGCTACTACCTGACGGAGGTGGGGGTGGACAGGACACCCCCAGGTTGGGAAGTATCGCTCAGGCCCAGCCCCCACGCACTGCCCACCCACGCCGGGCCCGCTGCCGGGGCGAAGAGGACAGCCCGGGCCGCGCAGGAGGCCCGCGGGCGGCCCTGGTGAGGGCAGATGAGACCCCGTGGAGGCAGAGGTGGCCGGGTCCTTGGCCCAGCGTGTCTGGTGTCCCCACTGCACATCTGCCTCCTGTGCTGGGGACCCCTGCCGTGGGCCACAACGCCTCCCGCCCCCACCCCATTTCCGGGGGGTGAGCCGGCAGCTGGTGCCTGCAGCACAGAGGGCCACCCAGCAGCCCTGCCCCCCCGCGGCCGGCTTGGGGATCACGGTGATGCCCCTACTTGAGGGGGTCACCCGCATCTCCCCGTACCCCACGGTGCCCAGGCCAGCCCAGGGACTCGGGCGCTGTGTTCATGGAGTGACCCACGCGCCGTGGTCTGTGCACACGTCACAGATGAAGGAGCAGAGGCAGGTCCTGCACGGCCCTGGCTGGGGCTCGGGCCAGCCCTGACCCTCTCCGGCCTAGGGGTGTCCTGGAGGGCAGGCCCTCGGCCACCCGGTGCCCCGCCGGCCCGGCCTCGTGCGGAGAGGCCGCCGCGGGTGCGAGGAGCGCGGGTAGGCGGCTCTTGGAAAAATACAAACTTCCCTTGGAGGCCGGACGGGAGGCGCTGAGGCAGGAGGCGGGAAGGAGGGGGGTCTGGTGTGTGGGGGCCCCGGAACAAACAGGCTGCCTGTTCCAGGGACAGGGCGGGGCGCCAGCCAAACAGGCCCAGAGGGGGAGGGGGAGGGACGCGCCTGCCTCGGGCTCCCCCGCCCTCCCGGGCTCTGGACGGGCTCCCCAGGCCTGGCCTCCGCCCCTGCTCTGGGTCACGGGCCTCCAGTCCCTGGCTCCGGCCCTGCCCTGGTGGTGTTGGGGCCCCGTCCATCCTGCCTGCCCTGGGGTGTCTCAGGGCTCCTCCGGGCAGGGACCCGCCACCGCTGTCGGCGCCTGGGGTGGTGCCCCTAACTCTCAGAAGTCCTGTGGAGCCGGGCAGGCCGCCCGCCCCCAGGCCCATCTCCCGCTTCGCTTAGCTGGTCCCCAGCCCAGCCCCGCCGCCTCGTCTGTGCCCTCGGCCTCCCGCCCACCTGCCCGCGCCTGTGGGGGCGGGGGTCAGGGCCAGGGTCTCCCGTCCGAGCTGGCCCCAGACCCCGCTGCCAGCTGGCATCCCTCAGGGCCCTGCCCAGGCCCCGCCACCCAGGCCCTGGAGGCGGCGCTGACAGGAGCCCAGAGCCGGGCCCCCCCACCCCGTGTGAGGGACGGAAAAGGGTCCCTCCTTGCTCGCCCCCCACTCATCCCCAGCGCCTGTCCCGGGGCTCTGGGGAGGAGGGTGTGGCTGGGCGAGGCCTCCCAAGACTGAATTTGGGGGCAGAGCCCACCTTGAAGGGGGCATCTCAGCATCGCAGGGTCGCCAAGGGGCGGGGCCCGGCCTGCAGCCCGGGGTGGGGTGTCAGAGCCCCAGAGGCTGCAGGGGAGCTGCCTGCTTCCAGGCGCCCCAGGGTCGCCCCGCCTGCCCCCCCGCCCAGAGCCCCCATCGCTCAAGCCTGGGGAGGGCCCGCTGCCAGGCCCAGGGGCTACTGGAAGGGGTCCCGGGCCCTCCCTCCCTCCCGGCACCGGCCCCTCCAGCAGACCCTCCCCAACCCGCCCCTCAGCCGTCCTGCTCCGGTGAGGCTGGGGTGCAGGCCAGCCGCAGTGGCTCGAGGAGCAGGTGGTGAGTGGCCCCCCCATCCCGGTGGTGGGGAGCTGCCGCTTTTCTTCTCCGGGTCTGGAGGCGGAAGAATGGAGGCCGGGCCCCAGCGCGGGGGCTGCCGGGCCTCTGGGGCGATAATTGGGCAGCCATTAAGTGTTCCCGGCTGTCACCTGCCTCGGCAGGAGGGTCTCTGCCCCCGCACCCCGCCGCCGGACGCCAGATGGGAGGAGGGCGCTCTCTCACCAGGCCTGGTCCCGCGGGGGCACCCGTCTGGGATGGGCCACCCCCAGAGCGCCCCCCGCCCCCCCCCTCCCGGTGGTGGTGCCGCACCCCACCTTCCAATCAGTGGCCACCTCTGTCACCCAGCCCCCAGCCCTGCCAGCCCCAGCGCCGGGACGGGGCTCCCCTTCTCTGGGAAGCTGCGTGGGTGGGGCGGGGGCTGGACCTCTGTGGGCCCTGCCCAGAGCCTGGCAGAGCCGCCCTGCGGGCCAGGGGCCACGTGGGCTTCGGAACGGGTGGGGATGGGGGCGGCCCTGGGGAGCGCGGTCCCAGCTGAGCGGGCCCCTGCGGTGGCTCCCTGACCAGGACCCCAGACACAGGCCCCGGCTCACTCCAGACCTCCACAGGCTCCTGGTCACCCCGGGCCGCTCACCCGGCCTGTGGCCCGGCCTGCCCCTGGCAGCTGCAGACCCAGCCTCCTCGGCTCCGGGAAACACCGCCTGGGGCGGACGGCTGGGATTCCTGTTCCAGCAGCTTCTCTGCCCGGCTCCCTCCCTGCTGCTCCCCTCCGCTCTGCCCACCCACTCGCCTTGAATTAGAAATGCCAGGAGAGCGGTTTTTAGGGAGTTTTTGCCAGAAAGACACCGCCACCCCGCAGCTCAGGGGGAGAGAGACAGATGGGCCCTGGGTGGGGTCTGGGGGGACGGGGCATCCCAGAGACCACGGCCCCTGCGTGTCCCGGAGTGTGTGGGCAAGGCAGAAGGGCCGCGGGCTGCGTCGGGGATGGGCGTGCAGGGTTGAGTGGGGGGCTATGAGTGTGCATGTGGGTGAGTGGGGGGCTATGAGTGTGCATGTGGGTGAGTGGGGGGCTATGAGTGTGCATGTGGGGGGCTATGAGAGTGCACGTGGGGGGCTATGAGTGTGCATGTGGGGGGCTATGAGTGTGCATGTGGGGGGCTATGAGTGTGCATGTGGGTGAGAGGGGGCTATGAGTGTGCATGTGGGGGGCTATGAGTGTGCAGTGTGTCCCGGGAGAGGGGGGCCCCGCAGTAGGTCCTGTCTGCATGCTTGGGGCAGGCATGGCGGGTGTTACCTGGGCCCCACACCGTCCACCAGGGTAACCCAGAAAGAACGTCCCTCCCCCCACGACAGCCCGAGAGCGGGAGGGGCGGCCTCCCGGGGAGCCTCGCTTCCGGAGCCCCTTTCCTTACATGGGCTTCTGCAGCCCGCGAGCTGGCGCCCTCCCCCTCCCCCTCCCCCCGCCCTCCCCCTCCCTCCCCCCGCCCTCCCCCTTCCGTCCTCTAGGAAGTCTGGGGGCTTCTGACTTGGCCCCCCTGTGGTCTGGGGGTTCAGGGCCAGTACCAGGGCGGGAGGCGAAGGAGCCCCCATCTCCTACGCCCCTCCCCCAGCTTCCGGCGCCCCGAGACTCTCGGCAGAGGAGTCGCCGAGGGTCCAGCACGCGCCGGGCAGCGCTGTCCACACCCGCCCCCGCCCCGGCCGGCAAAGCAGCTCCGGCGGCCCAGGGGCCGGTCTGGGGCGCAGGAGCCCCCGCCCCCAGCAGCCGGCGGGAGGCAGTCGCCCGTGGGGACTCACACCGCCCTCGGGGTGCTTGTGCGGCGGGACCTCCCGCAAAGGGGGGCTGGGCGGGGCGGGGGGGTCCCCGAGCGGGGGTCCGGCAGCCCCACCCCGTGGGGCGAGGAGGGCGGAGGCGACGCACCCCAGCGCCCCCAGCCTGGCCGCGCGGTCCCGCCGGCCGGAGGCGCCTGGGGGCGGGGCCGCGCGCGTTCGTCACCCCGCGGCAAGCGGGGCGCGGGGAGGGGGGGGCGCGGGGCGGGGCCTGCGGGCGGCGCGGGCGGCGCCAATGGGAGCGATCGGCGGGGCCGCCCCCGGCCGCGCGGGGCATAAAGCGCCGGCGCCGCGGCCCGGAGCGCAGACAGCCTGCGGGCGAGCCGAGCGGAACCGAGCCGGGCAGAGCCGCGCCGCGCCGGGCAGAGCCGCGCCGAGCCGGGCAGAACCGAGCCGGGCAGAGCCGAGCCGCGCCGGGCAGAGCCGCGCCGAGCCGGGCAGAGCCGCGCCGCGCCGGGCAGAGCCGGGACCGCCCGCCCCGCCGCCCCAGGGAGCCGCCGCCCGCCCGCCCGCCCGCCCGCGCCCCGCCGCGCCGATGGAGCTGGACCGCATGGCCGGCGGCGGCCTCCACGCCTACCCCGGGCCGCGGGGCGCGCCGGCCGCCAAGCCCAACGTGATCCTGCAGATCGGCAAGTGCCGCGCGGAGATGCTGGAGCACGTGCGCAGGACGCACCGGCACCTGCTGACCGAGGTGTCCAAGCAGGTGGAGCGCGAGCTCAAGGGGCTGCACCGCTCGGTGGGCAAGCTGGAGAGCAACCTGGACGGCTACGTGCCCGCCGGGGACTCGCAGCGCTGGAAGCGCTCCATCAAGGCCTGCCTGAGCCGCTGCCAGGACACCATCGCGCACCTGGAGCGCTGGGTCAAGCGCGAGATGCACGTGTGGCGCGAGGTCTTCTACCGGCTGGAGCGCTGGGCCGACCGCCTGGAGGCCATGGGCGGCAAGTACCCGGTGGGCGCGGAGCCCCCGCACCCCGTCTCCGTGGGCGTGGGCGGCCCCGAGGGCTACTGCCGCGAGGCCGACCCCTACGACTACAGCGTCAGCCCCTACGCCATCACCCCGCCCCCCGCCGCCGGGGAGCTGCCGGGCCAGGAGCCCGACGACGCCCAGTACCCGCCCTGGGCGCCCGGCGAGGACGGGCCGCTGAGCCCGGGCGTGGACACGCAGATCTTCGAGGACCCGCGCGAGTTCCTGAGCCACCTGGAGGAGTACCTGCGGCAGGTGGGCGGCACCGAGGAGTACTGGCTGTCCCAGATCCAGAACCACATGAACGGGCCCGCCAAGAAGTGGTGGGAGTTCAAGCAGGGCTCGGTGAAGAACTGGGTGGAGTTCAAGAAGGAGTTCCTGCAGTACAGCGAGGGCACGCTGTCCCGCGAGGCCATGCAGCGCGAGCTGGACCTGCCGCAGAAGCAGGGCGAGCCTCTGGACCAGTTCCTGTGGCGCAAGCGGGACCTGTACCAGACGCTGTACGTGGACGCGGAGGAGGAGGAGATCATCCAGTACGTGGTGGGCACCCTGCAGCCCAAGCTCAAGCGCTTCCTGCGCCACCCGCTGCCCAAGACCCTGGAGCAGCTCATCCAGAGGGGCATGGAGGTGCAGGACGGGCTGGAGCAGGCGGCCGAGCCCGCCGCGCCCCGCCTGGCCGCCGAGGACGAGGCCGAGGCCCTCACGCCCGCGCTCACCAACGAGTCCGTCGCCAGTGACCGGACCCCGCCCGAGTAGAGGCCCGCGGCCCGCCACACCCCCCGCGGCTGCGGCCACCGGGACTTTGGACCGGGGCTCCGTCCTGCCGGGGGGAGCCCCGGTCTCCAGCCGCTGGGCGCCCCCCGGCTGAGCCTCCAGCCAGACTCACACAGACACACCTCATCCAGAAGCGGGCAGAGCCCCCCAGCAGGCGAGGCGCCCTCTTCCCTGCCAGCCCGCGCCGCCACCCTCCCCGCCTGTCCCGGGCATCCTCTCCTTCACTCGGGCCAACGAGACGTCGCCCCCAGCCCCGCGTTCTGCCCGCCGCCCGGCCCTGCCCTCTGAGCGCGCGGGAGCCAGGCGTCCCGTCGGCACAGGCCGGCAGCTCCAGGCTCCTGGACGGCCCACAGCAGAAGCCGAGGCAGGACCAGCGCGCCATGGGCACCGCGCTCCGGACGCCGCCCTCCCCCGCAGCTGCCGCAGAGCTGGCTGGCACCCTCGCTGCCGCCGCCAGGCAGCTGCCCACTTGGGGCAGCGCAGCCCCCTCTGCCAAGCACCCCAGAAGCTGCCCGCAGCCGCCGCCGCAGCCGCGACCTGTGTCCCGGCGCCTCCTGGCCCTCCAGGTGAGCCTCCGCCAGGGGGCGCTGCGGGGCCAAGTCCATTCTCGGAGGGTCTGAGGGCACCCCAGCAAGTTAGCGCAGGAGCTGGGGGGCGGGGGCAGCCGCAGAGTGACCCCAGGGACAGGGAGGAGATGGGCGGGGGCGGCGGGAGGCAGCGCTGGGGGCGGCGGCGCCGGCACTCACGGGCCGTGCTTTCTCTCTCCCCACAGCGGTGATTCACAGCCTCCTGGAGAAGGTGGCACTCGCTGGATGACTCAGCCAAGCCGGCCGAGGGTCCCCCAGGGCCCCCGCGCGCCAGCCTCGCCAGGCAGCGGCCGGCGCCAGAGCCAGGAGAGCCACCACAGGTGAGAGCCCTGTTTCCTTGAGCGCCCCTGGGTGTCTTCCCGGGCCCTCCCCCACTGCCCGCCCCGGGCGAGCCGGAGCGGGGACACCTGGCCCTCTGCTGCCCACGTGGCCCCACCCTGACCGCCTGTGCTCCCTCCCTTCCAGGTCCCGAGGCCCCAGAGCCGCTGCGCCGCTGCGCACCCCCGGCACTCCCCTCCTGTCCGAGCTGCCGCCTGGAGGGGAGGCTGAGCCCAGCGAGAGGAGGGTGTGGAGACAGGCCGGCCCCAGGGCCAGGACCTCGCCGAGCCACGCCCGCTGGCCTCGTGCTGCCCCGCTGTCTCCAGCCCAGACGCCTCTCTTCCCAGAGCTTCCTGTGAGCCCTGAGGCCGGCCGGCGCCCCAGCCTGGCGCCTGGCCCAGCCCGGGAGATCCAGAAGCCTCTGGCCGGGGCTCAGGCAGCTGCTCCCCCGCCCCCCGCCGGCACCAGCCCCACCCGGCCGGTGCTGGCCGGCCATTGGTGTCTGCAGCCTGAACGGACCCTCGCTGGGGGTGCCCCTTTCTGCCTGTCCACCGGAGGCCCCCAGGTTTGGAGGACTGACGTCTGCAGAAGATGACACTGGCCCCTCCATCCCACACCCCTCCCTGTCCCACAAATTCTATTTTTGCACACAAGCCATAGCCCTTCTCTCTCCCAGGCGGGCCCAGGCTCAGGGCCTCAAGAGGTGTGCCCAGCCCCTCCCCACAGACCAGATCTTGAGTGTGAGGTACAGGCTGTGTGCCCAGCCACTCCCTCGAGGACAGTTTTGTAAGGTTTTGCTAATAAAACACTGAAAATTCTTGGCGTGTTCCTGCTGCTGCTTCTCTGCTGGACTGGGCTGGAATGGGGGCGCAAGGGCGGGCAGCTCCAGGCCTTAGTATCCCCTGAGGGCAGAGTGGAGGATCTGGAACCTGGGGGAGCACAGTCTCCCGGAACCCCTGAGGCAGAGTGGGAGGCTGGGTACCTGGGGAGCATAGACCAGCCACTCAGCAGGGCAGCCTGTCAGGGTCCTGGGCCCTCAGACTAGGAGGACTGGCCCCCAAAGCCCCCAGCCCTGGGCGGCTGGTAGAGGACCTGACGGGAGGAGCCCCAGCTCATGCGCGGTAGGTCCGCCCACTCCCCGCCTGCCAGGGGAGCCTGGGGTGGTTCCCGGCCACGTCCAGCAGCGCTCAGGGCCAGGGAGCCCGGGCGAGACCAGATCCCACCAGGGGCCCTGGCTGCAGTCTGTCCACTTGGCCTCTCGGGCTCAGCTGCAGTGTCAGCGGGAACCCGGCTTGAGGACAGCAGTGAGGGCATCCGAGCCCCGGCGGCCGGCCTGGCCCCCGTGGGTCAGCAGGGGCCGAGAGGAGGTGGAGGATGGCCTGGGAGCGGCCGTAACCCCAGTGTTGGGTGAGAAGTGGGGCCTCGGGGGATGGGCAGCGAGAGGCTGGGCCCGCTGCTTGTGGGGCTGGGGAGCCGGGCCAGGGTCCCGTCTGCTTCCGAGGCTATGCTGGTCGAGGGCCTGGAAGGCACCGGAGCTGCCCCCACGCCGCGCCGCGGCTCCTGGGTCAGGCATGAGGGAGGCGGAGGGAGCTGCAGGGCCCTCTCGGTGGGCCGGCTGGGCGGGCAGCTGCGGGGCAAGCGGCCAGCCTGGAACTGGAGGGCTCGGGTGGGCGGGCTGGACTCGGGGGAGGGGTGTCCTGGGGAGCCCTCCGTGTTTCCCGGGAAAGGGAGGGAGGGGCCGCAGGAGCCGGCCCAGGAGCCGTTTCTCCTGGGTGCGGGGATGGGGGGGCGGGGGGCTTTCCGCGGGGAGTCACTCCCCGTGGCTGGCGCGTGTGACACAGGAAACGACTGAACATTTCCAATAAACTGAGATGCGGCTTTTGTCCCCAGAAAAGAGGCCGCTGGAGAGGGACAGGGCCCCCCGCCTGGGCCAGGAGCCCCGCAGCCAAGGCCCCGCCTGGCGCCCGGTGTCACAGGCCTCTGCTCCTCCCAGCCGGGGGCTGGGACACCGTGTCCTGCGGGCAGGGGCTGCGGGTCCCCAGTGTGGCCCAGCCTCCCTGGTGGGGCCTGCTGGGGGCAGCCTCTGGGCCCTGGGACCCAGGCTGTGGGGGGCTGGGGCTTGGACCCTCCTCCCGCCTGCACGCCCTGCCCCGTCCTTTCCTGCCCCAAACCCTCCCGTGGGGACGGCGCGCGGGGCCTCCTGGGGACTATGGAGCCTGAGCGGGGGACCCCGCTCTTGTGACGGGGCAGGGGGGGGCGACATGGCTTTGCACGGGCCCTTTGAACTCCCACAGGATTAGAATTAGTATCGACATGTAAAGAGAATCGAGGCCAAAACTTTATTATTTTTGCCAAGAATTCTTACCGGCTTCCTGTTCGAAGCCTTTACCTCCGCAGAGCGCTGGCCGGGCCGGGCCGGGGCCAAACGCCTGTCCGTCCTCCGAAGCCCCCTTCCCTCCCTTCCTCCAGAGACCCCCGCGCCGCTCCCTCACCTCTGGGGGACCCTTTCCTGTCGTCTCCCCTAGCCTGCCCCGCCCTGCTCTCTGCGGGAGTGACCCCCCTCCCCTGCCGGCCGCCGCCCCCTTGCGCCCTGAGTCTCCTCCTGCTCCTGGGGCTCTCCTGAGCCAGCTGAGGAGGCTATTTTTAGCCTCTGTTATCCCCGTAATTATCTTGTCTCGGTTCGCCTGGTGCTGCCTGGTGCTGTCAGTGCTGCTGGGAAATGTCAGTCTGTCCCTCTGCACTCGGGGGATGGGGCTGGGCCCCAGAGTCGGGGGCATCCTCATGACGGTGGCCGGGCAGGCCCCGTCGGGTCCTCACAGCGGGTCCGGCAGCCCCGACCGTGCCTGGCACCCAACCGCCCTGGCGGCTCTGCCCCTTGAGGAAGAGAGAGCCCGTGGCCCCAGGGCCTGTGTCTTCCCCTGTCCTTGCTCTGTGCCTGGCAAGGCCCCAGGAGGCCGCTGCCCCAGCAGGAGGCCCACACCGGTGCTCTGTGCCCCGGGGCTCCAAGTCCTTCCCCAAGCAGAGCCAGATATGAGGACACCAGGGTGGGCTGACGACGCACTGGAGGCTCTGGGGGCCTACTCCCCAGGACACCACACCCCCAAAGCTCACTGGGGGGGCTGTGTGCTCCTCCTGCCCCTGCCCACCCTTCAAGAACCTTCCTCTGCCTCGCCCTCCAGCCACCCCCTCTTCACGTCGTCGCTCTCAGGCAGCACCGGACCCGCCACAGCGACAGCAGGAGACCCTAGACCCGGTCGCTGGCAAGCGCCTTCTGCCCCTCCAGAAGTGCCGGCTGGGGGGCCGCTGGCCAGCGTGCGCCGTGGCCCAGGCCGGGCCTCCAGGACTGTGACTCCCGAGGCTCAGAGGCTCGGTCTCCCAGGTTGTTGTTCTGTGTTCAGTGCTTCTGCTTTTCCCTCTTCCCCTCCCCCACACCCAGGCGTTGCCATGGGAACCAGGCTGTGGTTCCCCGCCTCTGTGACGGGAGATTTTGGGGGGCACCTGTGTGCGTGTGTGTGCCTGCACGCATGTGTGGCGGGGGGCTCTGTCTTGGGGACCAGGAGGCCGTGCGGGGAGGGCCGGCAGAGCCCGGCGCCTCATTCCAGCTGCGTGAGCACCTGTGGGCAGTGGCCCGCCCGCCCGGTTGGCCTGTGTGGGTTCTCGGCAGACAGGTGAGGGGTCCTGGGGCCCTCGGTGGGTTTTACAGGCCTTTAACAGCGAACCGGGGGAGCCAGCCGGCAGGGGCCGCGCCCATTGCCCCTCCCTCGGGCCAGGTGCGAGCACCTATGCAGGCGCTCAGGCCCTGGGCCCAGGTGTCCACAGTCGGGCGGAGGGCAGGCCGCAGGGGCGGGGGAGGCCAGTGGCCACTGGGCTGAAGAGCAGGATAACTTCACTCACTGCAGGGGCCACAGCCTCCCCCGACTCCCCACGCCCGGGGCCCTCTGACCCTGCTCAGCCCCGACCTGCAGGCTCAGGTGGCCTCAGGACCTCGTCCCCCGGGCGCCCACACACTCGTGGGCATCCACAAGTCCTGCCGTCCCCTTGGCACCCCCGCCCCCCACCTGCAACAGCCGCCCTGGTGCACCGACCCGGCCGGAGCCCCCATCAGGGCGCAGGGGTGCGGGGAGCAGGCCGGCTGCGCGGCAGCTCAGGACACGGCTCTGGGCCCCACGGCGCTGACCGCAGCCCTGGCCTGTCATCGGCCTCCACCCACCCCAGCGCCTGCCTGGAGTCCCGATGCGCCCTGTGGGTGGAGGAGAGCGCGGCCTCCCAGCCGCTGCCCCCTGCTGCCTCCCCGGCAGCCTCCCCAGCCTCACCGCCTGGCGGGGGAGTGGGGGCCCTTGAGCCAGCAGGGACTGCCCCCCGCAGCCGGGCAGGACTGACTGTCCTGTGCGTCCATCTGTCCTCACCCAGCGCTGCACACCTGACAAGCAGAGGGAGGGGCCGCCGGGGCCGACTGGCCTGGACACTGGGCCCCGTGGACTGGGTTAAGTAAGTGATTCAAATCAGTCTCTGTTTTTACTGTGGTCGCTGGACGTGCCCGTCCTGTTGACGGCCGTTTCCGCCACGTGTGTCCTGGTCCCCACACCCACGGTGGGGTGTCCACGCCATGGCGGGGGCCCCTGCGCGGGTCCCCACGTCCTGGGAGGCCTGGTGCTGGAGGTGCCTGGAGCGCTGCCTCCGGCTCTGGCACGTCTCTGAGGCCGAGGACCGCTGGGAGAGGCGGGCTCGGCGGGGCCTGCCCTGGAGCCTGCATCCACGTGCTGGAGTGGCTGAGGACCCCAGAGAGCCTGCCCACGGGCTGGCTTTGGCTCCTGAGGCCAATTCCAGGCTCTGCCGGCAGAGGCGTCCCTCCCAGAAGGCCTCGGGCTGGGGGCTGGAGGGAGCCGGTGCCACCCTGCGGCCCGGGGCTCCCCCAGGGCGGCCTGCACATCCTGCTCCTCCCCGGGGGTCTAAGAGATGCTCCTCTTGGGCCGCCTTGCCAGGCCTCTTGCCTCTTAGCTTCACACTGTCCCCTCCCCAGTGTCCCTCCCACCCAGGCCCCTCCTGGAGTGACCATCTTTTTCGGGGTGTCCTTTTCCAGGTCTTCTCCCGCTCTGACCCAGCTGTCTGGCCAGGGCCCTCCCTCCACTGACGCTGCTCCCGGAAGCCCGTGCAGGGCCCCGCTGCGCCATCCCGAGGCCAGCCCTCCACCCGGCCCGAGGCATTTGATGCAGCCAGACTGCTCACGCCAGACCAGCCCCGGGCCTCAACAAGCAAGAAACCCGGAGCCGAGGCGTTTCCACCAGCAAACAGCAGGCAGCACCTGTGCACACAGCCGGGCGCCGAGGCCGGGGTGGCCTGGGACGCAGGGTCCAGCAGCGGACGCCCGCATTCCAGGCTAAGGAGGAGGAGTCGACAGTCACATCCCTCGATGCTGGAGGACACCTGAGCCATCATAGACTCTCAGGAGGCCAGGGAGGCGGAGAGGGCCCTGGGCCGTGGCCCCTGCGCAGGGAGCCCGGCTTCTCCCAGCCCAGGGCCAGGCCAGGCCGCTCCCCGCCGTGGACATCGGCTCTGGGGTTGGAGCCACTGGAACAGGCGGGACAAGCAAGCAGGAGGCGCGAAAGCAGGAGACAGAACCGCCCTGCGTGCAGCTGGCGCGATGGCCCCTCCAGACGGCATCCAGGAGCCCCACCCCCAGGGTGGCTGTGCGGCTGCAGGGCCGGGGCGCCCCGGCAGCCCCCCACCCCGCCGGCCCTGACTGGGGGGGCTGGGCTGCGCGTCCTGCGGCGGCCGGGGCCGGTGGGACTGACTTTCTGACCCTCACGGGATGAGCTGGTGTCTCCCCCCAGCTCCTTCCCTCCCAAGGGGGCAAGTCACTGGTCCCGGGGGCCCCCTGTGCCATGCCCCGTCCCCCCCTCCCTCCTTGGAGCCCGGGAGTACCGAGACCCAGCTCAGGGCGTGACGGCGCTGGGTGGCGAGGGCAGGGAAGCTCAGGCAGCTTCTCCCAAAGCGGGCGGGGCCCTTCCCGGTGCTGGCCGTCGGCGGGGACAATTCCGGCCTCCAAGAGGGGCGGAGGGCAAGCGCGGGGCTCGTCAGGGGAGTCAGACTTGGGGGCAGTGAGGGGCGCTGCCCCTGGAGGGAGCCACTTCACGTCCACCACGGCCCTGCCCGTGGCCCCCCACCGCTGCCGTGTCCCCGGCTGTGAGCCCAGGTCGGGCAGGACTGCCCCGTGGGCCATGGCCAGGCTGCCTGGGACTCCGCGCTGCTGGCCCGAGGCGGGGCCCAGAGGGGCTGCCCTGTGCCCGGGCGGACGGAGGTCTGAGGCTGCGTCCACACCCGGGGGCACCCTGCCCACGGCATCTCTGGGAGGGGCCGGGGGCCCAGAGGGGACTTGAAGGGCCCACAGCGGGGGGCTCCAGTGGTCGCTGGAGGAGAGCGGGGGAGCCCCCAGGGTGGGGACAGTGGGGTCTGTCCCTGGCCCGCCCCAGCCACCTCTCCCTCCCCAGAGCCCTGGTTTGGTTGGGGTGCCCTCCCTCGGGCTCCTCCCCCAAGTTCTCCTCCATGAGGAATAAGAAGCGAGTTTGCCGCCGAACCTGCTTTCCTGCTTTTTGCCGCCCCGACTGGGCATCTGTGCTGGGAGGCGCAGAGGGACGGCGGGGAAACCCCGTCGGGGACGGGTGGGGCTGGCCTCCCGGGGGCCCACAGAGGCCGGGCAGGAGGGCTCCTCAGAGCAAGCCCAGGGCCTGGAGCCCAGAGGGGGCCAGAAGCCCTCACCCCGCGCCCCATGTGACTGTAGGATGGGGCTGCTCCAGCCCCCCAGAGCCCATAGCCCCTGCCCGCCCTCTGCCCCAGGACCTGGGGGCAGGTCTCTCTACGGCTGCGGTGGGGGGCAGCCACTGCCAGGGAGGGACAGGCAGGGATGCACCAGCCCAGGGGTGAGGGCCACCCCAGCGGGGCGAGGCAAGAGGCCAGGCCTGGCCCCGGGGGCTGGGTCCCCACCCCGAACAGTTGCCTCCCTGCCCGGACAGCTGGCACCTGCCATGCCAGAGGAGGCCGGGGGTCCCGGCTGTGGCCCCAGCTAAACAGACTCAGGCCTATTCACGGCCGCACGTGCAGCACCTGGGACCCTGCCGGCCCCCCAACCAATCACTCATTCATTCAACAAGCGCTGAGTGAGCCTCGGGGTGTCAGGACAGGAAGCCTAAGCGGGGGCCAGTGGGCTGCAGCCACAGTCCTGCAGTGCTCAGGGGGCCTGGCGCTCCCCCAGCCTAACTCGGCTGGCTTCGTCCTGTTTCTGCCCCCCAACATGTTCCCAAGCACAACCCCAGGGCGGGCTGCGCCCCACACACCCCACTGACCCCCTCCTTTCCTCCACTCTGTCTGGTGGGGTTCTGTGCCTGCCTGTGTGAGCGCTTTGCAGCCGCATCACGACCTCGTGTAGCAGGTGCTGCTTTACAGGTAGGGAAACTGAGGCACAGAGGGGCTCAGCAACCCCCCAGGCCAGCGGCCGTGGCCGGGCAGGAAGGGTCCAGAGGGACTTGGCCTCAACAGGGCTGACTACGCCCTCTCCTCCGTGTCCTGGGCCCCCAGCCCGGTGGCCTTCCGCCCCACATGAGCTGGGTTCCTTCTCCAAGCCTCCTCCCCTGCACACTGCTGGCGCCCCCTCTCCTGCGAGCCCAGCCGCGCTTCCTCATTTCCCCCAAGGGTCCTCTGCTCACCCCACCCCACCGCTTCCTCCAGGAAGCCTTCCCAGGCTGTGCCTGCCTCTGTCCCTGCCACAGCGAGGGCTGCCCCCAACTCCTTCAGACCTCTGCTCCCCAAACGAGAGTGGGTCAGCTGCACAGCAGGCACCTGAAAGCCTGGCCACGTCTGACCCAGCCTGACGGCCCTGGCACCCCGTCCCCAGGCCCTGCCCGCCTCACACGCCCCCGCTCCAAGGCAGCCACCCCGTCTTCCAGCTACCGGCGGCCTCGGTCTCCCCACCCCCTGCCTTTGCCGCTGGACCCCCCAACTGTCTCTTCAACTTTTTGTGAGAAACATGGAAGTAAGCAGACTGAAGTGCCCGTGTGACTCATCCCCATCTGTTGGGGAGGCGAAAGGAGCTGTCTGCTCCCCAACACAGCCTGCCCCCGTGACACCCCGGGAGTGCCTGCTGTGCCCAGGGCTGGCCTCAGGGAGGAGGGAGGCAGCGGCCAGCCCGGGCGGACCTCCTCAGCGCCTCCCTGTGGACGGTCCCGGCGCCCCGCATGGCCGCTGCTCCGAGGCCGGCTCCTTTGTGAAAACGCTTCCCCGGCGGCTGCCGGTTCCCACCTCCCCCAGGCCGGGCTGGACACTGGCGGGTGCCCTCCAGGCCGCATGGCCCTGTGCCAATCTGGGGGTGTCTTCTGCAGTTTCCCCCAGGCCACCTCCTCTGTGGGCCCCCACTGTCCTGTCAGGGCGCAGAGCGGGAGGGAGCAATGTCCCAGCTCGCGGCTGGGGCCTGGGGGCTGCCGCCCCGTCCTGGGGAGGAGGGGCCTCTTGTTCTTGACCTCCTCGCGGGCCAGAGGCCTCCCCGAGGGCCTGGATGCCCAGCTGGGGGCCCACGAGGGGGCTGCGGGGGGGTGGGGGGGGTGGGATCCCGTCTCTCAGAGGAGCCTCAGCCTCCTGGCCTGCCCTGCGGAGGCGGCCCCTGGCGCCAGGGCGGGTGGCAGTTGGCCGGCAGCCCCGCCCCCACTGCCCAGGCGCTGACTTTGCAGGAGGGATTCTGGGAGGTGCCCTCCGGCCGTGGCACCCCACGACCCCTGCACTGGCTTAGATTGTTTGGGCTCCAGCAGCGAGCACAGAGCCCCAGATCAGGGGCTCCCCAGTAGCCCAAACCCATGGAATGAACTCAGGCATAGCCACCTCGGGGTGCCGGGACAAGCACCCCGGGCAGTGCTGTGGACTCGGGTCTCTGGAGAGAAGCCCTTCGCCCAGGCTGGGACCCTCTGCGGGGGGCTGGCAGCCCGGCGAGCCCCACTCTGGCTCCTCTTGGGCCCTGAGAAGGAGGACTGGCCCCCGGGCCCTCAACTGTCACGGGCGGCAGTTGGAGCACGGAACCCTCGGCCGCCCTGGCTGTTGGGCAGCCACTGGACCGCCTTGGCTGCGGGCCCGCCTTCCCGAGGGCCGCTGCCCGGTGCGCCCCAGCCCAGCACCGCGCTCCCCACGGGCTCTCCAAGCCCCCCGATGCCACTGAACCCCCCCAGCAAGGTCTGGGCAGTTTGAAACCCCAGCTGCAAACCGCACCCAAGGCCCCTTCCAACTGCTCCCCTGGGCAGCCAGGCCCTTGGCCCCGCTGCTCCCTCTGGACGCTGCTCCGAGAAGGACGCCCCCGCCCGCCGCTGCCGGTCACTCTGCTGGTGACCTCCAGTCTGCCCGATGGCGCTGCCCTCCAGCGTCCCCACAGCTTGCGGGCCTCCCCTGACCCCCACACGGCGTTGAGAATGGCGGGCACGTTGGGGTGCCAGGCCTGCCCGCCACCTTCCTCTGCTCTGGACCCTGTGAACTCATAAGTGTCCCCAAAGTCCCCCCGCTGTCCTTGGAGGTTTTGTCAGAGACGACACTCCTTGCTGTCCTGGTGGCGGCCCCTTCCCATCGGGACTGTCCAGGACTGAGTGACCCTTGGGGGGTTTACCACGACCCCGCCTGGCCAGCGAGTGCCCCCTCGAGGCCCGGTCTGACCCCTCCTATCCTCTCCCCAGGCGCCCCAAGGCCACCAGGCTCTGGACCTCGGAACCGGGCCGAGACCCCCGAGCCTGCTCCCTCTGCCGCTGGCCGCCCCCCAGAGCTAAGGTAGTGCTGGCTCGGGCGGCCTCTCCTGCCTTTTTAAAAATCCTCGCCCAGCTTCGGTCTCAAAGAGGTGGGCCGGTCCCGACGGGGGACCCCCGGCTCCTCGCAGGCGTCGGAACTTTTCGGGAAAGGATCTTGGACAATTACCGCCCGGAGCCCCAGGGAGCCCCAGAGATGACTGAATCCCGAGTGAGGCTGCGTGGTGGCTCCCTCCCGGGGCGGGGGCCGCCGCAGATGTTCCTCAGGACGCGCTCCCGCCACGGCGTCCTGCTGGCCTCACGGGCGCCCACGCGGGGGGCCCGGGGGCGCCGGGGCGTCTCTCTGCCCACGGATTAAACGCCTGAGCGGGTCTGTTGCGGAGGGCAGCACCACCCTGACAGAGACACGGGAGCCTGGAGCAGGCTGCACAAGGCAGGATGCTGCTGAGAGCAAGATCCTGGCCGTTTTTATTGATAGGATAATCATCCAGCACCAGCCACGAGGGTCGGGAGAGCAAGGAGAAAGGGGGGGGACGCTCAGGAAAGCCGTCTAGGGCTTGGGGGGACACGAGTCTGCCGACCATGTTATCCGCTGACGACCAAGTGTCGTCGTCGAGACCAGACCCCAGGCCCCGGCCCCGGTCCTGACCTTATCAACAAGGCGTCCACTGCTCAGCGTCTGGGGTCCCTCGTCATACATCGGTCCTCGGCCCCCCGCGCGTCCCCGGTCACACCCCGTGACGCACGCCCTTCCCGGGGGGATGAGCTTTCTGCTCTGGTTGATTGGAAAGGCGCCTTGTGAGGCCTGGCTCCTGTGGCTGACCGGCGGGTCCTGCAGGGCGGTTCTGACCTTGCGTAGGACGCAGAACCGCAGGTGGCCACGACGGTGGCCCAACAGGCCGCTTAAGTCTAGCGGACCCACACGGGTCTTTGGCCACGCAGCCGGCAGTGTGTGTGGGGGCGCTGAGCCCCTGTGGGCAGCCTTCAGAGGGCCCTCATCTGCCCTGCCCGCTGACACCACCCTGACCCTGAGAACGGCTGCACCCACCTCCGGCAACTCGAGCTCTCGGGCCCACTGCTCAGCAGGCTCAGCATCGGCGCCCTGCAGGCCTCTGGCCAGAGGCAGACGCCACGGGGGGCCTACCAGGGGGCCGAGGGCCTGAGAGTGAGGGGCGGGTGGTGCAGGGGTGCGGCCCGGGGCTCTGCCGCCCCCACCAATCTGCCCACTGTCCTCTGGCTGGCTCTTCTCTGGGGGTTGGAGCTGCAGGCCACCCCGGCTTATCTTCCGGGTTCACCCTCTCTTGGACTTGGGCTCCCTGGAGCTGCCTCCCCTCCCCCAGCAGGCTCAGATGCCCCACAGCCCGCCCCAGCCTGAGGATGGAGGCCAGCCTCTGGCTCTCCCATGAAAGGGTTTTGGGGATCAGCATGCAGAGGAGGCTTCAACCTCCTGAGAAAAGGTCTCCTCCAAACTCATCTCCAGCCCCAGCTGAGGTGACAGCCGGGGTGCCAGAGGCAGAGGGCTCGAAGCCAGCCAGCACCTCCACCAGGGGCCGGGGGCACCCCGGAGTCATGCAGGAGCAGGGTGCTGAGGGCCCCGGGGAGCAGGGCTGTGACCCTGGAGGATGGGGCTGGGGGCCTGGAAAGGAAGGTGGGCGGATGCTGGGCGCAGAGTCAGACCCGGGGTCACCCCACACAGTCCTCGGGCCAGCAGGGCCGCCGGGCCAGGAGGGGGCTTCAACTGTCCTGTGCCCACCCACTCGCCTGGTCCCCCTCACTGCCCTCACATGCGGTCCTGCCTCCCAGAGAGCCAGCAGGGGCATCGGGGTGGGTGGGGCGCACCGCCACTTCAGGGCTGGGGTGGCAGAGGAGAGCCCAGAGGCCTGGCGGCGGGAGGCATCTGGCAGCCGTCGGGGAACGGGGCTGGCTGGGACGCTCCCTCCCCAGGAGCAGTGGTGGGGGCCGAGGCAGCACTGCAGGCTGGCAGCCCTGGGGTCACCTTGCAGGCGACACCCCCACCCCCTGAGCAAATCTCTGCCGCACCCAAGAGAGGCGCCTGAGGGCAGAGGAGGGCGGCTGGGAGCATCTGTCAGGCTGTGCCCTCGGCTCCCGGCTGGGCCCCACCGACCTAGCGGGTTGCCCCACGAGGTGATGCGTGAGGTGGGGGGCACGAGGCATGAGGGGGGCCTGTGGTGGACTCAGGATGGGCAGAGCAGCAGAGCTGGCCTTGGGCTGTGAGGGCAGGCAGTGCCCAGGGGCCGGCCATGGGGCAGGCACGGCGGGCGGCTGAGGCGTCGGGGCTGGCCTTGCCTGTCTCCCCCAGGACCTATCGCCCCCGGAGCTCCCTGTTCATGGACATCACCCAGGAGGGCCTCTTCGCGTCCCACAGTCTCACGGAGGAGCGAGAGCTGGCTGCGGGTGAGCGGGCGGGCGTGCTGGGGCTCTGCTGGGGGGCAGGGCCCTGGCCCGGGGTGGTGGGACGGGGGGCTGAAGGAGCGGCCGCTCCCACTCACAGTGTCCACGGCCTCCCCGGCCCCTCCGCGGCTGTGCATGGGAGCAGGGACGGACTCGGAGGTCCTTGGTGACCCCTTTGGAGCCTGTCAGAGCTGCAAGGACGCCTTGGGGGCTCCGTGCCGCGCCCCCCCCAGCCTGCTCAGCCCCACGGGCCCGGCCATGTCTGGTCCTCCGCCCGTTGAGCCCGCGGGCCAGGTCCCTGAGAGCGTGGGCAGCACAGCACACGGCGGGGACGCGACGAGCTTCGGTCCAGTGGGCGCAGGCCCCGGCCGGCAGGTCAGGGCCGCCCGCGGGGAGCCCTGGGGAGAGCCCAGACCCCCCAGCCCGGCTGCCTGGCGTGGGCCCCGACCCCGCGCACCCGCCGCTTTCCTGGCTGCGCCGCTGCCGAGCCTCCCCCACATCCTGTGCCGGGAAAGTGGGGCCGAGTCCCGCCCGGGGCCACAGCAGGGCCTCGAGCCCTGGCCGCCCGGCCCCGGTCCCCCTGCACACGCCAGCCCTGGGCCGCGGCCCAGCTGCTCACGCGCGAGGAGGCGGGCGCCGGGAGAGGCGCCCACAGAGCCGGGGGTCCCGGAAGTCGGGGCTCTCCAGGCCCCGCACTGCCCTTGTCAGTCAGCAGGTGGCACTCCGGGGCTCTGGGGCGGCCGGGCACAGGAAGGGACACGTGTGGAGCGTGTCCCAGGCGCGGCCTGTCCCAGGCTCTGTCCAGTGGGGCGCCCGGCTGGCAGCTCCACCCCGGGCGCTGCCGCAGCACAGTCCTGCCTGGCGGGAAGCGGCTCCCCAGAGGTTCGGCGCGCGCCGCCTCCACAGGTGACCGCCCCGAGCGTGGCTCTGAGCCGCGCGGCCCCGTCTCTCGGGGAGGGAGAGTCAGCCACTCGCCACCTCCCCGCGGCCGCCCCGGCCCCGCCCGTGTGTGCCTCCGTCCTGGGCGGGAGGGCTGCCCGGCCCTCAGGGGTCTCACGCCAGCTCCCTGGGCCGGGCGCTCGCCGTGTCACCATGATCTCCCGGCCCAGGCGCTTCAGTTTTCCACCCCAGCCCCCGTCTCCAGCTCGCAGAGTATTTCCCGGTGGCTTCTGTCTCTCGGCCAAATTCACCGCAGGCGCCCGCCATGCTCGCCGCCTCACGGTGGTGCCCCGCTCCCAGGCTCTGCCCTTCCCGCCGCCACGCCCTCCCCTGCAGGCGCACGGCGGGGGAAGGGGCTTCCAGCGTGACTCGGCAGCCCAGTGGGTGCCGCTCTGGGTCTGCGCTGCTCCCGGCGCCCCCGGCAAGGAGCCGCCCCTGCTGTCTGTCCTCTGCAGATCCCCTGGACAGGGTGGTCGAGGAAGATCCCCAGAGGGATGGCCCAGCCTGGGAGAAAGAGCTGGTCAGCAAGATCAGGGCCATGTCCAGCTTGGAGCAGAGCCTGTTGTTGGAGAGGGTTCAAAACTGTATCAAGGAGCACAGCCAGGTGGGGCCCTGCTCAGCGGAGGGCGGTGGGGCTCTCCGCCCCTCTGCCCGGTACGGGGGGCAGGCGCTGCCCGCGCCATCAGCCAGGCCGGGGCCGGCCCATGCAGCACCAGGCAAATACCCCCCCATTGGCAGAGCAGGGTGGGGCGCAGCCCCCTGCCCAGGGACCGCACCATCTGTGGGGGACGGGTGCTCCCCTGCCGAGCTCCCCTCTGAGTGCTCTCCAAGCACCGTGTGGGTGCCGAGGCTCCCCTGAGGCCACCCGCGCTCCGGCCCCTTCTGGGGAGGTCCTGCCCGTACAAGGCCCAGCGCTCGGTCTGGAGATCCCCTGGGGTCAGGGCTGGCAGGACTGGGTGGGGCGGGGGCTGTCCAGCACGTGCCCTGAGGCCCTGAGGCCAGAGAGAGGCAGGAGGTTGGGCTGTTGGGGGGGGGGTTGAGCATGGTGGGTGTGGCCAGACCACAGATCACGGGCAGGCAGCACCCCTGGCTTCTCCTTCCCTTTTGGGGAGTGGTTTCCAGGGTCCTCTGCCTACCAATGGTGTGACCACTGTCCTTGGGAATCCCCAGCCCCCCTCTGGCCTGGCTGTGTGTGATGAGCCAGGGTGGCCGCCTGCGCCCCGTTCTGCCCGCAGCTCACTTGGAAGGTGCAGGGGCTGGACGCCAGCGTGCAGGTGCTGCTCGCGCGGCTGGGCCTGGACCCCGCGGTGCCCTGGGACAAGGTCAGTGCAGGGTGCCCCGGCTCGCCCCCAACTGTGACTGGCCCGACCCAGAGCCCCCAACCCATGGAAAGTGCAGAAAGGCAGGAGTGTTGCTTGCCACAGGGGCTCTGCTCACAGCTCAGCAGCCATAGGATGCTTGGGCCCACCCGAGGGCGGGGCCTGCTCTGCTCTGAGGGTGGCCGCCAGCCTGGCCCGGCCACTGTGTGGGAGCCACACGTTCTGTCAAGAGCATTGTAGGGGAGCCCAGAGGGTCCTGTGCCCATTGTCTGGACCCACGTGGCATGGGGCTGGGAGCAGAGGGGCTGGCTCTAGGGGGGCGCTGGTGTGTTGGGTGGGGCCAGCCTGGGCCCCTCGGCCTGCACCAGGACGGTGGCAAGTGGCCTGGTGGGGCCTAGAGCAGGGAGACCCAGGTTGGGGGGCCCGGGGGCAGGGCCCAGGACAGGGGGCTTTGCTGCACTGCTCCAGGCTTCCGGTTCCCTCTCTCCTTCGGGCACAGACGTCTCTCTTCCGCCTCTACGGGCTGGCCCTGCGAGAGTGTCCCAATGTCAACCTGGTGAGGCGCCACCTGAGTGTCCTGCTGGACCTGTCACACCAGCTGTCTGAACAGCGGGAGGTGGGTCGGGGCCCTGGTCGCCCCCCCTCACGTCGGCGATGGACATGGAGCCTGGTGCTGGCCTGACTGGCCGTGGCCTGGCACCTGCCAGGTGGTGTCCTGGCCCACCCTGACCAGCCCGTGGCCTAGCGGGGTCCTTGGGAGGTGCGGGCAGGAGAGCGCAGGCTGTGCCCCGGGGGCTGGCCCCGCTCACGGCCCTTGGCTGCAGGGCGTTGCGCTGACTGTTGGCCTGACGTCCACCTTGCACCTGGAGGAAGTGTGGGCCCTGCTGGAGCATCTGGGCCGCACCAGGTTCCTGAGGTCGGCCGCCGTGTCCTCGCAGAGCCAGGTAGGGGCGCGGGCCGGGCCGGCCCCTGAAGCTGGAGCTGGTTTGGTCACGGCACAAGCGTGTCTCACCCGCCTCCCGTTGAGGGTTGGACCTGCCGCCCAGGGCCCCACGAGGGCTGACCACCCCAACCCTGCCTGGCCTACCCGCAGCAGCTAGAGGTGGACGTGCACTGGAGGTGGGTGGGCAGCACGTGCCTGCTGTGCTACGGGCAGATGGCCGCGCATATCGGGGAGCGACTCCTGCCCTGGGTGGACAACATCGCCTGCAGGATGGTCTACTACTTCTCCTGCAGCAGCTACGTGAGCCGCGCCCTGCGCTGCGCCTGGGTGTGGTGTGAGTGTGTGCGTGTGAGTGTGCGGTGCGTTGTGGGACCCGCTGACTTGCGTGGCCCTGGCTGGGCGCGGGCGGCCGTGCTGGCGCTGGCTGACCCTGCCGCTCGGGCCCTGTGGGGGCAGGACCACATCCTCAAGATGAGCTTCCTGTGCGCGGCCATCATGCTCACGAAGGCACTCAAGAGGGAGGGAGAGGCCGAGAGCTTCAAGTTCACTCAGATCCCGGAGCTCATCCAGTGTCTCCTGGTGAGTGGGGCCTGCCGGGGCGCGGGGCTCGGGGAGGGGGCAGCGCGCGGCTGGCCGCCGACACCCGGCCCCTTCCCGCGCACCCTCAGTGCATCCTCCAGAAGGAGCCCGGCTACCTGGCCACTCTCTTGCGCCAGAAGATCATACTGGTCATCACGGGACTGAGGTGCTCCTCCTCGGGACGGTCGCGGCGCCAGCCCGGGAGGGCCGGGGGCCTGCGGGAGGACAGCCGGGCCACAGCCGGACGGGCCGCCAGGCCGGTGGGGGAGGGGCTGTGCCCCGGTGCGCCTGACCCGGCCTCCCCCATCCGGCCCCGGTGGGCGCGCGCGGTGGCAGGGCTGGCCGCTGTCGGCCTTCCCGGAGCAGCGGGGAGGGGGCCCAAGCCCTGGCCGCCAGGGCCGCAACGTCCAGCCCCTTGCAGCAGCCTGCGGCCCCGGCTCAAGCCCACGGTCAAGTCCAGGGTCCTGCAGACCTGCCTGTGGAGCTTGTACACGCTGCCCGCCCCGGAGATGCTGAAGGGGAGCCTGCCCCCCATGGCGGTGGTCCCCGACGTGATGGTGAGCGCCCGCGGTGCAGCCCTGCGGGCAGGTGGGGCAGAGGGGCCGGCAGCTGCCCGCGGACTCCTGTGACCTCGGGCTGCAGCGGGGCCTGCACTCCGGCCCCCGCCTCCCACGCGTCCCCCGACTCCTGCGCCCCGCCCAGTGCACCCCGCCCCACACTTTGTTTTATCGGGCGATGTTTAGGGGACGCCGAGCATCGCAGACGGGCGCTGCTGGGCTGGGCTCTGTGTCCCCGCAGCTGCTGGGCTTTGTGCCGCGGCTGCTCTGGCAAACTCCAGTTCTTTCCAGTCCCTCCAGTTCCTTTCAACAGCGTCAGTGGGCCGGAGCGCTCACCCCAGCACATCTGCTGCCTCTGGTGGCCCCGGTGCTCCTGCAGCCGAGCGGCTGGCACACGCGTAGGCACGCAGCCGTGCTGACCGCAGACGCGCGCCTCTGTCCGTCTCCAGGCAGCCTCTGTGTGCTGCCCCCTCCTGGCTCCCTGCCCACGAACGGGGTGCCTGATGGCCAGCTGGGCCCGGGGCCTGCGCGGGCACCCGCCTGCTGGGAGAGTGAGAGAAGCGGCTCCTGGCCGCGGGCAGGAGGGCACCGGGTGTCTTCCTTGCTCCTGTGGCACTCACAGCAGGCACTGCTGCCCGGGACCAGGAGGTGGCTGGTCCCCAGGTGGGCAGGGCTTGTCCTAGCCTCGCTCCCACCCTGGCGGGCACGGCAAGGCCCACGCTGGTCCCTTACCACCACAGAGCCTGGTACCCAGGCCACTGCTGCCTGGGCCTTGGGCCCGCTGGGTCTGAGGACCTGGGGCTCTGCCAAAGCACTGGCCAGGGGACACGTGCTGCAGGGGAGGTGGGCAGGCGGCCCTGAGCGAGAGCAGTGTGGGCAGGAGGTGGCGGAGCCCCAGGGCTGGACTGGGTGGCGGTGGATGAGGCCAGCAGGAGGCCACGGGTGGCTGTGTCCCTCCAGAAGCTGTACCAGAAGTCCATGCAGGCGCTGGACCTGCTGCTGCGCAGCTTCATGTCTGAGAATGAAAGCATGGATGAGATCTGCTTCCTCCTGCAGGTGAGGGCGGCTGGGGCCTCTGCTGGGCCACACCCAGGTCGAGGAGGTGCCCAGAGGGCAGGCTGGCCAGGGGTCCAGGGGCGTGTGCTCTTGTCCAGGCTGTGGGGCGTCCTTGACAGCAGTGAGAATTCTTGGCTGCCAAGAATTGGGGTGCCGGGGAGAGCCTTGGCAAGACCACAGCAGTGGGGTTGCTGGTCAGCCTGGCTGCAGCCGCTGGTCCCTGAGCGCTGAGAGGCCCTGTCCCAGAGCCCAAGCCCAGGTTTTCTAGAGTCTTCTGGAGGCTCCACTGGCTCCGGACCCAGCGTCCCCAGAGGTGGAGGGCAAGGGCCGGCACTGCATGGGGGTGGGCCCCTGCCATCCAGAAATCACCCCAAGGGGCTTGCCCAGGGCCAGGCTGAGCAGGGAGCAGCTGCGAGTCGGGCCTGGCTGTGCCGTGCAGCACGCGGAGCCCTGGCTGCTGTCGGACCTGAGCCACGCGCGCCGGCGGGCGGTGCAGTCGGTCTTCCTGCTCCTGAAGCACGTGGTGGAGCACCTGACCCTGACCGTGAGTCCTGCCCACCTGTACGGGGGGGCGGGGAGTGGAGGAGGAGCAGGGAGCCCCCTGTGTCCACATCTGTCCACCCCCTGGCTGTCTGGACAGCAGGATGTGGTGCGGGAAGGTGAGGTCCCACCCCCTGGGTGGCCTCACCCTGGGCAGCTGTGGCAACTGGAGCAGCGTGGACTGGGGAGAGCTGGAGGGACAGCGACAGTGGGCCGTGGTCAGCGCTGGAGGGAGGCGCAGGAGGGGCTGGGGCTCCCGGGGAGGAAAGCGTCCAGGCCCAGGCAAAAGCCGGGCTTGCCAGAGCCATAGCCGTGGCCACCCGTGCAGGGCCCCGTGGCCACGTAAGGGCGGGGGTGCAGGAGGCCCCCCTGAAGGGCCGCCGCCCAGGAAGCACGGGCGACCGAGACAGACAAACCTACCCGAGAGACAGGCCCCCTCACGGGCCGGAGTGACGGACGCGTCCAAGCGGGGGTCATGGGACAAAACGTGGACACTGACCCGACCGTGTCCAGAAGATGGCAGGTCTGTCCTGGCTGGGCCCTGGGGCTGCTGGCCGGCCGCGGGGGCGGGGCCCGGCCAGCGGAAGGGGCGAGTCGGGGCCTGTGCACCCCCGCACGGGAGCCGGCCGCACCACGAGAGCCGCCAGCAGCTGTGTGCGGTGGGTGCCGCCGGCGGCCCGGGGGCAGTGCCCTCCTCACTCCTCCACGCCAGAGAAACGGAACCACAGACCCATACAAAATAGGCAAGGATATCATTGTGGCTTTATTCCTGATAGCCCCAAGTGGCACCCCAAGTTCGGCCAACAGGAGACGGCAGTGTAGACACGTGATGGAGCTGGGGCCCCTCGCTGCAGCTGCAGGCGTGTGGGGCGCTCAGGGCGATGGGGCGTGCACGCCGTGGGGCGGGGGTGGGGGGCTCAGGCGCAGGGCTCATGCTGGGGGGGCAGACAGGGTGGGCTTGGGCGCGGGGCTCACGCCAGGCGCTGGGAGGGCAGGTCCAAGAGGGGCTCATGCCAGGCGCGGGGCTCTCCCTGGGCATGCAGCCCGGGTGCCCCATGCTGGTGCCCACCCCGGCATGGCGGGCGTGCAGGGGGCTTCACCCTGGATTGTCTCCTGGTGGGCGTGGGGACCTTAAGTCCCAAGGGATCCCGCCATCTGGCGTTTGCGGCGGGCTGTGCGCCCTGGGGCCTCCGTTCTGCACCTAAAGCGGGAAGCACGTGGAGGGCACTGGGAGCCGGGCCCCTGGTGGACACACAGAGCAGGTCACCGCAGAGAGTGTCTGTGCGGCCTGCTGGGTTGAGCTGGTCCTGGCAGACTGACCCCGTGGACGCGCCGCTCCATCGTCCGCGCGTGGTCTCCGCTGGAAGCAGGGAGGGCGCCGGGCTGTTCTAGAGGGCAGGGACCGCCGGACGAGGAGGGCAGGGCCAGGTGGGGTCCACGGTGCCCATCTAGGCCAGAGCGTGAGCAGAGCCACGGCCCGCTGGCCACACGGACACCACCAGCGCCGGCCGAGGAGGATGAGGGTGGAGGGCCCGGGCAGGCGGGGCGCGGGCGTCCCGGGGGAGCCGACGGCCGGCGGGGGTGAGGACGGCATCACCTCATGTGGACCCCCACTGGTCAACACAAAGGGGAGAGAGAAACTCGGGGAATTCGGACGTTGCCCCCTTGGCCAGGGTCATGGTGATCGTGGCCGGTGCGGGTGGCCTGTGCTTCCGGACCCAGCCCCCAGAACTACCCCCACCCCATGGCCTCAGGGCCAGGGCGGAAGCCCGGGTGCGGCCCAAGCAGAGGACAGCGGAGGGCAGGGCCGCCGAAGCCGGTGGTCATCACGGACAGACCACGCCTGGGAGGCAGGGCTCGCTCCAGAAAGGAGCCGGAGTCTGTTCTCTGCGCGGGCCAGCGCTGGAGCTCTCCCCTCCCGACGAGGCCCGGGCGTCAGCACCAGCCGAGCAGGCAGCAGGCAGCACATTGCCCGCGGGAACCCACCGCCCTGACCCGCAGCGCCCTGCCACCACGTCCCCCCACCTTGTCCCGGAGTCGGCCTGACAGCCCATCGCCAACAACCGCCTTGGGGATCAGCTACAACACCCGCTCCAGGCCACTGGGGGCCCCATAGTGCCCGTCCACCACCAGCGCTTCTGGCTGGAGCCTGGCGCCAACGCTGACTGCACTCGGGCTGAGGAGCGGGGCAGCCCCTGGACACGGAGCGGCGTGCAGGGTGGCCTGGGGAGGGGCGCGGGAGCAGGTCTGCAACTGCCCACGGGCTGCATCTGCTCCCAGTGGCTGCGTGGCCGCGGGCAGGTCATGCGGCCTTTCTGGGGAGCTGGGCAAATGAAAATGTACGGAATGCACAGGAAGTTGGTAGACCGGGGAGCACTGACGTTCCAGACCAGAGCAGCCGCCTGGCGCGCCCCGGAATGGCGCACCCTAGGGTGGCAGCAGTGTGCCCCCGTCCCAGAGCCAGTGCCGCTCGCTGCGCCCTATCGAGAGACCTAGACCTGAGTCTCGAGAGGCTGGGGGGCTTCCTGCCGGGGCAAAGTCTGGCCCACATGCCTGGAGGCCCACCTCCCCTGTCAGCCGGACGGAGCCAGCACCTGGGGGAGCAGCAGGAAGGGCCTCCCCTTCGGGGGCAACGCCCGTCAGCACAGGAGGCGATAGGGCCAAGAGCCAGGCCCCTGGCGAGGGTCGTCAGGCTCTTGGCTGTGCGGGGAGATGGGCGCGGGGATGGACAGGCCGAAGGTGGGGCCGCGCGCAGACGCCGGGCGCCGCGAGGCACAGTGTCTAGAGGGAGGTGCGTGCACTGGCTTCGTGGGCATCGGACCCTGCAAGGCAGCGCCGTGACCTTGAGGGCGGGAGGACGCTGCCCGGCGGGAGAGGGCTCGGCGGGGCTGGCCGGAGAGAACCCGGGGCGCACGGAGTGGCTGACGTTTCTCAAATTTGATGCAAAGTACAAGCCCCCAGATCCAAGGAGGCCCGCGGACCCCATGCGGGGTGAACCCAGGCCACACTGCAGCCGTCCAAGCCCAGCTGGCTAGAAGCCAGGGCAGACAAAGAATCTTGGAACAGCCTGAAAGAGCAAGACCCAGGCGCACACAGCGGCCGGGCAGGGCGGGGGCTGCCCACCTCTGGCGGGGCAGGGAGGAGGCAGCAGCTCTCCCGGGCGGGGCAGGGGCAGTGAGGGCTGGCCAGGGCGGGGCAGGGGTCTCCTCTGCAGGAGGGGTGGGGAGCTGGGGGGGCACGTGGGGCAACCACGGGCCAGGCCGTGTCACCACCCACCCTCCCCAGGAGCAGGCCACGCCCTCTACGCTGGGCCACCAGATTGGCCTGCTGACCCTGCTGTGGCAGGACGCGGACGAGGTGACCCAGAGCCACTCCCGCCAGTGTGTCTACCTGCTGCTGCAGCTCCTCCTCCAGCAGAAGGGTGAGCAGCGGGCTGGCTGGGCGCCCCGGCTCTTCGGGGCCTCCTTGGCGCCTGGAGGGGACACGGTGCAGCCCGGGCCTCAGCAGCCTCCCCGGCTGTGTGCCCACAGAGAAGAGCACGCTGGAGTTCATGCATCTGAACAAAATGAAGAATTTTGAAGCCAGGGCCAGCAGAGAGTCGGAGATAAAGCTGTACTACGTGGTGAAGGTGAGGGGGGCCTGTGGCCGGCGCCCTCCCGCCTGACCCTGGGGCCTCCTGCCGCGCCCCCCCCCACAGCTGGCTCGGTCCTGGGCTCCTCACCCAGCTCCCTCCTCACACCCTCCCCTGCCTCCGGGCCAAGGCCGGTGTGTGGACACCCTGGCCCGTCCTGGGCAGCAGGACGGTGGTCTCCCTGTTCCCGCCCACCCTCTTGCCTCAGGCCCGCCCCAGATGTCGGGGGTGCGGGAACGGTGGTGCAAACTCGGGTAGATCATTCAGCCTTTCCATGCCCCTGTCTCCCCACCTCAGCTAGAGCCCTGAGCCCAGCACCCGCTGTGTTCCTGGACTTCTCTGTGTGGGCGATGCCCCTGGGGGCCCTGTTGGGGTGCTTTGGGCTTAGAAGCTGGTGGCCCTGGGCCCCCCAGGAGAGCAGGGCAGGTCTCAGGGGCCAGGGCTGCTCTCAGGAGGAGGGGCAGGGCACACTGGCCTCAGTGGAGCCTGGGGCTGCTGTCTGGCTGCCATGCGGGGGCTGCGCGTCTGCCCTGGGCAGTGGTGCCCAAGGCCGCAGGAGCCGGCCCTGAGCGCCCTCCCTCCCGCAGGCCCTGGAGAGGAACCTGACGGTGGCCCAGCACACAGAGCTGGTGCTCACGTTGCTGAGCGCGCTCTGCAGCCCTGAGGCCGCGCGCTGCCAGCTGGCCTCACACATCCTGCTGGTCATTGTTGAGAGCCGCGGCATCAAGCCCGAGCAGGTGGGCCTGCGCCAGGCCGCGGAAGCCCTCCTCCTACGCCCAGCATCCACGCCCCACCCCATCTGGGGACGCCTGGCCCCGCCCTGGCCGTGCCCACTGACTGCTGAGCCTCAACAACACCCTGGGGTTCTGGTCCCTCCCGAGGCCCCCGCAGGCTTACCTGGGGGAGAGGCCAACCCCGACCTGACAGCCTCGAGAGACCCGGCCGCTCCGTGGACAACCAGGGGCCACGGCTGCCCACCGTGTGCCTGCGGGGCGGTCCACTGGCCCTGAGCTTGACCCCCACTCACAGAGAGGTGGTGGCTGTGGCAGGAGCTGCACCCCCTGGCCCCGGGGACAGCTCAGCAGGCTGGGAGAGGGCCCGGGGGCGGTGGAGTGGCGGGCTCTGAGGTGCTCACCCTGCAGGTGGCCGAGACCCTGCACGGGCTGGTGCAGGAGCTGCCCTGCATCCTCTTCAAGAGCTCGCAGGAGGCCATGCTGAGGGTGCTGGCGACGCTGGGCGCCCAGCACACCCGGGACACTGTGGAGGTCCTGCTGTCGCTGAACCGGCCCACCGAGTGGTAGGCCCCGCCCCGCCCTGGCTCAGGGTCAGGAGGAGGGGGCACTGGTGCCCCAAGGGGCTCCCGGCAGAGAAAGGCCCACCTGTGGGGGCCAGAGGTCAGCCGCATGTGGTAGCCATCCTGACCAGCCATCCTGACCAGCTGCCTCCGGGCAGCCTGCTGGGGCCGGCCACACTGGGCGCTCCGGAAATGCGGCCTGTCTGTCTGTGCCCCGCTGAGCCGGCCTCATGGCCGTGATGCTGGAGGCCTGGGACGCCCCGGCAGCCACTCCCAGCGCCCGGGCAGGGACAGGGTGTCCTTGGGGACAGTGTCCTCGCACGTGGATCCCTGGTGCCAGCACCCGTCCCCAGGAGCCCAGCTCATGTGTTCCTGGGTACCGCCTCGGGGCGCTCCCGAGTGAGACCAGGGCTTGTCGGGAGGCCCGGCCCTGGCGGGCGCAGCGGAGGGAGTCTGTGCGCAGGGCTGGGAGCTGGCTGGCGCCACCTGGGACCCCAGCTGGAGGGGTCCTGCCTCCCAGGCAGGTCATGCTCCTGTGGAAGGCCCTGGCCACCTCCCAGAAGCTGGCCCGCAAGGTCGTGACCCAGCTCTACGTGAAGCTGAAGCTGAGACCCTCCAGGGAGTCCGTGCGATCCCGGCCCGAGGAGCTCATCTCCCTGATGGTTGGCAGCCCTGCCCCATGCCTCCCTGCCCTGCCCCTGCTCCCTGCCCCGGCTCCTGCTCCCTGCCCCGCCCAGCCCCCACAGGGGTCCCTGGGCGACAGGCCGGCTACTGCAGGGCCTCCCCGGAGTGGCCAAGGCCCCTGCGGCCCAGTCCCGGATGGGCGGCTGCGGGCAGGCCAGGCCAGGCGGGGAGGGGGTGCCAGGCCCTGCAGAATGGGGGTTGAACTGCCCCCCACAGGCCCTGAGCACCATCTATGAACTGCTGTACGTCAAGGACTACCGGGCGGCCGTGCGCTGGGCCTTCGCCGGCATCCTCCTGGGCCTGTTGACCCAGCTCCACTACCTGTTCGAGCTGGACATGGTGGCGGGCCTGGCTGACTACCAGGAGGACGTCCTGGAGACGCGGCCCCTTGGCCCCTGCAGGTGAGCTGCGCCCTCCCCCGGTGCGTGCCCCAGGGGCCTGGTGGGTGCCTGTTCGGGCAGGCGCAGGGAGGGCCCGGAGCTGAGCGGGCAGGCGTGGCCCCTGCGGGGCTTGGGGAGGTGGTCCTCGCTGCAGGCAGGGGTGGCCCACGTGCCCACTCCCACCCCCGCTGCCCCAGGACCTGCCTGGAGGCCCTGAAAGGACTCTTCTGGACAAGCAACTACTGGGAGGTGTTCGCTCATCTCAAGCTGCAGCAGGGCTGGGAGCTCTTTGAGTGTCTGGAAACCTACACGGAGGGGGTGGCCCTCTTGGCCAGGTAAGCCTGGGAGGGGCCTGGCCCTGACCACGCCCCACAGGGGCCTCAGCCTGCAGACTCGGGGCAGGCGTCTCCCCCAGGGAGTGTGGGCCGGGGTGCAGGAGGTGCTGCCGGGCCCCCAGCCGCGCCCACCCTGCTCCCGCCTCCGACAGGGCCATGGTCTGCTATGACTGTGAGGTCAAGGCTGTGTTGGGGCAGGCGGTCATCGCCCTGAAGAGCTCCGAGGAGCGGGACAACGTCGTGGCCATCCTCATTGTCACGGAGGTGAGCTGCGCCCCTGCACCCCCGCGGCCCGCGCGCCTGCCCGGTGCTGACTGTGCCCTCAGTTCCTCAACAGCCAGGAGGCGGCGCAGTACACGTCTTCCAAAGCCATGGGCCACTTCCTGGGCCTGGGCCTGGACAACCCCCACCCGCTGGTGCGGGCCACGAGCCTGAAGGGACTCAGCAGCACCCAGCTGCACCCTAAGAAGGTGGGCCTCGCCACTGCCACCCTGGGGCTTCACGGCCATCCTTGGCGGGGACATGGGGCCGCCCAGCCGGGCTGGGGTGGAGGGGCGGGGCACTGGGCAGGCCTGCAGCGTGCACGGGCGGGTCCTGGGGTTCCTAAGCCGGAGCGAGCGCAAAGGTCGGGCCCTCCGGTCCAAACCCCGCCCCATGCCTGCTCTGCGCTCCGGGCTCTCCCCCCTGCACCCCCTCCGCCCTGGGGGGGCCGGGGCCTGAGGCAGGATGTGGGTGGGGCCTGGGACGGGGTCGTTGGGGTCACCCACACCAGGGACCAGGGCGCCCCGATGGAAGCAGGTGGCCCAGCTTGGCGGGGGGAGGCACCAGGCGGCCGCCGCGCATCCCTGCAGGTGGGCCTGCTCCAGAAGCAGCTGGCCGTGCTGCTGGACGGCTTCCTGAAGGCCAAGCCCGAGGACCTGCTGGGGCTGATGTCACTCCTGGGCGACCTCCTGCGCCACCTGGGCCACCACGGCATCAGCGCCACCAGCCTCAGGATGGCCCAGCACCTGCTGCTCCTGTTCGAGAGCGTGAGTGGAGGCAGCAAGCAGGGGGATGGGCCCAGAGGACCCGGCATGACCGCGGGAGCCGGGTGCGGGCGGGGTGGGGGGCCGTGGAGCCCTGTGGGGTCCCCACCAGCTGCGGGCTGCGGAGGTGTGGGGCCAGGATGGCGAGACAACGCCCCTGTGTGCCTCTCCCTGCCGAGAGGGAGGGAGCCGCGCCGCCCCAGTCAGCTGGCAGCGTGGGCAGGGCCACTGCCAGCCCGAGGCCCCTGAGGAGCCACGGAGGGGAGAGGCAGGGAGAAGAGCCGGCTCCGCTAGGGGCCGCGGGTGGGGGTGCCCGGGGAGGGGTGTGGCAGCCGAGGCCCACGCGGGGGCAGTGGGGCCGAGGGCTGAAGGCCCGGGGCGGACCCACGCCGGCCGCTGCAGGTCACTGTGGGGGAGGGAGGTGCCTTGGGCCGGAAGGGCCAGCCAGTTGCCCGCTGACGGACGCCCTGCCCCGCAGGACCAGGCGGATGTGCGGGCGGCGGCCATCGCCCTGTACGGAGACGTCCTGCACAGCGGCGGCCGCAAGTTCCAGCAGCCACTCAGGGGCTACGCCTCCCAGGCCCTCGTGCCGCTGCTCGTCCACCTGACCGACTCCTGCCCTGAGGTGGTCACGGTGGGTGGCCTGCCCATGGCTCTGCTGGACGGCGCCCTCCCAACGGTCCGGGCTGGCCTGGGGAGTGGGTCAGGCCTCAGGCGTGGCCAGTGGAGACCAGCAGGACAGCAGGGCATCTGGGGGGCGGGGTCCGGGCCCACCTGGCAGGTGGCCCTGCAGGCGGAGGAAGGGACGGGTCACGCTCAGCCCCCCCGTCGCTAGCGCTCCCCTACACGCAGAGGGAGGAGCGGATGGGGGTGCGGATGGCTGGACAGGAGGAGGGAGGGTGGACGGACGGAGGGCAGGAGGAAGGGCGGCACGGGCCGGGGAGGCGGGTGTAGAGCGGGGTGTTGCTGGGGGAGGCCCACGGCCAGTCTGCTCAGGAGGAGGAGGGCTGGGCGCGCGGGGTGGCTGCCTGAGGGGGGCCCTAGCTGGGCCCTGGAGGCTTGGGACAGCCGGCCAGAGCCCCGGGCCTCCTGTGGGCGAGGACTCTGCTCTCCGAGCCAGCGGCAAAGTCGGGAAGGTGAGGGGGTGGCCTCGTGGGCTGGTGGACCCGGGGCCCTTCGTGGGCGCCCGGAGAGCAGGCTGGCTGCTGGGGACAGAGCTGTGGGCTCGGGAGGAGGCTGGGGCTTTAAGAGTGAAGAGTGACCATGGGGTGGCCAGCGCCCCAGCGGGCAAGGGAGGGTGGGCACTGGGGGTGATGGGCCTCAGGGTCCCCGTACACACGCAGGGGCGTGTAGTGGCTCCTCTCCCGGGGCTCCCCCGTCCCACGGTGAGGACCGGCTTGGCCCGGATCACCGGTCAAGACCTCACCTGCAGGGCGGTCTCCTGGGAGGTGCGGGGGCTCAAGTGCAGCCCCAGTCGCAGGGGCGCTGGGTCCTGAGGCCAGGCCTAAGGCCGCGGGAGCCCGGGGGGCCGGGATGGGGGCCATGCAGTGTTGGGGAGGCGGTGGGGATGGGGGCTGACCGGGCCGCCCGGCACACAGAGGGCCAAGTCCACCTTCCTGCGCTGTGCCATCCTGCTGCGGTGGGAGTTCCGGAAGGAGCTGTTCGGCAAGCTGGCGTGGGGCCAGGGTCCCAGCGCCGAGAACAGCGTGTTCATCTACATGGTGAGCTGACGCCGTCCCAGGGGGGCCGGGGTGCGGGAGGAGGCGCCATGTGCATCAGGGCCTCGGGGGTCCGGAGGCTGCTTGCCCGGCACCTCCGGGGCTCCTCCGTGGGGCGTGGGGCCCGGTGGGGGGCTGGGGCCTGGGACAGGGGTGCAGGGCCTAGGGCTGGGGGGTGGGTCCTGGGCTGGGGGCCGGTGGGGGAGCACAGCTTCAGCTTGGGGGGACCGGGGAGCATGGCTGGGCTGTGGGGGGCTGGCCTTCTGTGTCAGGGGGCTGTGCACGGTGGGAGCTCAGCAGGCGGAGCTGTTACCCCTGTCGTAAAAGGAAGTGGCCCTGGAGGAGGGAGTCTGGGAACGGGAGCACGCTTGGGGCTGTGGAGCGGGGCTGTGGGGTGCTCCTCCTCCCCGTCCCAGCCAGGGCCGAGCGGTGGTGAGCAGAGGCCGCGCAGGAGGCTGCGGGGATGGGTCCTTGCAGCCAGCACCCCGCAGAGAGTGGCCGCCCGGAGCCCAGGAGCCCAGCCGGCTTCTCCTGCCTGCAGATGGAGAGCAGCTTCGGCCACTACCCGCAGTTCCTCATGCAGGCCTTGGCTTACCTGGGGAGCCGCCACCGCAACCTGAAGCTGACAGCCATGAGGTTCATCGGTAGGTGCTGCCCCCCAGCCCCGGGCCGCCCCCTGCCCCGCGCCCGTGTCCTGGGGCGCTCCCGGGGTAGACAGGGTGCCATGCCGGCCGCCCACGCCCCGGCCCTGCAGGGACGCTGCTGCAGGACTATTTCACCAGCCTGTGCTTCTGTCTGAAGAAGAGCGACCTGAAGCTGCTGCGGAAACGTGAGCCGGGCCGCCTCCCCCAGCACCCGGGGCGCCCCCGCAGGGTGGGGCCACAGCCAGGCCCCCCGCCGGCCCCGCCCCGCCCCACGGGGTCACCGGCCCCCGCCTCGCTGCGCGGTCAGACCCTGGCTCTGCGCAGACTTGGAGATCCTCAAGGAGGACCCGGACTCCAGGTGCCGCCAGTGCTACCGCAGCTGCGTGGAGTGCGTGGAGGAGCTGGCCCAGTGCGTGAGCCGCTGACGCCGCCGCATCCCTCATTAAACGTGACGGAGTTTCCGCAGCGTCTCCGAGTCTCCCTGTGCCCTCCCGCAGCCAGGCCAGCCGGCGCCCGCCGGAGCTGACCGCCTGGAGTCCCTGGCCTCGCGCGGCCCGACAGGGCTTCCTTCAGGCAGGCCAGCAAAACTCCCGTCGCTGCCACCCAGCCTCGGGGCGGGCTGTCCTGCCCCTGCGGCCCCTCCCGGCCTCCACCCTTTCTCCCTCCCCTGCAGTGACCACTCAGGGGCCTGCCTTGGTCGAGGCCGGCCTCCCTCTGGCGCCGCCCCCTGGGTCTCTGGCCCGGCGGAGGTCCCTAAGGCAGCCCCAAGCCGGCCGCGGGTCCTGCGGGACCCTGGGTGACCCTGAGCCTGGGCCAGCTGACCCTGCCCGCCTCTGTCCTCCCATCCACTGTGGGCTCTCCCAGTGTCCGGCGCTCACACGGCCTCTCCCCCGGCCGCCTTCCTCCCTCCCTCCCTCCCAGGCCAGGCCGTGCCCTCAGCTGTCTGGGACCCCGGTCCTCGTGGCCGCCCGGTCCCGGCAGAAACCGGGACGACGGTGCCAGGTGACAGGCCTCCCCCAGGGGCCACCAGGAGCCTCTTCGGGGACCCCGCAGACAAGACATGGCCAGTTGCTGGGCTGTTTCAGGCCCAGAGGCCACCCGGGACGGCACCTCCCAGCAGGGAAGGGGAGCCTCCGGGGAAAGAGTGTAGGGGTGCAGGCTAGGACACCCACAGTCGGAGTCGCTCCATGGCCTAAGCGAAGGGGTCCCTGAGGGCAGACCTGGGGGTGGATCCGGTGGGGGGCCCGCGCAGCTGGTGGGGGTGGGGGCACTCTCCCAGAGGGGTGTTCTCGGCCCTCAGGGCCCTCTCCTGCCGCTGCACCGGGAGGGGCGCTGAGAGCAGGCCGGGGCCGGAGTGGCACAGGCTGGGCTGGGGGCCTGCGGCCTCGAGTGCCAGCTGGGGAGCGGGCCGCCTTTGGAGGACGCCGCCTTCGCCGGCTGGGTGGAGGAGGTCCCAGAAAGCTGCTTCCGACAGGCGGCCTAGAGAGGAGGCGGGGAGCGGAGGGACCGCGGCCAAGGCTGTGCGCCGGCAGGAAGCAGGGCGGCTGGAGGGGCTGCGCCGGGTGCGGGGACAGCCGGGGTGGAAGTTTCCACCCTCGGCAGCGCACAGACGAGACTCTCCGAAGATGCCTCCCACGAGCACACAGCCAGATCTTGGTGACGCAGTAACAGACTTAGGGGATCGCTGGCTCTGAGCCCCAGGCAGGTCCGCCCCTAGGGCCTGAAGCTAGGTGGGGCCGGCAGGGCGGGGGGGGGTGGGGGTGGGGGGGTGGCTGGGGGGACCCTGGGGCGCCCGGGCTGGTGGGGGGTGCGTCAGTGAAGGGGCGACCGCTGTAGCTGCCCGATCCCGGGTGGCCTGCGGTGAGCGAGGACGGGGTTGCTGGACACCACCGGTTGGGACGAGCGGACAGGACTGTCCGGTGTCATCTCGCTGCGTTTCCATCTCAGGTGCCGTCGGACCCCGAGCAAAGCAAAGACCCAGCAAAGACCCAGCGAGCTGGGGGCTGGGGCAGAAATCACGGCCGTCCCCGCCTCACGGAGCAGGGCTGGGGGCAGGGGCGGTGCTGCCAGCGGGTCAGGGCCCAGGCAGTGCGGGCGGGTGAGCCCGTGGAACAGACGCAGAGGGGTCTCCTTGGCTCTGCTCTCACCTTGAGTTGCGAACGCAGAAGCCCAGTTGGGCCCTCTGGGGAGAAGACGGGCTGGGCTGGGCCTTGGGAAAGCAAAGCCGCTTGGCCTGGGCCTTCCAAAGGCAGGCCCCGTGCCCCTCTGCACTGTGGGCAGACGGTGGCGGGCGTGTGGGCGCCCCAACCCCAACAGCGGGCCCGGAGGGTGGCCAGATGCCCCACGTCCAGCACGCACACCTGTCCGCCGCCGGGCCTCCGGGTCCCCCTGCAAAGCCGCCCCCACCGTGTCAAAGGGGCATCGGTGTGATGTGGGAAGCCTTGTTTTCGCTCCCCAGGGGTGCCGGGAGGCACAGGGCAGGCAGCTGGCCCAGGCCAGGGCTCTGCCTTCCCCTGGTGTGTCGGCACTGGGCCTGGGAGACAGGCAGCTACCGCAGGATGGGGGAGCAAAAACCCCAGCTTTCTAACCAGTAGGGGGGCCCTCTGAGCCAGAAATACTAGGAGGTCCCGCGTGGCCCTGGGAAGCAGCCAGCAGCCTGTTTAGGGGAACTCGTCCAGGGAGGCGGCCACAGTGAAGCCCTAAGCCACTAAGGCCAAGTGACAGTGACACCAGAGGGGAAGCGGACCAGGCTTCTGCGCCGCTGGCCTCTGTGGCCACTGCCTGCGGCCTGAGCTTGTTAACACAGAAGGCGCGTGGGCGAGGGGCGCAGGCCTGACTGGACACCTGAGCGTGTGCACCCCTGGGCCCCAAGGCTGGGGATAAAGGGCGGTGTCACCTGGGGAGGGTGCGAGCTGCTGTCTCCCTGCTGGCCGGCCCCCTGCTCACCATTAAACCCCGTGGGGAGGACGCCCAGGGCTCCAGAGCTCTGCAAATCACTAGAAGCAACGAGAACCTGGGGCGGGGGCCAAACAGACACACAAACTTGCAGGGCGGAGCTAAGGCCTCACGTCGAGGGAAATTTTTAGCTTAAAACGCTTCTACTAGACGGTAACCCAGGCTGAAAATCAACACGCCACGGGTCCTGCTGCAGAAGCTGGTTCTTATAACACGCCCCAGGGCCCGGGAGCAGCAGCGGTGTGGGAGCAGGAGGCGATGGAAGAGGCGCCCCATGGTGTAGCACCCCGAAGCGAAGCGCAGGACTACGATCCCACAGCTCTGGGTGACTCAGCCCGAGGGCGCTACTGTGGCTGGGGAGCGACAGCAGGGCTGAGGGGGGAGCGAGTGAGTGCTGGGGGCTGGTTTGGGGCCCAGGCGTGTGCCTGGGGAGGGCCCAGGCCCTGCACAGGCAGGCAGGGTGACGGGTGGGGCGCCCCTCTCGCCGGGGCCTGGGTCAGGGCTGGTAGGGTCACTTGGCCCTCTGGACGGCGCAGTCCCAGGCCCAGAGGCCAGCCCCGTCTTCCCTGAGTGTCCCTGCGGCTGTGGTGGGTCACTCCCCCGCTCTGGTCTCGGCCTCCTCCCCGCGGGGCCCTGCCTGGTGGCCGCCTCCACCCTTCGTCCAGGTCCGGCCCTCAGGCCCACGGCCGCCCCTGCAGGCCCTGCACGCTCAGGAGGTGATGCTGTGGAGGCCGGGGGTCCCGGGCCCCCCACTCCCCGCACAGCCCTCCAGGGGCCTCTGTCCACCACGTCAGAGGAGTGGATCGGGCGCCCTGGACGAAGCCTAGTGCTTTGGGGTGGCACAGGGCGGCGGGTGGGGGGAGCCCTGCCAGGTGGGGCAGCAGCCCATGTGCAGTCACGGGGCCGGGGGCTGGGACTGGCAGCGGTGTGGCTGAGGGACCCCCGCCACAGCCCCTCCCAGTGCCCTGTACCCCAGAATCCTGTGCTCTCCTGAGCCTCCAACCCACAGGAAGGGCCCCAGCCCTGAAGGGCCCTTCTGCTCAGACACCTCACCAGCCGCCCTGCCAGGCAACACCTCCAGCCCCCGCCCCCGCCCCCGCCCCCGCCCCCGGGGCAGTGTCCTCCAGGACGCCGGGCGCTCAGAGCCCCGCCAGCAGTCCCCCCTGTGCCCCAGACCTCTCCCTCTCCCTCTTCCTGGCCTGCCCCCCATCTATTTGGGAGGAGGGGAGATCGTCACTGCCCCCTCTAGTGTTTGAGGGAACCTGACCCTCAAGAGGGTCTGGGGGTGGCCAGGAAGGATGGAAGGGTGCAGTGGGGGACACTGTGGAAAGCAGAGAAGGGCCATTGAGGTCACGGGCAACTGAACCCCCCAATCCAGAGGCCACCCCCACCCACCCTCTGTCTCCCAAGGAGCTCCCATTGACGGAGAGGGAGGAGGGAGCTGAGGGGTGCTGCTGCCCCCACTTCCTGGGCTGGGTCCATATGGTGTCCCGGAGCCACCTGGAGCCCAGCGCTGCCGCCTCCGCTTCCGGGACAGCGGGCGGCTGGCGCCGCCTCGCCCCGGCCCTCACGGGGGTCTCTGCCCCTGGGAGGCCGGGCTCAGGGCCCTAGGGGTGCTCCCGGGAGGCCGTCTGCCTGGCTGCCCCTGAGATTTGAGGGGTGGGGTCTGAACTGAATGGTTCTGAGCTTCCCCACAAGTCAGGGCCAGTGCAAACGCCTCGCCCCACTGGCCTGAGTTCTGGGCCAGGCCCTCGCTCGGGGTCCCCGGGAGCCCCACAGGACGAGCAGAGTCCTGGCCCGGCGGCCCCCGGCGGGTGGGGGCGCCCCAAACGCTGACGCCAGGGCTATTCCTGGCCGCTTCCGGCACCCCAGCCTTACTTGGAGGAGCTTCCGCTGCGTGGGGCGAGTGACTGGCACATGCGGGAGCTATTCGGAGACGCGCCTCCTTTCCCGGTTATTTTTAGGGCTTGAGAAAATACTCGGGGAGCCCGCTGCCCCCACGCTCGACAAGTGCCGTCAGAGGGCTGGTCCCGAGGGCTCTGAGCCCCCGCGGATGAGGGGGCAACCGAGGCCCACAGGGAAAGGCCCCCGAGGTGGGGGGAGGCCCTGGCGCCCGCCCGCCCTGCACACTGGGGTCCTGCCACTGGGCCCCCCGCGTGGGCTGAGGGCCCCGCAGGGTGAACGGAGGGCAGGGGGCAGGGGGTCCCACCCACCCTCTCCCCAGTCTGAGAGGCAGCGCTTGCCCCCCGACCCCCCCCCCCCCCCGAGAGGTCGCCAGGGCAGGGGCAGGAGGGGCTGGGCCGGGAGTTCCAGCAGGGGGAAGTTTCTGGAACCGCCTCTGAAGACAAGCCCCGAGGAGGCAGGGCCTGGGAGGCGGTCGGAGCCTGGGGTCTGCCCAGGAGCCGCCGGCTGGGCGGTGGCCGGAGGTCAGAGGGTGGCTCTGAGGACAGGGCGGGCGAGAGCAGGAGCAGAGGACAGACCCTGCCCACGGGCACCAGGCCGGGTCCTGTGATGGGGCCAGAGGGACGGGCCGAGCGGCTGGAGGGGCGGCTTTGCGGGAAGAGCCTCTGCCACCTAGGGCAGGGCCACTGGGGGGTCTCCCCGGGCGCCGTGGACCTTGGTGGGCGGGGCAGGTGGGTGAGAGGGAGTGGGGGCCGCTCCTGCGCCAGGACTCCCAGCTCCTCCGGCGGCACGTCCCGGGGAGCCAAGACACCCGTAATCGTCCTTGCGCGGTGTCCACCCGCCCCTCTGGGCACACACCCACCCTCCCTCCGCCCGTCCTCTGTCCACCCATGCTCCCCTCGTCCATCCGCCATCGTCGATCATCACCCATCCTGCCTCCGTTCGTGCGTCTGTCCACGCACCCGTCCGGGCCACCTTCCTCCCTCCCTTCAGGCGGCCGCAGTCTGGCGTGGGGGACTGGCAAGGTCCTCGTTCTAGCCCGAAACCCCACAGCAGCCAGGAACGGTGGCTGCCATGGTGGGGGTCACCAGCACCAAGATCACTCCCACTAGCATTCACTATCTTTTTCTTTTTAAAAATTTATTTCTTTTATGCACACAAGAGCTGGGGTGCAGGCCAGAGGTGGGGCGGGGGTGAGAGGACCCCCCATACACAGAGTGGGGAGCAGAACAGGCGGATCCACTGACACACACTGCTGAGGGAGCAGCGGGAGACAGGAGGGGTCTGCCGCGCCCTGGGGGTCACTCCCTGGCCGGGGTCGCCCTCAGGCCGCAGTGGCTGGGACAGCTCCATGGTGCCAAGGCTGACCCCTGCGCCCCCAGGGAGGCCCCCGCCATTCTCGTCTTCACACCACCAGCACCGCCGCTGTCTCCTTCCCCAGCTCTAGTCCATCCACTGAGGCGTCACCGTGCACGTCACTGGACATCGTGGTGGCCGCCACCCCCCTGCCTCCCCCCGCTCAGCTGGTCTCAGCGTCCCTGGGGGCAGGTTGCCAAAAAACAAAAACAAAAACAACCAAACATTTGTACAAAGCTGCCAAGGCAAGGTCCAGGGAGATCCTTCTGGCGGCCCGGCCGCGCTGGACTCCAAAGGAAGGGTGACACCTGCTGGCGAGACTGCGGTGGGGGCCAGTGTGGGCAGGGCCCAGGAACTGGCGCCAGGAGAGCTGGGTTCAGGCACCGCCCCCCGGCCCCCACTACCCGCGGGCACAGGCAGCACCACTCAGCCGCTCTGCACCTGTTTCCTCTGTACACCACATCAGCGTCCCTGCCCTGCCCAGCGGCAAGAACACAGAGGTGGACACCTGGATGGACAGAGGGAAAATGCAGATTTCCTACCTTAGCTCTGAGCCCGCACAGCCTGGACCCGAGCACTGCGGCCCAGGGCTCACTGAGGTCACCTGGTCCTGGCCACCCCGCCCTAGCCCTGCTCATCCCAAGCCCTGACCTGCCACCCTGAGCCTTGGCTACCCCAAGCCCTGTCTACCCCACGCCCTGGTCCTGGCCACCCTGTGTCCTGCTCCCCCCAAGCCCTGACCACCCTGTGCCCTGGTGCTGGGCACCCTGTGCCCTGGCCACCCTGCGCCCTGGCCACCCCAAGCCTTGGCCACCCTGCTCTCTGGTCCTGGCCACCCTGTGCCCTGGCCACGCTGCCTGAGTTGGCCCTGCCTGCAAGGGGTGTGGAGCTTGGTCCACCTGACCTTGCTGCCTCTTGCAGTGGGTGGGGGGCCAGGAGCCGGGTGAGACCCTGCACCCCTCGGGGCTGTGGGGAGCCTGGCTGTGCATGCAGCTCCCCACCAACCTCCTCCCCTGGGCCTCAGCCCCTCGCCTGCACCCTGGACCAGGTGGTGGTGGAGCCCCAAGGGTGGGCCGGGCAGCCACATGAGCTGTGTGACCTCCATGGACCCAAGGGGCCTGGGCCACGGAGCGCACGCCCACGCCCATGCCCACGCTTGGGTCTCAGCAAAACCTTTGGGTCTTCACCGGAGTGCAGAGCTGGGCGATGTCCCTGGGGGCTGCCTGCCTGTGCCCAGCCATGCCTGCAGGCTTGCGGCCACCCGGCCACGGCTCCTGTAGCGTCAGGACCAGGGGCCTGTCCTTTGTCCTGGCCGCTCTGCAGGAGCAGCACCCCCATCTGCGCCTGCTGTGAGGACCCCGGGTGCCGGCCCCGCCCTAGCCCCCCAGGCCGAGCAGAGGGGAGGCGCCACGGGAGGGTGCTGTGGGGCCCACGCCCGGCCCCCGCTTTAGTTCAGCTTGGCACTGAGTCTATTTTGAAGGACATGGCTGGGGGCCAAAATCTCGGGTGCTGGGGCCTTTAAAGCCCCCCTGCACATGCAATCTGGGGGCGCCCGGGTGGGGGCACTGCCTGGGGCAGAGCTTGCAAGGCTCAGCCGGCAGTGCCAGCGGGAGTCTGGGGTGAGGGGGGGGGCGAGGTGCGCATGCTGCCCCCTGCTGGAGGCTGTGTGTGGGGCAGAAGCCCCCACAGCGTCTCCCCATGCACTGGGAGCCCAGGCTGGGCGGTGAGGGCCAGTGCAGGCTGCCCAGGGCCGGCCTGGACCCACACCCCACGTGGGATGGTAGCTCCATGTCTGCCCCGCATGCCCGCCCCATCGGTGGCAGTGGGCGCGGCGAGGCCTGGCAGGGGGGCCACGGCAAGGCCACCAGGGACCCCGGGAACTTGACCCCAAGTCAGCAGGCGCCGGTCGGTTGGGACATGGGGGCAGGCGTCTGGAGGAGAAGGTGGGCACCCCAAGGCCAGCAGGAGGAGGGTGCCCCAAGGCCTTTGTCCTCCACAGTCACCCAGGCACAGGAAACCTGTGACTTAGAAGCTACACGGCATGGGGGGGTTGGGGTGCCTGGGGACCCCTGGCGCCGCAGCTGCAGCGCCCCCCGCTGTCCGGGGAGGCCCGCCGGTGCGCGAGGAAGGCCACGTAAGAACAGACGTGGGTTTTGAATTCTTTTTATTGAAGAAAAGAAAAGGAGAGAAAAAATAGAGTCCCACCCTGTGTCCTCGAGTGGGTTCTGCCCTGCCCTGGGGCTGGCCTGCTCTCCACGCGGGCAGGGGCCGGGCCCTGGAAGTGTGGGGGGCGGGCTGCTTCCCGAGGGTAGGGGGGCTAAAAAACGGTGCCAGGCCGGCTGGGCCGAGTGGGCCGGTCTTTTGCCGCGGCCGCTCGGCGGGCATCCTGGGGAGCTGGCCGCCCCTGGCCTGGCCCCTGTCCGCGCTGCCAGGCGCCGGGCTGGGCCCGAGGAGGGCGGAGTCTGAGGCACCTTCCGGCCTCTGGAGCCCTGTGCCTGCGGGGCCGCTGCCTCCTGTCCTGTCTGTCCGGTCTGGCTCTGGTCCCAGCACCGCCGGCCGCTGCCTGGCCGCCGTAGAGTGCCCTGAGGCCGGTGCGGGTCGGCTGCTGCCCGCGAGCGTGTCTGGCCCTCCCTGTGGCAGGAGCGGGCGGAGCAGCATCCCTCCTCCGTGGCCCGGTGGTGGCCGCCGCCCGCCCGCTCAGACCTCGGTCTGCAGGTCCATGACGTCCTGGCCCACCAGCGGGATGGTGGCGCCCGCCTTCTCCCACTCCACGCTGCGCAGCTCCAGCGGCGACGGCGCCAGAGGCTCCAGCTCCTTCTTCGCCCAGGCGGGCGTGCCGTGGGCCTTCCGGAGGCTCTCCCAGGGCCGCTTGTTGGGCGTCTGCTGCTTGTCCGGCTGCTGGGCCCGCAGCGGAGGGCGGGGGGGGACACAGAGGACGCCGAGTCAGCGCCTCCGGGCCGTGGGGCCACCCGGGAGCCGCTGCGAGAGCCGGGTCGGGCGCAGGAAGGACTGTTTGGAGGCCGCGCCGGCCCAGCACCCGCTTGGCTGCCCCTTCCTCCAGGGCGCCCCGGCCACGTGCCCTCCCGCACCCCCCTCCGGGGCCAGCCAGCCGTCCCCCGGGTCTGCACCAGCCGGGCTGCCGTCCTGGGACGGTGGCGAGCGGGGCGGGGTCAGAGGGGGGGCCGGCGCCCGCCTGGGCCCCTGGCCGCGCCCAGACCTTGCTGTCGGCGCCCGGCCCCTCCTTCTCCTTCTCCGCGTGCTGCTGCAGCTTCCGGTTCAGGTCCTGGAACATGTCCTGGTGCCGCTTCCGCGTGTGCATGATTTTCTGCGGGGCAGGAGGCCGGGTCAGCGGGGCCGAGGCTGCCACCTGGGCGGGGCTCCTGGGCCGGGGGCCCTGGGAGGGCCTGGCTGCGGCCGGCCTCCTCGGGTGGGGTGTGGGGGCAGGGGACAGCACGCACCTCAAAGTCCAGCTCCGCGTACCGCGACTTCCGCCGCTGTGGGGAGAAGGGGTTGTGTGCTCTGGCGCCGGCTCCCCGCGGCCGGCCGGGCCAGGCCTCTCCTTGCCCCGGACGGACGGGAGAACTGGCCCCAGATTGCCCTGCGGGACACGCCCTGGCCTAGGACACAGCCCTCCCTCGGGGGACGCTGGGAGCCGGCCTGGGAGGGGCCGTGGGGGAGGCGGTGGCCAGAGGGGGCCGGAGTGGGGGAAACACACCCCAGGCCCCCCAGGCCGTGACAGGTGGGGACGGCCCCAGTTCCTCCTAGCACTGGGTGAGCCCACCTCCTGCCCCAGGGTCGACCCCCATCCGGAGTGGCATCTCTTGCCCAGTGCCAGGGCCAGGCGAGAGTCCCCTCAGCCCATGCAGGGACACGGGGCCACAGCCGCATGTGGGCCCATGACAGAGCAGCCTGGGGCCTAGGGCGTGGACCCCAGGCGTGGCCTGGATAGAGGCCAGGAGGTGGACTCATGGCCTGGGAGGGCAGGGCTCCCGAGGGCGCTGGGCCTGGTCTCAGTCCCACAGGCCCAGGGGGCTTGGGGTCAGCTCCGGCTTCCAGGGAGGCCTGCGAGGGGCTCGCTGCACAGCCACTGGCCCATGGACGGGCTGGACTCGGTGCCTGGGCCAGCTCGTCTGGCTGGGAGTGCAGGCCGGGGCCCCTGCGCTCCGAAGTCAGGGCCCCTGGCGAGGCGGTCCAGGTCCAGTGTGGGCCGCAGGCTCCTGGGGGGCCATGGGCCTGGCCTGGCCAGCGGCCAGAGCGCAGACAGATGCTCCTTGGGTGGGGCAGGGGCGCCGGGCCCAGGCCACCTCCCCTCCAGCCGGGGGCCTCCTTCCGGGGTCCTGGCCTCGGACCCTGGCCACCGGGGTCCCGACACCCTCCCTAGCCACGCAGCTGCGGCCCTGGCTGCCTCACCTCCAGGGAGCTCACGGACAGGGTGGACACGTTCTCCTTCCTGCCCCCGGCCCCCGCGCCGGGCCCGGCATGGGCAGCAGGCTCCCCCGGCTCCCCCAGGCTGGGGGGCGCGGGCTCCAGGGAGGGCGGTGGGGGCAGGGGCGGCTGGGGGGGTGGGGGTGGGGGCGGCGGGGGCGGGCTGGGGGGCGCCTCGGGGGGCCCGCGGGCGGGGAAGCCGGCCTCAGGTGCCATGTTGAGGTGGATGAGGCGCGTCTGGGGCATCTGGTCGATGTTGATGCTGTGCTTGGGCTCCTCCTTGGGTTTGGGCCGCAGCGTGGCCGTGGCCGTGGGCAGGATCACGTAGCTGGTGTCCAGGGCCTTCTCCTGCGCCCGGCTCAGCTCCGTGTCCAGCTTCTTGAAGATGTCGCCGTCGCCGATGAAGGAGGACTTGGGCGCCCTGTCCTTCTTGAGGGTCAGCGAGTGGTTGGGGAAGTCGGGCAGCGGCCCGCCCGGGCAGTGGGGTGAGCCGTGCAGGCGCAGCTTGGACACGTTGGCCGGCAGGCTGTTGAAGTGGGGGGGCGCCGCCTTGGCGTGGGCCAGCTTCATCTTCTCCTCCTCGGGCAGCGACGGCCGCTTGAGTGTGCCCGTGATGGTGGCCGTGCGGCAGGCCGCGATGTCCTTGTTCAGCACTGGGGGACAGGCGGGGGTCAGGCGGGGCTCGCGGGGTCCCGCTGGGCCTGCTCTAGGCTACGCCCTGCCGCACCTGCCGGGCCCGCGAGGCCCCTCAGCTTCTCAAAGCAGGCTAGGACACCGGCCCCGCTCTGTCCGCCCCGCACGAGGACAGTGACCGCCACCCACAGGGTTCTGTGTCCAGCAGCTGGGAAGGGCCACGGGGCAGCGACAGCCCAGGGTGTACGCAGGAGGGCTCAGCGGCCCGCCCCGGCCCACACCCTGCCTCGCCCCTGCCAGGGACTCTTCCCCTGGGGCAGGAAGCCCAGGGCCAGTAGGAAAGTGCCCTCTGACACGCCTGCCCGGCCGGCCCTCCTCTTCTCTGATGGCTGCGGCTTCCTGGGCCGCCATCCCTGCCTCACTTATGCCCCCGTGTCCCAGCGCCGGCTCCCCACGCCTCACAGGGTCCAACAGGCTTCGAGGCCAGTGCCCCCCAAAACAGGACTGAGACTAAGCTGCTAAGCATCTCCAAGTCTCGGGGTCACCTCTCAGGAACTAGGGCACGAGACCTGAGAGGGGTCCAGGAGACACGCTCTGCCCAGCTCCCGTTCAGCCTGACCCAGAGGCCGCCTCCTCGGGAAGCCCCCCGGAGCTCCCTGGCCCAGCTGACCCTCCCCACCAGGAGCCGCTCCAGCCCCGCCCCCACAGCTCTCTCCACAGGGGGCGCCTCGCAGCCACCTGCCGCCCAGGGCGGCCTGGCCAGTGGTCTTCCGTGCTGGGAAGGGCCTGCCTGTGGCTGCCTGGATGCGGCTCAGGGCAGCGCCACCAGGGGCCTTTCACAGCCACTGCCACCCTCGTGCACTGGCGTCCAGGGAGCTCAGCACCAGGCGAGGGCTCGGCGGAGGGCCCCTCTCCCCACTCCCACTGGTGTCCCCCCATCTGAACGCGTGACCCCACGGCTGGACTGACAGTGAAGCAATGAAGGCGACACAGAACGTGGGCCCTGCGGGTGAGCGGGTCGGGCAGGCGGAGGCCGGGGTCTCACACGGCCGGCCCGGCCTCCTGCCCCGTGAGGGTGGAGGTGAAGACCATGGGTCTGTGGGTGCTGAGCTGGGGGCACCACGGGAGAGGAGGTGGCCAGGCGAAGGGCCCCGCCAGCCTGGACGCCCGGCCACGTCTGAACTCTGGAGAGTTTCCTGGAGGCTCCTGCTGCTGCCTGTGGCTGGGATGCCCGCGGGTGGGGGCTCAAGGTCGTCACTGCAGGCCCCGGGGCCAGCCAGCTGCCCCTCTGCCCAGAGGGCCTGCCCAGTGTTGCGGGGCAGGGGTGGGATGAGGACAGACGAATGGATGGACAGACGCACAGAGAAAAGAAAAAGAAGCAGGTGGGCCCAGGCCAGAGCCCCCTGTCGCTCTCACCTGTCAGGCGCTCACCTGATCTACAGGCCAGATCCACGTCCTTCTCAAAGTCCGTCTGCAAGACAGAGACGGCGGGTGAGGCTGGGCCGGCGGGGGCGGGGGGTCCGTGCACAGGCCGCCGGCAGGACCCCGGGCCTGGATCTGCCGCCGGGTGGGCGAGGGCCCCGCGCAGCAGCCTGCGTGCTGCGGCGCCCATGCTGGACCCGGCGGGCAGCGGCTTCCTGCGGGCACCCACCGTGTGTCTGCAGTGCCTGTGCATCCACGCCAGTGTGCACACGCATGTGTGTGCGTGCCTCTGCGTGTGCGCCAATGCATGCAGTTCACTGCACGCACACGTGTGCACGCCTGGCCTGTGAGTGCACGTGTGAGTCCACCCGCCAGGTCTCCAGGTACTGGGGGGAGTGGGCAGGCCCCGCTGCGGCTTGCCCACGCGCCCAACCCCTGGCTTCAGTCTCCCTGGCCCCAGAGCCCATCCTCGCCATGCCCTGCTGCCCTCCAGAGGGCGGGGCCCCCACCGCCCAGCCCAGGACACCACCTGCGGGCACACGGGTCATGGGGACCAGCTTGTGTCCCCTCCACTGTCCGCACCACGGCCCTTGAGAGAGGGGGCGCGGCCAGGGCAGAGGCAGGGAGCCGGGGCACAGGGCTGCTGCGGGATGGGTTCCGGTGGCCCCAGCAGCCCCGAGCACCCGCGGCCCCGCCATGGCCCCGGCTCCAGGCGAGGAGGGGCAGGCGTGTGCTGGGCTCCACCTTCAGGGGCTCAGGGCCGCCCAGGCTGGAGCGTGACCGGCTGGTGGCTGTGCTGCCCCAGGGGACAGCAGGGCCTTAACTGCCCCCTGGAGGCGCCTTCCCTGCAAACCACAAGGACCCTCTGAGGTCAGAGGCCAGGCCAGGAGGAGGCAGACGAGGGACGGTCTCCGCCCTGGCAGCCCTGGGCAGGAACTGGCGTCTGCCAAGAGCTTGCCTGGAGCCTGCACAACCAGCACAGGGTGCTGGCACCCCAAAGGTGGGCGAGCACCACTGAGCACCCCACGGACACCCCAGTGCAGCGGGTGCCAGATGACAGGTAGAGGGTCTCCCAGGACGTTGCCGGGGACTGAACAGAAGGTCCTGGGGCTCAGGGGAGCTGTGGGGGAACGTCCCGGCGGGTGCCTGCCCCGGGGGTGCAGGGGCAGCTGGGCTGTGCAGGAGGCCCAGGGGCCACGTGGGGTCGGGGCAGGCCAGGGCTAGGCCCCCGGGGAGCCAGGCCAGCGGAGCAGAGGCTGCGAGGGTAAGGAAGGGTCCGGCTGCGGGGTCCGGCCGGGGCCTGGGCAGGGGCCTCCGTGCCCACACTCCACCCTCCGTCTCCGAACCTGGGGTCTGGGTTTCACCCTGGCGAGCCTGTTTCCCCACTGCTGGCTGGACTGGAGTCCCCCCAGCGGGCTTCGGGGCTAACAAAGCTCTGGCTGGAGGACGGGGAGCAGTGGGGTTTGGGGCGCCGGCGTGGGGCCCTACCATGAGCTGGGCGTGGCCATTCTGGAAGGAGCCCCCCGAGTCTCCGTTGCCCTCCTCCTGGCGGTCCACCACGCGGCACTTCACGGCGTCCTGGACCTGGGGGGAGGGTGGCCAGTGGGCAGGGCCGGGCGCTCGGCCAGAACCTCTCCCTCCCCTCCCAGGTGCTCTCTGCCCCTAGGGGCGGTGGGTGCACCCCATCTGTCCCTCCAGTCTGTCCCCAAGAGCCGCTGGGGCCAGGGGGCACCGTGACCTCTGTTTCCCAGCTTCTCAGGAGGCGACCCCACCCCCGGGGCCACAGGCCCCTCGGGCAGGGGAGGGCGCTGTGCGCAGGGGAGCAGCTGCGTCTCTGGGCCCCGGGCCTCAGGGACACAGCGAGGGCTCCCAGCATCAACGTGCTGGCCAGCTTGTCCAGGGAGGTGATGGGCGCCCCCACCCAGCACCCGGGTGGCGTCAGCAGAGGGCCCGCGGCCTGGGGCCACGACAGGCAACGGGGATAAATGGCGAATGCACCCAGGTTGAGCTCGGCAGGCTCCCTGGAGGAGGTGCGCTGAGTGGAGGAGAGGAGGGGGCTTGCTGGCCCCTGGCTCTCAGACACAGACCCACCGCCCGCGTGGCTCTGCTGCTGGGAGGGGCCGTGCCGGTCTGGGCGCCCCCACCCCACACAGATGGGAACGTCGAGGGCACCAGGCCCAGGGAGGGCAAGAAGCTCACCCCAGGCCACAGCGCCAGGGCCAGGCACCAGCTAGCTGCAGGCCCTGCGGGCGCACCTTACCCTTCCTCACCCCGCTGACCGGCCAGCCCCACAGCTGTGCCCAGCAGAGCAGCCATGTCCAGGGGATGCCCCAGGCCCTCCCTCCCCCCTCCAGGAGGGCCACCAAGCCAGCCTCCTGGCCCCTCTGCTTCCCCCAGGACACCGGGTCCATGCACCTGCCAGAGTGGGCCAGTGCCTGGTGTCCTCCGTGCGGGAGCCCGGCCCTCCCGCCGAGGCGTGAGGCTGGACCCCGGAGCCCAAGCTGGCCCACCTGGCAGCCTTCCGTGGGCACACATGGGGGGCATGTAGGCGTCCGCCCTGGCCCCTCGCCTGGCTTGCGAGGGTGAGGCTCCGGGGCACCTGGCTCTCCTGCAGCGGCCGGAGGCCGCCTTCAGCTACCAGCCCCCTGCGCCTCCTGCTCCAGTGGGCGTCCTCCAGAGCCCCCTCCTGGCCACTGCCGCCCTGGGCACGTCCTGATTTGCCCGGCCACAGGGCTTGTTCCCCGGCGCCGCACCCTGGGCGCTCCTGCCCACCCCCCGCCTCGCGCCACAGGACCTGGGCGGCTGGGGCCACGTGGCTGGGGCTGGCACCCCAGAGCCCAACAGGCTCTGTGTGGGCCGGAGCCGCTGTGGGGGCCGTGTCCGTGGGCTGGCGGGCCAGCAGCGGCGACAGGGTGGGGAGCGGGCTGGTCTGGGGCTTCTCTGCGGATGGGACGGCGTGGGGGAGGCAGGGGGGCTCTCCCGGGCCCGCCACGTTGAGCGCGCGCCCCCGCGACCAGCACCAGCGCCGTCCTCCCCTCTGTGCTCCCGTCAGCGCCCCGGGGGGCCCGGCAGGGCTGGCCAAGCGGTGACCCGCGTCAGCAGCATGGGGTGCAGCCCCATCTTCACCCCAGCGTCCCCGGCCAGGCCCACACACCCTTGGGACTCCCTGCTCACCCGTCCCAGCCGCCCCTTTATCCTTTGAGTCGGGATCCCTTCGCCCCTCAGGCCTCCGCCGCCCGGTCACCAGCCCCTCTTCACCCTGCAGCCCTGAGGGCGGCCGGCTGGGGGCGGGTTTGGGCAGCGCCGCAGCCAGGCTCGAGCGGGGGCGAGGGGCGGCCCGGCCCAGGACGACACCGGGGCGGGCAGGGCTGCGGGGCGGGCCTGCGGTGCCCCCGCCTCCCCGGCACCCACCTCCCTGCGCAGGATGCAGTGCACCATGACTATGACGAAGCCCTCCAGCGAGTCGAAGACGGCGAAGAGGATCTGGAAGAGGGCGGAGCGGCGGTCGGTGACGGCCAGCACGGCCGACATCCAGGTCAGCGCCAGCAGCGGCAGCACCACGCAGGAGCTCCACAGCGAGGCCCTGTGGACGGACCGGCGGCGGGTCAGCGCTGCCCGGCCCCGCCCGCCCCGCGCGGCCGCCGCCTGACCCCCGCCCAGGCCCTCCCCGGCCAGCCTCGTTGCCTCCTCCTGGGAGCCTCCCAGCGAGCTGGGGACGCAGGAGGTCCCGAGCCTGGGGCGGAGGGGCGCTCTGGGAGGGCAGCTTTCTGAGCGTCCGGGCGCGGCTGGCAGGCGGCCCGAGGGGGAGGCTTCGCTGGCTCAGCTCCCGGGTCCTCAGACCCCCGAGCAAGGGGGCCAGGCCCCAAACGCAAGGTGGCCACGGGGGAGGGGGTGCTTGGCCAGGCCTCTGAGCTCTGGACAGAGAGAGAGGGGGAGAGAGCGGGGACGGGGCTGGGGAAGGGCGAGGGGCTGCGAGGAGACAGACAGACACAGGCACGGGCAGACAGACAGACAGACAGGACAGAGACCAACGGGCGCTTCCTCCTGCTCTGCCCGCCCCCAGTGGAGGGTGTCCTCTGCCGGGCTGCCCCGCCCGCCCCCAGGGGCAAATCCTGGAGGCACCGGCCCCCAGCACCACCGGCCGCCCGCCCCCACCCCCCGCGCCTTCTCCAGGGGGGTGCGGCCCTCGAGGGCTGCACAGGACACCCCGGGATGGCTGCCCCGCCCCGCTCTTCGTCCAGGGCAAGGTCTCATGGACCCCGTCGCTGCCCCCAGGCCCGTGGCCCCCGCCGTTGGTGCGAGGGGTGGACGGAGCAGGGTGGCTCCCGGAACGGTGTCCCCACTGCAGCTGCACCCCTCCATGCCCGGGGAGACCCACCTGCATGGCTGTTGCCCCAGCACGCGGGGAGGGCGCCCCCTGCCCCTTCAGAGCAGACTGCCCGCCCCACCTGCTGCCTGGCACCCTGGGCCCCGCCTGTAAGCGACTAGCCCTGGGTGTGCAGAGCGGGGCCCTGCACCCCGAGACTGGCCGTGGGACGATGGGTTCGCTGCACCCTGAGACAGGAGGAGCCGGGCCCCACAGGCTTGCCCGGCGGGAGACCACCCTGCAGCCCTCCCTGCCCACACTGCCCCGCTCTCTGGTCCCCAGCCCCCCACCTCCCTCTCAGCCAGACCCAGGTCAGCTGAGCAGACCCTGGCCGCTGGGGGGCGCTGCCCCAGAACCCAGGGGACTCTGACCACACACACTCACCCCCCGCAGACGCGCGCATGTCCACACACACCAGCAGTCGCCTGAACGCTTTACACTCACATACGCACACACATACCCTGAGCTCATGCGCGCGGCTGTTCCAACTCTTACACTCACATGCACAAGCATGCACGTGCATTCTTGCACTCACGCCCGCAGGCTCACATGTGCATAGACACACCCATGATGGAGCTCACACCCACGTGCACGGACACACACACGCCCTTGCACCCTTGCACACACAAACATGCATACCACACACTTCCACAGCGCACACTCATGCAGCACATGATACACTCCTGTGCTCACACACTCGCATGGGCCACATGCCCACACGCTGAAAGGCACACGCTGTGCCCTGCGCACACCGGCCTCTCTCCGGCCCCCACGCCACCCTGGCACCCCGCGCCTGGCCACCCCGTCTGTCCCGTGCCATGAGGTGGAGGCTGGCAGCGGGGCCTGGCGGGTGCAGTGGGTACAGGACGGGAGACGCGGTAGCCGGAGGGCGGGGAGGCGGGGCCGGGGCTGCAGGGCGGATGGCAGGAGGGACAGCGGCCACAGGAAAAGCCTGACAGCGCAGCGGGCGGCGGCACTAACATGGCGTTACTGGCAGCTTCGGAGGAGGCGGCGGCCGCAGAGGGGGCTCCACACTCGGCACATTTGAGAGCGCACCCGAGGGGGGCCCGGGGCAGCTGACTGCAAGTGAAATTAAAGTGCTGAAACAGAAGCAGACGCTGTTTTCGTGGCAACAAGAGGAGGAAGAGAAAGTGAAGCCGGCCAAATGGCGTCCAGCTGGGCCTCCTGGGGCAGAGGAGGGGTCCTGGGGGGCAGAGGAAGGGTCCTGGGGGGCAGAGGAAGGGTTCTGGGGGGCAGAGGAGGGTCCCTGGGGCATAGGATGGGTCCTGGGGGCAGAGGAGAGCCCCTGGGGGCAGAGGAGGGGTTCCTGGGGGCAGAGGAGGGGTCTTGGGGGCAGAGGAGGGGTCCGGTGGGGTAGGGGAAGGGTCCTGGGGGGCAGAGGGGTCTTAGGGGGCAGAGGAGGGGTCCTGGGGGCAGAGGAAAGTCCTGGGGCAGATGAGGGGCCCAGGGGGTGCAAGTGGGGGCAGGGATGACCATGTGTGCCTGAGGCACTAGGGCCTGGGAGGTCAGGACAGGCGCGCGGACATCTGGGTTGGCTGCAGGGCCGCTGGCTGCCCACAAGGCCCTCCCCACTGTCCCAGTCAGGACAAGGGGCCCGCCTGCTGGCCGGTGGCATCTGGGCTGCCCAGCAGGCGAGCCTGCGGTGCTGTGGGGCTGGTGGTCTGCAGCGCGGGGCTGCGTGCAGGGAGTGGGGCCTGGGCATGGCGGTGGGTCGGGGCACACCCCGGGACAGCCCCCTCTCCACACCCAGGAAGGGCGAAGTGGTGAGGCCAGGCTCGGCTCGCTGACCAGCCTGCTCCACCGTGAAAGGGGGCTGCGAGGTGCCCGCCGGGGAAGAGCCCGGCCAGACCGCACCCGACGGCCTGTGTGTGGACCCTGGCAGCCGGGCCTGTGCCGTGGCCTCTGCCGAGGAGCGCGTGTGGGTGACGCGGAGGCCAGGGCTGCCCACGCTGGCCCCCCATCGACCAGGATGGGGCCCGGGCCCCACCACCCATGGCCACGCAGCAGGCCAGGCCCCAACCCCAGAAAGCAGGTTTCTGGGCGGGACCAGACCAGACGGCCGAGGGCCCCCCGGGAGGACCCGCGGCTCTCGCTCCCTGGGAGGGGGGAGGAGCAGGAAGAGCGAGACAGAAAGACAGAGGGAGACAGACGGACGGACAGAGACGGGGCGAGACTGGCATGGGGCCCACACAGACGCCAGCCGGGCGGGAGGACGGACGGGGCAGCAGAGCACGTGCGGGCTCAGGGGGCAGGGCAGGGGCGAGGCCGGGCTCGGGCTGGAGCGCCCCCGGCCACACTCCCGGCCGAGGACACCGCTGTGTCCCCCCTCCTCAGGTCACCACCCCCACGATCTGGGGGGGGCCGCCGGGGTGGGGTGCCCAGAGGCGATCGCTCCCCTGAGTCTGATGACCTTCTCGGTCACCCGCCCATCGCTGGTCAGACTGAGGCACAGAGCAAGGCGGGGGGGCCGTGGTCCAACGCGAGCGACCTCTGACCCAGCCCCGCCGGCTCCGGGGCCCAGGGGTGGCGCGTCCTACCCTGCCCGCTCCTTCAGCTTCTTGTCCGTGATGCCGTCTTTGGACACGAGCTTGTTGAAGACCAGGATGCCGATGACCATGTTCACCTGCGGGCGGAGGGCAGGACTGGGCGCCGAGCGGCCGGCGGAGGCCGGAGCCCCAGCGGAGGCCCCCAGGCTGGGCATGCGGCCGGGGCCACGGGGCCCCCCCACTGGGGTCGCAGCCTGGCCCTGGGGGCAGGACATGAGGACTGGGCCCACCCCGCTGGGGCTGGGGGGACACGGGACAGTCTCAGGGACCCCCTGTCTGGACTCTGGCGGGGGCCACAAGGATTGGCCAGGCAGCCTTAAGAGACCTGGACTCAGAGCAGCCTCCTGGGGGCGCCTCCCTGAGTCCGGGCCGGACCCGGAGGCCGGCACCTGCCCTGGGGTGAGTTTGTCTGAGGTGAGCCCCCCGCTGCTCCCCCATCCCAGGACTCCCTGCCAGGGGCCTCTGCAGACCGTGAGGCCTCCCTCTTCTTGGCCTGCTGGGTAGGCTGGGAGGCCCTGATGCCCTCTCCTGGGGTGCCCACGGGCAGAGGGACGGCCGCCCTGCAGGATCCTGAGCTCTGCCGCTGGCATGGGGCCCAGAGGCCCCCGGAGGCTGAGGTTCCTGGCCCCACAGAGGCAGGCCGGGCCCTGCCCCCGAGAGGAACAGCTTTCCAGACTCACCGAGCCGCCGGCTGGGGGCTTCTTCCGGGGCACCCCGCTTTCTGATATGGCCAGGGCAGCGGACGGGACGCTGGCCACTGCCCTGCTGGAGCGGCTCTCGCTGGGCTGCCCCCGGGTCCCCTCTGCCTTCTACACCCATGGGGGTGGGGCTCCCGCTGCCACCGCCTGCCTCTCTCACCCCTTCTGGAGCGCCAGCCCTCAAAATGGCGGCTGCCATTGATGTGCCAGCATTGAGATGCGGGGCACGTGGCCGCTCCCGCTGGTGCCTCGGGAATAAAGGGCTGGGATTCCAGATAGGCTGCGGGAAGGGTCTGGAGCCCCAGGGACGTGGCCAGCAGCCCCCTACCCACCCAGGCTCCTCCAGCTTGCCCCCCGCAGGCTCACGGCCCCAGGCCCACTTTTCTGTCCAGTGTCTGGCCCCAGGCAGGCGGCAGGCCCTGCTGGGAGAGGCCCAGGCAGCGGGACGGCGGGTGCCCTGCCCGCTCCGATGGGAGGGTTTGCGGAGGAGAGTGCCCGCCGGGGCGGGGGGCGGGGGGCTCAGACTGTCCCAGCAGCCCGGCTCGTCCACCACGGACGGCGACCAGGGCCGAGTCAGGGCCGTCCTCCTGCCAGGCCCCCGCTCTGGCAGGGGCGGCTTCCGGCGGCCTCACCCTCTGCCGCCACCGGCCCCAGCACCCTCAGCAGATTGCCGGACCCTCCCCTGCGTCAGGCAGCCCCCTCCGTGGCCCCCTGGGTGTCGGCCGGGGCCAGCAGAGCCCGACGGCCCAGGCCTAGCCCCGACGGCCGGCAGGCGGGGCCCGCGGGGCAGGGGGTCCGTACCAGCACGACAGCCGCGGCGGGTCCCACGAAGGCGTAGAGCAGCCCCCCCTCGAGAGACAGCCAGCAGCTGCGGAGGACAAGGGCGGTGAGCGGAGGGGGCCGCCCCGCCAGCAGGGTGGGGGTGCCGGGGGCGGCCAGGGAGCGGGCCCCGCGAGGGCACCCGCCAGCAGGCCTCCCCACTCCTTCAGCGTCAGGGCCTCGAGCCCTTTTCACAGAGGAGCGGCAGCCCGGAGCGGGGCCCCACACGCAGCAGCTGCGCTGGCCGGGGAAGGGGCCCTGGGCTGCACCCCCCCCACCGGGCAGCCCGCAGAGACGCTGCCACCTCGCCCGCCCTCCTGGCCGTGAGGCCGGAACTGGGGACGGGCCTGGCCCTGGCCTGCCCACTCAGCTCAGGCCCAGGGCCCAGCATCTGGCCCCTGCCCGGCCCCTTCCTCATCCCGTGGACACCACCCGAGTGGCCACAGGGGCCTCCAGCCCAGTGAGAGCCGCCCTGCCTCACACTGCCTGTCCCAGCGGCCCCTCCGGCCCCAGCGCCCACGGAGAGCCCCATCTCCCCGCCAGTGGCGCTCGCAGGGCGGGCCCCTCCCCTGCAGGGGCGGCGTCCCCACTTCCCTCCCGCGCCCCAAGAGCTAAGCAGCCCGGGATCTCCGTTCCTGCCCACTGCCTGAGGGAGGCGCTGCGGGCCAGCCATGAGCGTCAGGCCGCCCCGCCCTCGGGCCGCACCCCTCCTTGTGGCGGAAGCCACATGCCAGGTCCAGGGCCAAGCTTCCGGGCCCTCACCCGAGGGCGCAGGGCCGGGCCCAGCGGACATCACTGAGAGCCACAGGACATCAGGACATCACTGTGAGCAGCGCCCCTCCCTGCCCTCTTGCCAGCACATGCACAGGCCAACACCTCTGGTGCCGGAGGGGAAACTGAGGCTGGCAGCGGCCAAGCCCATCTAGTCACCTGAGGAGGAGGCACGAAACCCCGAGCCCACTTCTCAGGCCCACGGCTGGGTGGGGCTGCTACGGAGGAGGAGCCCAGGGCCCACATGCCTTGCCTGGGCCTCCTCTGCCCTGCAGGGCCGTGGGCGGTGGGCAGGCAGGGGCGGGAGGCTCAACCAGCCCCGTCCTACTCACTAGTTCATGGTGCTGTACCCTCTGGCCTTGGTGAATCCCACGGAGATGGCCACAACCAGTGCGGGGAGCCCTGGGGAGCACAGGGCTCGGGGTTGGTCCCGGAGCCCCGCCCGCAGTCCCTCCCCCTTCCAGGCCAGCAGGGGCGGCGCGGGACGAGGGTGTGGGGTGCAGGCACCAGCCCTTGACGCCCCAGGAGGGTGATGTGAGTGTGTAGGGAGGGGACGAGGCGGGCGAGGAGGCCCGCGGTGGGCGCACGTGAGTGTCAGAGGGAAGGCGTCTGGCATGAGTGGTCCCCAAGGGATGTCCAGGGCTCACACCCAGCCTGGCTGCCCTGGGCAGCCCCGGGGGGGGGGCAGGGCCTGGCAGGGGGCGGCGCGGGGGCTCACCCCAGCCCAGGCAGAGAAAGCGCTTGCGGATGAGGCGGTTCCGGAGACGGCCAGTCACGGCCATGTAGGACTGCCAGGCCTCGGTGAGCACCCAGCAGAAGGACGACAGGAAGAAGAAGTGCAGGAAAGCGGCCACCAGCGTGCACACCACCTGGGGGCGGTGGGGGGCTGGGCAGGGGTGGGGGTCCTGGCCCACGCCTACCCCGAGCCCGAAGTGGGGCCACCGCGGTCACCTGTCCTGCCCTGGGATGGCCGCTGCTCCCTTGAGTCCCCTGGGGGGCCGCCAGGACAGGCCCCCTCCCCCCGCATCCAGAGGCACAAAATGCCCCCCAGGGCCTGAAAGGTCACGGCCCCCGGCTGCACGGCCGGCTCACAAGCTCACGTAGCCTGCCAGAGTCCCCAACGGTGGGGCGGGCACAGGAGCCTCGCGGCCCATCTCAAAGCACCAGCCCCAGGGGGATGCGGCACCCCAAGTCTCCATTCCCATCCTGGCAGGTGACAGCCCCCAGGCTGCTGGAGGAGAGGGGAGGACCCCACAGGGCCCACATCTCTGCCCTTGGTGGCCAGCAGATCCAGTGTCCAAGCCAGACGGCCACATGACCAGCGCCACCCCCGGGAGATGGGAAGGGCCACCTACCTTGTTGCGGGTCTGGGTCTGGCCGATGAGGATGAGGGCGTTGGAGGAGATGATGGACAGGCAGAAATTGATGAGGATGACAGAGCGCTCAGAGCGGATGTACCTGCGGGGACAGGACGCACGGCCAGTGCCCAGGGGCCTTGCCTCCGTAAGGGCCGGGCCCGGGTCCCGCTCAGACCCCCGCCCCCAGACAACTCCGTTCCACCGTCCGCGTGCCCTGGGACCCGCCAGATCTCTGGGCCCCGGGCTGACGCCCTGTCCTCGCCCGAGTCCGCTGCAGGAGGAGTGCTGGGCTATCTGACTGCAGGGCGGTGCGGTCCAGCCTGGTCTCTGTAGAGTCAGGGCAGAGGACAGCGCCTGCCGCTCAGGCTGAGACCGGGATGAGGAGCAGACCGGCCCCGGCCACACGGCTCCTACAGCCCCGCGCTGAGCAGCGGGCACAGGCCGTGCCTGGGAGATGCGCAGTGGGCAGCTGCCCTGCAGGCCTTGGACAGCCCACGCTCCCTCCCTGGGTCACCCTCTGCCATATGTAGGGGAAGCCCCAGGAGGGATCCAGCGACCCCCAGGACTCGGGACACTGGCGGACCAGCCACCAAGAGAGTGACAGGCAGCAGAGGAGGCACCTGAGGCCGGTTCTGGATCAGCTGACCTCCCAGGGCCCTGTCCTGGGGCAGGACAGAGGGGGCGGCGCCTGCTGCTCCCAGGCACAGGGTCACCATGAAAGCACTGACCCCCCGACCCCTAATGCACATTGACCTCAGGTCCTGCCCTTGAAGCTGCACACAGGAGGCTGACCTTGACGTCACCCTCCCTGCCCCGGGTCTCTGCTCAGTGGGGCTGCAAGCCGGGCCTGGGGGCACAGTCAGTCCCCATGAGGCACACGCTCCTGGCGGACCTGGGCACACCTATGGCCACCAGCCACTCAGGCCCAGCCCTGCACATACCTCTCACCCAGCACTGCTGACCAGTCAGCGCCCTCCTTGCACACATCACCCCACAATTCCTGGGGTCCTGCGCCCAGGGGTGAGCCCTGACCCCAGCCACCCCTACCTGGCACAGCTGGGCTAGCAGGCTCCTGGCCCAGCTGAGGGTCTCCAACCTGCCACCCGGCCCCGCCCACCCGGCCCCGCCCGGCCCCGCCCACCCGCCGCGCCCCGCCCACCTCCACACGGACACGTAGATGATGATCAGCATGAGCAGGGTCAGGGAGGACACGCCGCAGCCCACGATGAGCGTCACCGAGGGCACGATCACCTTCTCCATGTTCTGCCAGGTTCGGGGGGACAGCGGGAGTGAGGCCCGGGAGAGCCCCGAGGGTGGAGGGGCACAGCGGGGCCTCCCGCGCCCCCTCTTCTCAACAGACCCCAGCAGCCCTGCACCCGCGCCCCCCGGTGCCTTCCGGTCTGCACTGCCCCATGAGGGGCTCTGTCCTCTGCGCAGGGCGGGGCACCTGCCAAGTCCGCTGGCAAACCCCCGCCCCCCACTCGCCCGCGCCCACGGGCCCAGGGCCGCGCGGGGCCCTCACTCCCAGCGGTCGGGGAGGCCCCGCCACGCCGCCCCAAGGCGCTGGCCGTCCTGGTGCTGGGACGCCGGCCGAGAGAGGCCTCAGCCAGCACCCCCACACTTCACCTCCACGCCCTCCAAATGCAGGCCCCCCGCCCCCTGGCCGCGCACAGCCGCGCCCCAGGAGAAAGCCCCCGTGGTCCCTTGCCACGGCCGCCCCACGGAGCCCCGGCTCCCACGCTCCAGGCCGGCCCCTCACGCCCTCCGCCCAGGCCCCGCAAGGCCTCCCCACCCGCGGACAGAGGATTCGTCAGATGCGACCAGAGTCCCCTGCACCCCCCAATTCTCCCAAAGCTCCGGGCGACGCCCAGATGTGTCCAGTGCCCCGGCTCTGTCTGGGAAGGCCAGCGGCCTGGCCCTGCCCATGCTCCAGCAACACCTGGAGAGACCCGCCTGGCCGCTGGCCGCCTTCCTGTTCCTGCCTCAGGGCCCGTGTGCCGGCTCTTCCCGCCCCCGGGACGCCCTCCGGCCCTTCTGACCTCAGCTTGTCATGCGCAGAGGGGCCTCAAGCCCCAGCGGACCCCTCAGTTCCCACCACAGCCCCCAGCACAGCCTTGAGCAGCCCAGCTGGTCCATGCTGTCCCCAAGTGACCCAGGGCTGGGAGGTCAGTGGCTTAGGAAGGGGTGGGAGGCAGAGTGACCTCAGTCAACATTTCCAGGACACCGGGCTGGCCGAGAGCCGGCCGGCCAAGCGGGTCAGAGGCGGCCGGTTGAGCAGCTCACACCTGCTCCACGCCATCTGCCTCCGTCTGCTCTGCTGGGCCGGGCAGCCCCGCGCCCGCCAGCCTGACCACCTGCGTGCCGCTCCCTCCTCCGCCTCTCCAGCCAGTTACCCCTCCCTCCAGACAGCCAGGCCCTGCAGGCCCTAAGCAATATGGGGAGAGGACAGGTGACAGAATGGGAGGGTGGGGGTGTTCGGGAAATCCAGGCCTGTTGGGACTTGACCTCCGGGGCAAGAGACTGGCCCTAGCCCACACAGACACAAGGCGGAAGCTACCCAGTCTCCTGCAGGGACCTGCACTTGGCCTGGCCCTGTGCTGCCCCCGGACCTTTGCACATGCTGCCTCTGGCCCAGTGCGCTCCCCTGACCTCACAGAGCTGCTCTTCCCCAGCGCAGAGGCCACCGCCCCACCGAACATCTAGTGGAACCAGGCCCAGCTTCTGGGCGCTCTCGCGGGCTGTCCCGCTTGTGGCTTCTCTCAATGCTTGTAGCTCCACACGCACGAATTCTCTGCTCCCCAACTTTTCTGAAACACCCTGGAATCTTAGGAGCCCTGATTATGGATGTCCTTCCTACGGCACCGTCCCCACCAGGCCCCACATGGCGTGGTGCACATGTCACACAGACAGCACCCGGACCCACACAGGCTGGCACTGGTCACACATGCAGCCCTGACCCTGGTCACTCTGAGCCCTGACCATGGCCACCCTGAGCCCTGACCATGGCCACCCCAGGCCCTGAACCTGGTCACCCCAAGCTCTGACCCTGGTCACCCCAAGCCCTGACCCTGGTCCCACCCTGAGCCCTGACCCTGGTCGCACCCTGGCCCTGGCTAGACCGGTGGCTGGTGCTGGGCCCCTCACAGACACACCAGCCGGCTGTGCTCCCACACACCACTCCACGCCAGGCGGCGCTGGGTCCATGGCCCTCACCTGTCAATCCCCCGCAACTAGGTAGGCGGCACCTTCCCATCCCAGATGCGACCCAGAGCAGGTACTCAGGCTCCAGCAGCAGCGGCCGCAGTGGGTGTGGCACTGTCCGCGCCGGGTCCGCAGGGCAGCCCGGGTCTGGTGCCACTCACTCCCCACTTGGCCCGGGGTGTCATTACTCTCGGGCTCCCCATCTCTCCTGTGTCCCTCAGGTCCTTGGTGCAGATTCCACCCCGGAGGCCATACCACACCCCAGGGTGCCCACAGCCTCGCTGGCACAGACCCGAATCCCTGTGCCCGCCCCGTCCCTCCCACCCTGGCAGGAGCAGGAGCGGTCAGTAGCCCCATCTCTCCCCCTGGCCAGGGCAGCCCCGTCCCGCATGCCCACTCTTCCCTGGCGGCCGTGCCCCCTCCTAGGGACGGCCATCATCCTTCCCAAGAAGCTGTGCTGGCAACCCCACTCCCCCTCAGACTCCCACTGCAACCCCCGCCTCCCGCATGCCTCCCAAGGCACTCTGGGAGCTGCTCCACCTGTCCCCCGCCGGCCCCGTGGCCCTCAGGGGCGGTGCTGGGGTCCAGCACGGTGAGGGGCTGCGTGGCAGCCGTGGCCCCTCAGCTCTGTCCCTCCTGGCCCCGCTCTGGGGTCACTCTGAACTGGGCCAGAGGTGTCGGGAGGCTGCCCTGGGGTCTGCGGGCAGCTGCCGAGGGAGGGGCTGAGCCTACCTCTGCCCTGAGAGGGTCGCAGGGGCAGACAGAGGGCTGCGACCCCATCTCACAGGGGGAGGGGACTGAGACTCTGGGCTGCCTGCCCCGCTGTTGGGCTGGGGGCCCCGCAGCCTCACCCTCCGCCTGGTCTCCTACATGAAGCCGGCCCCGTGCTCCAGCCTGCGTCACGCCTCTGTGCGCCCCGCGGCAGCAGGTCAGGCTGGCACGGGAGTGCCCTGGCTGTTGACCCCACCAGGGTCTCAAACCTTCCCAGACTGGGCTGTGTGCTGGCTGCCCCCCACCAGCCCCCTGGGGGCAAGCTCAGAGCCCCTGGGAAGGCTCTCCATGCCCGGCCCCACCCGGCCCCGGCGCCTCGCCTGGCAGGCTCCCCATGCCCAGACCCCCACCAGGCGCCGCCGTCCTCAGGTGGGCGCTGTCCCTGGAGTCCCCTGCCAACTGCTCATGCCTCACAGCCCCGGGAGTGACCCAGGACCACCTCCACCTCCCGGAGGGGACACTGAGGCTGCAGGCAGGTGGAGAAGGCATAGTCGGAGGCACTGACGCTGGAGACAGGTGCGGGCGCCCCACTCCACAGCGCCCGCCCGCCCCCAGGCCTCCTCACACACTGGGCGGAGAAGCCCCGCCCCCAAGGCCAGGGTAAGCAGGAGACCTTGGCGGCTCCCTGCCCATCTAGGTGCCCCTGGAATGTTGGCCACCGATGCAGAAAACCCCACTTCCAGGCCCCCGGGGGTGCTGGCAGCCCCCTCTGAGACCCTGACTCCCAAACCAGCGAGAACAGGAAGGGCCTGGCAGGGGTGGCACCTTGTCCAGCCAGACTCCCCTAGGCCTTGGGCAGCGCCCCTCCTGGGCCCCACGGAGCCCCGGCTCCCACGCTCCAGCCCCTGCCCACGGAGGGGCACAGTGGCGGTGAGCATGAGGGGCTCTCCGGTCTGTCCCCAGGGACCCGCTGACGTCCCCAGACCTGTGTCCCAGAGGACTAAGGGTGGGGGATGCTCTCTGTGCGCTGGGAGGCCCCTTCCACGGCAAGCCTGGGGTCCTGGGGGTCAGGCTGTGCCGCTCCATCCGAGGGGTCCGGGAAGACCATGGCCCCTCCTCCGACTGGCCCACAGCTGCCTCCCAAGGGCCCTCTGCGCCGGGCCTGGGCTGGGGTCTGGGAGCCTCCGTGGTGGGCCCCGTGCCCCGGCCCGTCCTCCCGGGGCCATGGGTGCGCCCAGCCCTGGCGTGAGAGTCCGCCAGGCTCCGTGGGCAGCCCAGCACCCAGGGCCCAGACAGAACTGGCCCCGATGCCGTTTCCATGGAAACCAGCGGTCCCCGCAAGAATCACAGAACAAAAAGGAGGCTTCCCAGCCGAGGGGGCCTTGGGGGGCAGATCTGGCTCGGCCCCCCACCTGGCCACACGGGCCGCCGGGGACACAGCCGCCCCCACAGACAGGGGCCTTGGGGGCGAGGACAGGCTCTGAGGAAGGCGCCCCCCCGCCGGCCGGGCGCAGCCTCCGCTGAGGGGGCGCGGGGCGCCCCAGGTCAGGCCCGCGCCCTCGGCCCAGCCGCCCGCCCCCTCCGGGGCGCCCGCCCCGTCCCCTGGCGCGGCCCCCGCCCCGCGACCCCCGCCCGCCCGCCGCCGCCCGGGGCTCACCGCGTCGGCGCTGAGCTGGGCCAAGATGGCGAAGGTGGAGAGCCGGTCACAGAGGCAGCGCGTCCGGAGGGCGTCGAGGGGCACCGTGCGGCAGCCGCGCCAGGACCAGGGCCCGAGCTGCGGGGGGGCAGGGGGGGAGGGTCTGGGCGGGCGGGGCGGGGGAGACAGGGCGGCGTGAGCGGCGGCGCGGCCCGGCCCGCCCGGCCCGGCCCGGCCCGCGCCCCGGCCCGGCCCCGCCGCCCGCACCTGCGCCCGCCGCGCGCCCGCCCCGCCGCCGGCCCCCCGCGCCCCGCGCCCCATGGCCGCGCCGCCGCCGCGCCGGAGCCGAGCCGGGGCCGGGCCGAGCCACGGGAGAGCGAGTCGCGGGAGCGCGGCCGGGCGGGAGCCGGCGGCCCGGAGCTGGCCCGCAGCCCGCGCCGCACCCCGCCCCCGCCGCACCCCGCGGGCCCCGCCGGCCGCCGGGAGGAGAGGAGGGCGCGGCGGGCGGGGGCGCCGGCCTCCAGCCCCCCGGCCCCGGCCCCCCGGCCCCCGGCCCCCAGCCCGGCGCGGGTGACCTTGGGAGCGCCCCCTCCCCCACACCCGCCCCCGCCGGGCCTGGCTCGGCCCCTCTGCCGCCCACCCGAAGGGCCCTCCCTGCCTGCCGGGGAGGGCAGGAGGCCAGGAGGCCCCCCCATGTCCAGGAACTGGGGGTGTCCTGGCCTCAGCTGGGCCTGCCCCCAGCCCAAGGGGGTGCTGGACAGCGCCCGCCACTGCCGGGGCTGGGGGAGGTGGGGAGGCTCGGGGGCTGCCTGCTCCCTAGACACACGACAAGCAGCAGTTCAGGGGCCACAGCTCAGGATCCAGGGCCCAAAAGGGCCTCACCCCTCTTCAGAGAGCCCGGGACCAGGCCGCCCGGGATTTGGGGAGACAGTTCTGGCCCGGCAGGGAGGCCCTGCAGCCCCAGATCTGGAGCTGCAGCTCCAGCCACTCGCAGCCTGAGGACGGGGAGCAGCAGCAGCCGCCCTCCAGCCCCACTCCCTCCTAACCTGACACCCTGGGGACCCCTGCCCTGCCAGTTGCTGAACCCTAAAGCGGGAAGGGAGGGAGGGAGGAGGAGGGGAGAGGCCTGTCAGCCCTGCCGGGCACCCCAGAAGCACTGGGGGCGCCGGCTGCAGCACCGGGGGCCCAGAGTGGTTTCTGCAGAGCTTGGGCTGTTGCAGTCTCTTCTGAGCTTCCAGCCCCACCCAGGGGACAGGGCCTGGCCGGGAAACGCCCACACCTGTCTTGCTCTCCTGATTCCCCTCAGGGAAGGGCCCATCTTAGAGCAGGAAACAGGCCAGTGGGCAAGAGGCACCCAAAGAGACAGCAAGGCAGAGCTGGGGGGCACCCAGGAGGGCACCGGGAGGGTGAGGGTTCTGTGGCCTGGCCCCCCCGCCTGCCCAAGAGAAGAGGGGATGCCCCTCCCAGGCCTGGCCCTGACTCCTTGGGGCCTGGGGTGCGATGCTCATGTGTTTTGGGGGCTCCAAACACGAGGCAGAGGGACGAGCCACAGAGACCTTGACCTCAGGCTCCCCGAAGCTCTGCGGCGAACCCAGCCCAGCAGGGCCGGGGTGGGGCCATGGCCTTGGCCCAGACACCGGGGCTGCCGCGGGCTACCTCCCACCTGCCAGCCACGGGCGGTCCGGCAGAGGTGCCAGGTGCCTCCAGAGGGGGGGCCTTTCCCCTGCCCGGGGCGGGAGATGTGATCGGCTGGAAGGGTGCACCCTGCGCTCGCCCAGCTGGTCCCCTGCGCCCCTGCAGAGGTTGATCCTGGGCCCCGGGCTGCCCCCACCACACCCTGGCCCCTCAGTGCCACACTGGACGGGGCAGAGTGCTCGCTGGGCTGACCGCGCCTCACAGCCGCTGTGTCTGTCCCTCCACGAGGGCGCTGCTCACACCAGCGTGGCCCACACACCACGCCAGACCCTGCGGCCTCCCTGGAGGCGTGCCCCTCCCGTCAACTGGGCAGCGGGGGCGTCTGAGAGCTGGACTCAGAGGTGCAGCCCTGTGTGCAAACCCCAGCCCTCTCCAGGAGGCCAGGCCTGGGCGCCCCTCACCCCTCTGAGCCAGGCAACCCCTCGGCCTGAGGCATGCTGGAGGCACAGGTCAGCACAGGTCAGCTCCCACCGCAGGGTGGGAGCAGCGGCCTGGCAGCGGCGGCAGTGGTGGTAGCCGCCAGGCTGGCCGGAGGCCATGCGGGAGGGCCGTGGGGCCCCTGCGGTCCCAGAGGGCGGGGCTGCGCGGAGGGAGGGGCTCCGTCCGTGGGGGCTGCTGGGCAGCCTTGGGCCATGTGCCCTGGTCTAGAGAGCCCGCTGGCCAGGCTGGCCGCCCAGGTGGACACTCTACTGTCACCCCGGAAGCTGTCTGGGGCGCACCCGGCCCCCACAGGGGTGCTGTGCGGGTTCCCGGTCCTGGCCTCACCCCTGCCCCAGGGTCCCCTGGAGCCTGCGTCCGGGGAGCCCGCCTGGCTCCACAGAGCCAGGAGCACCGGACCCCGCGACCCTCCCCAAGCTCAGCGAGGAGCGTCCGCGCCTGCGCGTTCTTGTTCCGTCTCTGCGGGGGCCCTCGGCGGTCTGCTGAGCAGAAGCGAAGGTCAGAGGGGGCTCAACTGCCCAAGGCCCACAGCAGGAGGGCAGGGGCCAGGTCTGCATCTGAACTAGCCGCTCTGAAGAGCAGACCCCAAGGGACCCCAAGGACAAGCTGAGCTCCTGACCAGCAGAGGGCGTGCCGGCCCCCGCCCGTCCAGCGCCCCCAAAGACCCCATCAGCGCAGGCTTCCTGCCCAGCAGCGGGGCCCTCTGCCCCTGCCCCTGGGCACTGGCTCGCATTGCAAGCACCTCCAGGGCCCGGCCTCTGGCAGGTGGAGCCAGCCCCGGCACCTGCCTCCCTCCCCCGGGGTGACTGCGCAGACCGGCCCCACCTGGACCTTGGCCAGGCCAGGCCCTCGCAGGGCCTCCCCGCTGACCATCTCTCCTCTGAGCCGCTGACCCTGGGTATCTGGGTCACAGAGCCGGCCCCCCTCTGGGTGCAGGCCCGGGAAATCCGGGTCAGTGACACCTGCTCTGCCCCTCCTTAGGTCCTAGGGGTGGGGCTGCAGCGCCCAGGGCAAGAGGGCAGGGCCCCCAGGAGACAGCCAGGGTGGGGGAGGGCGAGGCACCCTTGGGTCAGCGCTTCCAGTGCAAGCCTCGCCTCCCCCATCAGCCCGGGTCCCCAGCCTGCAGGCCATGGCCACCAGACCTGGGCCCTTTCCTGTCTGTCTCACTCCCCCTGAGCCCTGCCCTGCCCGAGCCAGCGCCCTCCACACCGGGCTCGTGCCAACGGCGCATCCTGGCCCTGGGCTGAGGCCTTTTCCCTGCCGCCTGCAGGCCTGAGCGCCTCAGTCTCAGCGCCGCTCACCTCCGGCACTGCTGTTCACTCCCTTCTCCCCAGGACACGCGGCCACCCCCTCCAGTTCCCACACCCCCAGGCTCCTGGCCGCCTGCTCCTCGTGGGTCTCGAGAAAGCCCTGGGCCTGCTGCCCCGCTGCGCCCCAGAGCCTGCCACGCTGGCCGCCTGGCCTGGCTGGCCCCAACGCCACCATCGGCCTCGGCCAGCGCCCGGCCCCACGGCGGCGCCTCCTCCCCGCATGGCCCCGCGCTGCTCCCCAGCAGCCCTGCCGGGCTCCCTCGCCCCCTTCCAACACACCAGCACCCAGGGGAGGCCGGCCCCGCCCACCGGGGAACTACGTCACATGCCCCCGGATGGAGCAGCGTGTACCCCACACCCTCCCGGCCCACAGAGCCCCGGAAAGCTGCCCCTCCCTGCCACCTGCTGCCCTGCCCAGGCACCGGCCGGCCTGAAGGCTGCTCGGCCTCCGTGGCCTCTACCTGCGGCCCGGCCCCGCCGGCCCCCTCGCCCCTGCTCGGCGCTCGTGGCTGGAATCAGCCGGGCCACGCGCCGCCTCCCTGGAGCAGAGGCCCAGCTGTCTCAGGGACCACCACCCCCTGACGCAGCTTCCCCAACCCAGCACCCCACCGTGCGGAACCCCCCTCGCTTCCGCCGGCGCCCCACGCCAGGCCACTGCGCGTCCCACCTCTTCGCAAATGAGGTGGCTCAGGGAAGGCAGCCCCCAGCGGGCAGCGGGCCCGCCCCGTGCAGGCAGCAGCCACAGGCACCTCCCGGGGTCAGGACGGGCAGGAGCCAGGAGGCCCCAGAGAAGGCTCAGCCGCGCACCTGCCACTGGCCACCTGGCCTTGCCCGCTAGCGGCGGTCCAGCCTGGCCCGGGGGCCGGGCCTTAGGGCCTCGGAGCAGTGGCCTCCCCTGTGAAGTGGTCGCAGCCTCACCAGAGTGGGATTCAGGGCTGTCGGGTCCATGTGGACCCAGAGGGAGCAGCAGAGCCCCTCGCCTGCCAGAGCCCACCCACCCACCCAGCCGGGCCTCCACTGTGCTCACGAAGCCTCTGCGCCCACGGAGCAGGTGCTATTATGGGGCTGTGCGCCTCGGGGTCCCCTGGGATTTGATGGGCTAATTCACACTGGAGTGTGAATGACTCATAGGCGTCCTCCCACACAGCAGAGCCGCAGTGGGCCCGTGGGAGCGGGGGGCGGCCAAGCATGCTGCAGCCAGGGCTTCCAGAGCCCCTCAAAACTCCTCGGTCTGGTCTTTGGGATGCTTGATGTCCTGGTGTTCCTTGTGCCCCCCAGCCAGCTTTCCCTGTGAGCTTGCACCCCACGACAGATGCCCCTGAGCCCCCTGGCCGCTGAGCCCCAGATCCTGGTGCATGTGGGCATCCTCTGCAGGGACGCCTGCCCACATAAGCTGAGGGCCCTCCACCGGGTCCTGCCCAGCTATTGCGGCCCCCACTCCAGGCCCTGAGTCACCCCACCCACGCGGGCCAGTCCAGGCGGCCTAGAATGCAGCTTCTGCCCTGGCCTAGGTCTGGCCCGCCCCTTGGGCCCACACCTGCCTGTCCCCGGGCTGACTGCGCCCTGTCCCTCAGCTGCTGCCTTGGCAAGGAGCCCCTCAACTGCCCCTCCCCGCCTGGCCCCCTAGCTGCTTCTGGCTAGGCCGGTCCGTCCCCAGTCCTCATCCAGGGCCAAGGGCAATGCCTGTGGCATGGAGGGGACCCGTATCTGCCGCCCCACC